CATGTGGTTGTTTTTTATTATTGGTTTCCGTGGCACCCGCGTGCCAATAACAATTGAGAACGGCTGGGCCGATTTGGCTAATTTTGCTAACCTAACCTAATCTTTATATATGTGTTTGAATGGGTCCCTGGATGGTTTACATTCACAATTGGACTCGATAGGTGGCGTTGCAAGGGTAGCTGACACAGAGTAATTAGTATTTTTAGTACAGCAATTTTTCTTTGTTGATTTATGGGTTACCTTGGTAATACGGATGATATTAAAAAACAAAAAAAATAAATAATCAGTAAGATATTCTGTGTAAGTTGTCCCAAAATTGAAATGTTCATTCTGATATAAAATTAATAAATAAAGATTCATCAGAGGGCGCCAAGAGAGTGAAACAATCGAGTTATTATTTTTTTAAATATAAACTTGAATATATCGGCAAATACGCACATTTATATTATATAGGTATGTATAAATGAATTAATATATTTTCGCCGACGCCGTAACTTGGAAACGGACGGACCGATATGACTGATTTTTTTTTTCGTGTATTTGTGAGGTTATTATGAAAGTTGGAATTTACAAGAAAGCATGTCTGTGTAAAGGCAAATGCCTAGGGGGTATAAAGACAAGGATTACTGCAATGGCCTCGTGGTCCACACACGTTCCCACCTATGTTAGGTTAAGTTAATCTACCTATGGTGTGAAATAGGTAAAGTGTGTTATAATTTGGTTTACAATTATCCTGCAAATATCAGCTCTCTATACTATCATATCATGTTAGTTATATTTTTTAGGCTATTAATTTTATTATTGTTAGGATAATGCTACCGAGGGAGGGTAAGATTGTTGTTAGTATACTTTTACTTCATGAACATTATATAAAAAGAGGATACGATTATTCTTGTATAATTTTACGCCCCGGATAGTCTAGGAGGGTATCATCTTATCGGCAAAATAATACTTTTGCCCATTTAAGAAGATTCTTCATGGATACAATTGTACTTCGCCCCCCTTAAAATTTCACCATTGAATATCTCCTGTATAGTGTATACCGTATTACAATAAATTTGTATACAAAATATCATAATAATATTATAATATAGATAATGGAATATAGATTTTAATAATAATTTCCGTTTATCGGAAGGAAAACAACAACAAAACGTATTCGTAATATATTTTTAATATTATGTTTTCATAAATTATATTGTATAATACAAGTAATTTATTGTTTATTCGAAGCAATACAATTTGTTTAAAATTCAAGTAACATTACAAAGCAGTTATGTAAAAATTTAAATGTTAGATTTTGCATAATACAATATGAATAATGTAATATAATAACTAGGGCTCGTAAGTTCATGACGTATTGACAAGTTTTTTTTTTTTACTTTATAGGAAAATATTGTTAGTGAGGTACAATTTCGTATATTTTAGCATATATAGCATCATATATAATGTAGTAGATTTTTTGAACTGATTAGCGCATATTTCGTATGAATTTAAGAAATTGTAATTTCTCATTTAGTTTCCCGAACATATTTACAAAATCGTACTGTTGGTTTAAGTTTATTTTATAAACTAATATATAAAATAAGTATATATATACTATTATGTATACATATTATTTAGAATTTTGGTGCATATAAATATGTATTTCCGAACTTTAAGTGAATATTTTCCAGTTTTTAAATATTTTTTTTGTGCAATGAATATACGAACCCCGAAAATAACTTATATATTATTGCTGTGTAGAAATTGTTATCGTGTGTGTGTGTACAAATTCATCAATGTTGGTTTCCGATTCGGCTGCTTATTCTTAATTTCTCTAATTAAAAATACAGTTTGACCAAAATGATTTTCTAAACTATATTAATTATATGATAATATAATATAATATAAGTATAATAATATTATATATAAAAATATAATAAATTCGCGTGTATTACATAAGTGAAGAATATTTTATGTACCATAACGAATCTTTTTATAACATAGTATTTTAATATTGGTACTTGGTTGTACATTGTAATGTTATTGTTAATTGTTAATGTTACGTGGAAATCAACACATTATTCTTAGATATGAGTATGTAATATTATAAAAACGAAAAATATTGTTACGAGAGTTTATATTACATAGTAATATAGTATAAATTCAAGATTTATTACGTACTGTTAATGTATGCACGTGGTTATGTACGGTGCAAAATAACTTTTTAATTAATTGAGCTATACAAAAGTAGGTATACGCGCGATTCGACAAAAATAAATATAATTGTAGGTCATGTATAATATAGTACTTTAAGCTACAATACTTATTTACCTATATAATAAAATATTTATGTATATATATATATATAATTTTTTTTTTATAAATGGAAACAATTTAAATCAAAGGTATCGCTCGAAACTGCAGCAGGGCGCCATCGGATGGCAAACTATATTATTGTAAATAAAAAAATTATATTATAGTAACAGTTTTCAAAATAACCATTGAATAGGAGACAATAGGGGGACTCGAAATTCCAAAAAGAAAGCTTTTTCAAAAATAGGAGTCCAAAAAAAAATATATATATTTTTAAATATTTTTCGAAGATTTGTTATCGTTTTGAAATTACTAAATTTGCTTCTAATAATCTTACGATCTGATCCTATGATACCCCCTCGTGCAGAATAATTGCATGATTCCCGGATCCAGAACTCTGGATCTGAATCTGAATAGTACAATCCGACCGTCGATCGACACATTTGTACCTTTTGTTTGTCTGCTGCAGCTAGACTCGAATATTATGTTATTAGATAATAATTATTTAAGTATAATATTATGTATTTACGTAAAGCGTTTGTTTATATTATAATAATATTTTATAAAATTATATTTATTCGAATGATAAAAGAAAATATCGTTTTTCTCTTGTTCTCGCACTGTGATGTAAATGTATACTTGGTTCTATCGACCCGCTGATTAAAAAGCTTGCAAGACGAAACACATCACGGATGCCGATATCACCGCAATTATGGTCGCGCGGGACGGCCCGTTGGGGACGCCAGTTGTGGAACCATTGCACATGTCGGCGGTGCACGAGCAATGGGTTACGTCAATGTCCTTGGACCCAAGTCTACTGTAGCATTCCTGGTCGTCGTGCACGAGATCTTCCGTGTACCCACAATCTCGCACTATCCGGATGCTCCCGTGAACTGCATATGATATAGTATAGCGGAAGGAGGAAAAGAAAAAAAAAAACAAATAAAAATATCAGTAAAATTTAAAAAAAAAAGTATTAATACTGGGGACGGGTGTGCCACTGTTGCAGGTGGTAAGTTTAGAAGGTAGGTTACCTAAAGTCATTTAATTTATATCTGTAAGCAACGATAAACCATTGCTCACGAAACAAAGATTCTGTGCAAAGTTTTGTTATACACAACAGTGTTGGATCCAGGGAGGCACAAAGCCAAGTGCCTCCTGTCAATGGATTACAGTTTTTACTTTTATGTTAATTTATTTAATGTATGATTTATTAATTGATTTAATTGAACTGAAAATACAATTAATGTTCCCCCTTTAAAACATTTTTTAATCCATCACTAGTTATACATGTTTTAAAAGGCCATAATATTTACGATTTTCGTCAAAATTTGTTATTAAAATTCTTATGAAAAAAAAAAACCACAGTACACTCAACTTTTTTCCTTTTGACCTCTAAGAATAACTTATAATTTATAATATATTTTTTAGTTTTGCTCAATTATTGAAAAATTACAGTGAAAATCAAAAACCAACCTTTTATATTTACAAACTAGATTGAAAATTTAACAAAAACGGTTTTGTTTCGTTTTTTATTGAAGATATATTTATTTTCTGGTAAAAAACGGAAAGCATACAAATTTAAAATGATGAAATCGTTTCTTCATAAATTTGTCAGCTTTTATTTTATGTTTTTTCCCGATTATTTTGAAAACCGCTTGCAAAATCAAAGAATGACTTTCTTAAAGGAACCACCCGGATAAAATTTCCTTTCAAAAAGGTGCTACACTTTTCACATCAGAGGAAGGTTTTTGGTAAATAAATTATTCATTGAAAGAAAAAAAATTTTAATTATTTTAGCTTAAGATTTCTCCGAAATGTATGTAGTGTATTAGTGTATGCATTTAAACAATTTAATTAACTTGTATTGAAAATAACTTCCCCTTCTTCCCTGAGACCAATAATTACTGGTGATGAAAAAATTATGGTCTCTAATATTATACTCGGTGAGTCAAACAAAACTATAAAAACGGTGCTAAAAATGTCAAACAAGTAGTATGAGATGTATAATTTTAAGGCTGAATTTTGTCAATTACTATGCGAGGATACTATAGCTATGATCCTATGAGTAAGATGGTTTCCAGGGTCCCTAAAGTCCCAATAATTTTTAAAAACAGAACATTTTTGTCACATTGCTAAAAAAGGTTATAATAAAATTGAACGAAAAAATAATGTTGTATCGTCCGAATTTGTTTCCAGCTATGAATTTGGCTATAATTATATTCAGCACTTGAAAACGAGTATATTAGCTAAAAAATTTAATAGAGAACTTGCTTGGACTAACGTTAACTGTTGAAATTTCAACAATAAAATATTATTTGTGGCATATTTTTTACTAGTTTTTTTATATTATGGTTTATACTAACTGCGTTGGACACTCTTTCGACATATCACTGGTTCTTTTCCTTGCAAATGACTAGGCACTTCCGTTATGTTGCAGTTTACCAATCCGAGAGTGTAATGTTGAAATGGATCTCCACATCTATAGTCATATTTTGAATTGCACTTGTAGCATATTATCGATTTTGCACCTGTAGTATAAACACATCGACATTTATAAATATTTTGAAGGGCCTCAATATTTATGATTTTCATCACAATTTGATATTAAAACTCTTATAAAAAAACGAACATTGTTAAGTAATTTACATAGTGATATAGCATAGTGATATATACGTTTACGCATGGGGTACCTATAGCCGTACTGTAAAATAATTATCTTGCAAAATTTTATTACATAAATGTAGTAAATAAACACAGTCTAGGAGAGGGAGTGTTGCTACATCACCAACACCTCCCCCCCCTCATCGTCTCGCTACGCTACTATATAAATACGATATTATCTAATGAAAGGAAAATAAATAATATTTAATAAAATAATAAAGTAAAAACAAAATTATTAAAATAGTTAATACTCGTAAATAAATAAAGTAAATCAATTACAAAACAATTAATTCAATGTGAATCTGTTATAAATAAAAACTACAAAAATAAGCCTGATAAAATATTAAAACAAAATACTATAGTTAAACGACAAAATATGATTATTAACAACTTAGTGAATAAATTAAAAACAAATGATTCAGAAATAGTTCCGGTAGATAAATCTAATGCTATTGTTATAATTTATATTAATAAAGTTCATAAAAAAACTTTAGATTTTATAAATAATAATAATATTCAAAACTTAACATATGACCCAAATATAATTTACTCAAAAAAAAAATTAATAAACTGATAACAAATTCGAAAGAAATCATATATGCTGTCCAAAAGAAAATATTATTAAAATTTGACTACAAAATGAAGGCTCCACATTTATATCCATCCACATAATTACATAAATAATTCGATTCATCCATTAATTAATTTTAAAACGGCTTCAGGTATAACCTTGCTAAATATTTAAACTCTTTCATAAAAGAAAAGTTAAACATGAATACTGATACTTTTATAAAAAAAAAAAACACTTATGATTCTATTGATAAAATTTAAAAAATTAATATTGTGCAAGATTGCAAAATAATTTCTTTTGACATCAAAAATTTATATATATATATATATATATATATATATACATTTTTGATTTTTGATGTATACATCCATTCCTAAACACGAAACAGTCAATTTTTAAAAAAATAAACTTATACATAGTAAGAAATTTAATAAAAATAAAGTACAAGAAGTTATTCAATCAATAAATATAATTATTAGTTAAAATTATTCCCAATATAATAATAAATTACAATCGAAAAAATATGGGTTATTTATGGATGGTCCTTTAAGTGCTCTTTTATATGAAATTTACATGCAAAATTATGAAACAAATAATATTATTAACAACTAAATATACAGTCCGTATATAAAAGCATACGAGTATTATGGATATGTTGATGACACGTTCATTTTATTTAGAGGTTCAAATAAACAAGCAGAAAATTTAGTTTACTACTTAAACAAAATAAATACAAATATTCAATTTACACTCGAAATACAAATTAATAAATTAATTTTCTTAGATCTTACTGTTTCCATAATAAAAAATAAATTTGATTTTAGTATCCACAAGAAACCTACACAAACTGATGCTATAATACGTCATGTTTCTAATCACCCTCATTCTCAAAAAATATAATTTTTCAATTCATTATTCTATAGGCTTCAACGTATTCCATTAAATAAATATAATTATCAACACGAGCACAATGTTATCTGTAATATAGCCCATAGAAATAATTTTAATTTAAATACTATTAAAAAAAATTAATAAACGTACTAAAGACAACATAATACACAACTCACCAAATAATGTTGTTAACTATTGTAGTATGAAATATCAAAATAATATGTCTAACGAATTCACTAAAGTTCTCAACAATAATATAAACAATGTAAAAATCGCTTTTACGACCAATAATTATTTAGTCAAACATATAAACCTATTGTTTATATGGTTGTCTGTAAAAAACTTCACAAAAAATCCCACTTCTATTGAAAATGCTGATAAATTTGTATACATATATATATTATAAATTTAAATTTAACTGTAATAAATTATATACAGTTAAGACAAATAGAAATTTTCAAATAAGATATAAAGAACACATTTCTAAAATATAACTTAAAAACTGCCCCTAATTAAAATTTCGCTAAACATGTTTTAGAAAATAACTAAGAAAAATAATTGTAATAATATTTTATGTGTTCAAACGGATTTTATAAATAATATCATACATCAATACATTATATATAATAAATAATAATCAAATAATTTATATTTCTTAACATATCTGTGTCTAATAATTTTAAATAATCTCTCCAATTAAAATAAATTATTTCTATATTCTATATAAAACGACCAATATTTGCATACTTTTAGATTTCGAAGGTAGCGAGGGAGCTATTGGTTTTACAATGTTGTTTATTTCTTTTTTTCTTCTTCTAGTCTGTAGACACATTTTTTCCTAGTAAACTTGCTCCGATTTTTATGTGTACAAACTTTTCTGAAAGTTCAAGTTGCCTAGATTGTACTATAGAGATTTTTAGAAAAACGTACAATATCACGATTTCATTAAATTATAAAAACACGAATAAAATTTTCTACCACAAAAAATGATTTAATCGAAAAATCACAAGACACCTTTTTTGTTGCCTTTTTAATTTACTTTCTCACGGTATCATTGCCAGAAGTTTAATATTAAATATAATATAAAATTTAAAATAATAGTATCGTGCTGTTCAGCTATTGGAAACAAAAAAGGCGTAAAATTTCAAATACGGCGACTAAGTAACAAACTAACAACAACATAATATTATTATTTTAATACCAACCATTTTGGCACGTTATTAGATATTAGCAGAGTACATATAATTGTGATTACGTTGGCGAAATACCATGCAATGTATGTATAGAATGTTTGAATTCATGAGTATTTGTTTATTGATAATTTAGTATTTATTCAGTCGGTACCTATATATTTAGGAAAAATGCATATAGAAACATGATCCATTTTTCTTTTTTCATATCACAAGGACCATCAATCAAATGCCAACAAAATTATTTATGTATTCTATTATATTTGGTAACAAGTTTACACTTTTACCGTGTTATTGAACTTTTAACATTTTTGCCAGTGGGTATTGCGTTAGGAAATATAAAAAAATCATCGCATGCATAGAATTTAAACCTTGTAAACTTATAATATTTGCAGGTCTTCTCGATAGTGTTCTCGATTGAGTTTCAAAAATACCACTGTTTCCCAATCAACTTAATGTATAAGCAAACCATCTTCAAATGTCTAAGGTAGCAATCGTTTACGTATAGCACGTACGTGTAAGTTTTTCTCATCGTAGTCACACTAAAAAGCATGTGTTTTTATTTGAAGGAAATTAAATAAATCGTCGTTTATTTTCTGCAGATTCACTACATTCTCTACAGTTTAGAGAATGTAATAATTTAGAGTCTAAATATGTTTATATTAATATAGCACTAAAAATGAAGTCACAAAAAAATAAAATTATAAAATGTAAATGATAATAATTTCATTATCTTCAAAAACGCGTAAAATATTCATGATATAAAAATAGTAGGTAATTAATAAGAAAATTATACAAATCTGCAAAATAAAAGTCCATCATTAATCTTACGGGGTTGAGAAATAAATTTGTATTTTAGGCACACAGGAAAAATTCCTATAACCTTTCTGCTTTACACATTACAGATGTACGATTAATTATAAAGTATTACACGATTGTTAACTATTACCTATGCATTATCATAAAAAATTCATCTAAAAACTTTCTATTTAATTGTACAAGTAATAAATAATAATAACTAATATGTTAAATTAGCTGATTGTTAAGTTATGATGTGTTTAGAAAACCTTTTTTTTTATCGTAATTCAAAATATTTTAATTGAGCAGATTACACGTGTAATCAGGTTGACTCATTTTATTTTTTTGCATTTGCACGACGAGCATATGAACTCATAATGACCAGAAAATCATTCTAACGTCTAAACAATTTATTCACGACAGTAAAATGTTATGCCCGACAAAAGGGAACCATGAACGGCTGAAAAATGTATTTCATGTTTATTAAATACATTCACGATTTTATAGTACTTTCAACGATCACATAGTATGATAATTGTCAAGCTTTCAAATGACAAATATTGTCATTAACACGACCAAAAAAATGTAATATTTAATTATTTTTATTATTTATTAAATATTTTAAAAATTTACATACAAAAATAATTTTTAAAAAATCACAGCTAAAATAATTTTAAGTCAAAATGGAATATTTTATTAAATACTTATATACCTACAATTAAAGTCCAGTCAAAATTTACTTACACGTTGTTACACATTGTTAAACAAGGAGCGCATTTTTGACTTCCTTTTCACTTTTTTTTGTCCTATTGGTATGGATTTTGCTTTCGGAGGTGGTTTGGCTAGTTTCAGTCGAATATGTATTCTCAGGATGTGTTTTTCCAGGAAATGTTTTGAAAATAGGGACACTAACATTCTGATACTCTCAAACATCTTCGGATACAACGTCAAATTGTCTATATAAATGAAATCCATTTTCGAAAACTCAAAACTAGTCGGTACATAGACACTAACTGACTGAATGTCCGGTCGTGATATACAAGGTGATTCATTTAAATGGGTACACTTATTATCTCGGAAATTATTAACTTTTTCAAGAATTTGTTTTCTAGAACATTTAAGAAATAAGGTGCTCCATAATTTTATATTTATGTTATTTTTTATCACCTTTATTTTTAGGGGTAAAACAACTACCTACTTTTGATTTTCAAATGGAAAATTATCTTTAAAAGTCCATAAATAGATTGAGTATTAGTTAAAATAAATTTTAGTGTTGAAATTTTTGATTTCCGTCGATCCGTTGACGAGATATTCTACTTTTAAGTTTGAATTGGAAAATAATAGTAATTGTTAGTGTGACAGCGCGCGGCGTGTTAATAATGTTAACTCTCCCCAACCTAAAATTAAAACTGGTATATCTCGTCAACGGCTTGACAGAAATCAAAAATTACAACACTAAAATGTATTTTAACTAATACTCAATCTATTTATGGACTTTTTAATATAGATTGCCCATTTTGAAAATCAAAAGTCGGTAGTGGTTTTACCCCTAAAAATAAGGGTGGCAATAACAATAACATTAATATAAAATTGTGGAGGAGCTTGTTTCTTAAATGTTCTGGAAAACTAATTTTGGAAAAATTTAATTATTTCCGAGGTAATGAGTGTATCCACTTAAACGAATAACCTAGTATATTATACAAGGTGAAAAATGTTTTATCTCGTCGCTGTAAATAAATGTTTTGTCGTGACGTGGACGACGTAAACTTTGACATTGTTTGTCACTGTTTCAGACTACCTGGGCGCGTATGTGCTCGTCGTGCTAACGCCTTTTTCTCGTGGACGATTTACTATCTCCCTTTTATTTAATAGATTGGTGTTAATATTTTTCTTTCTATAAATGTATGACCTTGAAGTAATAACCAAATTGAAATTGTCTAGAGGCAATAAAAAAAGGGGAGTTTTGCTTTTTTTTATTTTACTTTTACACGCCATCCATTATATATGAAATATGATTGAATCTTTGATAGTTAAACATTTTCTTCTTACATATTATTTTAAAAGTAAAATTTCTTGCAGTCTTAATGTAGGCGTAGGATTCGAATTTTAGTTTTCAGTGTCATAAAATTATATAACTCCATAGGGCACAGAGTATACTTATTAACTATTTTCGTACATCACAAAATGAGAAAATCCATTAAGTATACTTATTTAACTTATGCATCAACCTTTCTATATTATGGCATTTAACATCGGCGTATTTTCGTGAGGGTGAAGGGGTTCCCATGTCTCGACCCCCCCCCCATCAGAAGTAAAACAAAATAAAATAATTTTAAAGGCTGTATTAAAATTATGTTTTATATAATAATATTATAATTATGTTTAGATTCTAGTACAAAAAATATTAAAAAATTTAATTATTAACTCTCATAACTTATCATTAGTATTTATTATAGTATTATAAACTTACTTATTTTTTATACAAATTTGACCTCCCCCCCTCAAAAAAATTGAAAATACGCTACTGATGACATAGAGTATACTTTCCCTGTGCCTAACCCCAACACTACCACGGTTATCTCGACACCTTCCCCACTTCGGCAAAGCCAATAGTTATAGTCCGACAGATTTGACCGCCATAATATTACACTATAACTCCCAAACCCTCCATTCTTCTCATTAAAAAAAAATACGTTCATGATAGATTTGAACGACTTAAACTGCTAATTTAATGTTAAATCAAATCTATTATGGTAAACCTAACCTCAACTTTGGAGTGCTTAACTTTAAGTGTATTAAAATGATACACTTAATGTTTAAAATTACAAAATGTTTTCTATGAAAATCAAGAATTAATAAAACTGACATACTTCGCACGTGGATGTACTGTTGTAGATGGGAAGTTGGGAAGGTAGGATACATAAGGGAATTTAATGTATATCTGTAAGTAATGAGATAATCCATTGCCAACGAAAAAACGATTCTGAGCAGAGTTCAGCTGATGTAATGCTTAAGTATAGAATAAAGAAATGTAACATAAAGATTAATAGTTAAAAGAATGTATTGAAATCGAAATTTATTTTATTTTAGTATAGTTCGGTCAATATTATTGCTTTTTCAACAATGTGTGTTTCCATGACAACAATGATTGTTTAAAAAAGATTATTAAAATAATAAAAACTCAATAACAAAAAATAAAATAAAAGCGGTTGCCAATGACAACTTTATTTTAAATTATTTAATCTTTTTCAGCCCAAATAACCAGGTTTTCTAGTACTACTCAGAGAAAATTCCCTTTCAGAAAAGGTGCTATATTTGATAATCGGAGTAAGCTTTCTGATAGAAAAAGTGTTCACATAAAAAAAAATAAACATCATTGTAAAACTAATACATTTCTCGCTCCACTCAGAATCTAAAATATTGGTTTACGAACGTATAAAATTTGCTTTCATTTGTTAAGTCAGATGGTTAAATGAACATGGCTACTCCATCACGAAAATAGTGACTTTGTTACGACCCCCCTCCCTTCCGATAAATTATTATCATTAATCAGTATAATGAAGTTAACTTATAAGAATATAAATTATTATTATATTATGTAGATTATACAAATCATTATTATTATTACGGGTGATATATTTGAAATTAATGAATCACTCTAAAATACTAGCAATACAGCTCAAATAAAACTATAGGTAAAGCACGTATGAATAATCGACATCGTTTTAATATTATAGGTAAATTTAATTTTAATTAATTAAAATACGGTTGAAATAATTTTTTTTTCGTTATAGTTAGAATAAAAACAATTTTTATGACTAAAAGATAGTTTCATTTAGTCATAAATTATGCAACTATGCATCAATGCTCTATTTATTATTATCGAATAATTCTTTCTTTTACTGATGCAGATCAGTATATTATTAGGTTGTCTAGATAAAGCATATCTAGATATAGATAAAGTCAGTAACGGATATCGAAATGGTTGGCGATTAGTAGATCGCCTCTCACCCTTTGGGATGTTCATCGCCATTATATATTATAACCTACAATACTTAATACTTCAAAATGTTTATATTTATTATTTAGGTAGAAGGTATATTTAATTATATAATTGTAATAATTTGTTTTTTATTGTCAGTCAGTTAAAATGATAAGATGGCATTACCGTATTTTATAATCATCAATTAAAGCGCTTATCATCTATGACTGCAATAAATAATCATTGAACTAAATTGATATAGAATTAAATGTTAAAAAAAGACTGCAGCTGCAACTGATTGCTGTTCTAATTGCGTTTAAATCCAGTAGCCAACAGTAACTTAATGCAGAGTTGCTTATGAACCGGCGGCGTTGTTATTTGTATGAGTCTACGTCAAAATCTTGAATGGCAACACCTTGAACGGCAAAAATCTTACAATAATAATTGTACCCGCACAACGGTGTACCTATCACTATTTTGACGGTTATCATTTAACAACGGCCCACATTTGTATTATTGTTGTTGTTTAGTTAAGTACCCATTATATTTTAGTCCATGGTACTTATTTAATATTTAAAGTATTATTTTTTTAGTATCTACTATATAGTTATTAACAATTAATATTATTTTAATATGTTGAAACGTAAAATATCTTCATACATTACCGCAGTTAGTACTGCTAAAAATAAGCATTTTCATAAAACATCATCTAGCAAGAGTTCAGCCAAAAAAGAACAAATAAAACAATCAAAATGTATCGAAAAAGAACAGTTCAAGGAGTTTTAAACATTTTTAGAAATTAAAACCAACAAAATTTGTATGTTTTTCGTGCAGATTAGAGTGTATATATTTAAAAAACAGGTAAAACAATATTAAACGTTACCTATAAAGTCCTATCCAAGCGTATATTAAAAAGAATTAAGCCATGGGCAGAAAGTATTTATTATAAGGCAATTATTTTAGTAAGTGTTTTAACAACAAGTTTTAGATAACTTAGAGCTACTAAAAAACAGATATTTATTTTGAAACAAGTTTTCTAGAAAATATTGAAGTTTACCAGAGACGTACATGTACCTATTTATTTATCAATTTCAAGAAGACATATGATTATCTGCACAAAGAATCTTTCTTGAATATACTCAGACAGTTCAAACTACCCCTGAAATTAATTAACTTGGTTAAAGCAAGTATCTTACACACGGAAATATTTTATTTAAAAAAATAAAAAAATATTAAATTTTGTATCGGCAAAAAGTCAGTTGATAGAAAATTCGATTCTATTAACATAGTTCTGTAGTTCATGTTTTTTTAAATTTTTTATTGAAAGCTTTTGGATTTTTTTTTAAATGACAACCCTTGTTTTTAAATTTCAAATTCTAAAGCGAAATATTCCACTTTAAAAATGTCGAAGAATAACACTGATTCTGTATGCATTAAATAGGTAAGTACTACCCACCTACTTTATTATTTATTACCATTTTTATAACTGTAGTTTATATAGTATATAGCATTATAGCTAAACGGTTTTGCGAAGTCAAGAAATAGTTTGAGAACATTGTACGCAGCAAAATCCAACTCTATATATATATTTCTTTGAATAAAATGTTGATTCAACATTTAATATCAATAATCTATAATTATAAATATAGCTAAAAAACGGCTCAAATGTTTTAAAAATTTTACCACTTCTCGAAAAAGCAACTTGTATAAGTTTTCTGCCAAAATTTCAAGTCTTTATGGATATTTTTAACCGAATTACATTAAAAATCAAAATTTTAAATAATAAAAAAATTATTTTTGTACATTTTCCCGTTTTTTCTACGGATTTTTCGGTTTTCCTCAATTATTTAAAAAACTACAAGAAAAATCAAAAACACGACTTTTTTTGTTACCAACTTAATTAAAAATTAAATAAAAAAGGTCTCTTGTTGTTTATCTATTTCTGGTAAAAAACACAAGTCACAAAAATTGTCCGAGTGAGCAATTGTATAAAGAGTAGGTAGTCAATATTTTTATTTAAACCATGAAATTGTTATTAATTGTCTTCACGATTGAACCTCACGATTAGCACGATTATCATGAAATGTGTTGAAATTACTGTACTTAATAAGTTTTATTTGTATATTAATAATTACAATTAGTTACAATTTTAATACTGGAATATAGATTTTTTATAAAGTAAAAAAGAAAGAAAGAATAATTGCAACGAAAACTAATAAAAAAGGTGAGTAGGTAATCGCATAAAATGAGGTTACCATTTCGAAACATAGACACAACAAAAATGAATTTGTTTTCTTGTTACCTACCCGACGTGGTTTTGCACAACAAATTGATGGGTTTTTTCTTTTAAAACAGTCCTAGAAAGCGTTAATAGTAGACTATTTAAAATGATTTTTTTAATAATTTTTGAATTCTTAATGAAAAGTTTTAATAAAGATTATGAACACATAATAGTGGAGACCATAATAAATATAGTTAATTTTATATAAAAATGATATTATTATTTCTTACTAGTGTAATTCTTAGAAAATAATTTATGTCAAAGTATTTTTTTTATTGTGCCCCACAGTCAAAAGATCGTTTTGACTTCTCTACGTCGCGATGCGTTATAAATATTTGCAGTTTTACCCGTAATTTTCTTTCGGGTTTTTCCCAATTATTTCTAAAAGAGCTTAGAAAATTAAAAAATGACCTTCCCAGCATCAATTATAGAAAATAACCTTTCAGAAAATATTCTACACTTCATATTTCAAACCAATAGTTCTGGTAGAAAAATTGTTTACACATAGAAAAAAAACACACATCATAGTATAAAACCAATAGATCCCTCGTTATGCTCCAAATCTAAAAAACATGTATACATATGTGTGTGTGTGTATGTGTGTATGTATATAAACATTAATACATTATGGTTACACAAAAAATGTGATGGTTATACTATTAAACCAATAATATTGAAAAAATATTGATCTGAATTCAGAATTGCATTATATTAAAATGAAATTAATCCATTAAAAAAAAAAAAATCGATTGAAGATATTATAATAAATAATGTAAGAGTAATTTCCGGTAATCGAGAATTAAGGTCATTCGAAGCTTATAGGTAACTTATAAGAGACCTTATATAATATTATATACTTTGTCGTGCACCATGTTACACCTAAACATATATAATAGGTATAGAATAAAATTCCAATCCCCATACGAGTGAAATACATTTGTACGGCTTTGCTGGGCATTTGTCTATATTATATTTAATTATTATATTACAATATATGTAAACCAGTTTCCGGTGTAATTTCAAAAAAAAAAATCGCTCGAAAAACCCGTCACCGTGACATGAACCGAGAGACTGCACGCCGCTCATCCATACATAGTAGTAAAGTGCTGAATCAATAAAGTTTGGCGCCGTTAAATCGGCCAGATATATAGAAACAGAGCTCTCATCTTCAAATTTCGTGTTGTTCAAGGCGATGACTCAGGCTATATAGTCGCCACGTACACGTGAGTGTTTTTCTAAAACTTTCACTATAATTTGAAATCAAATCTATATAATAACGAATCTCCGAACAAAAGTCCTACAAATAAAAATCCACGATGGAGAAAAATGTCGGCATTTAAATATTTTAATATTATAAAAAAATGATATAAAATAATTTATACTGTACATGGACGTGCTACTGTTGTAAGTGAGAAGTTGTAATGTTATTTAATTTATATCTGTACGTGATGATAAACCCGTTGCTAATGAAAATTGATTCTGAAGTGAAATTCGGTTATACATGTTTTGAAATGCCGTAGTTTTTACCACAAAACAAATTTGATAGCCAGTGTATATGTATAACGTAAAAATATATTTTATACACTTTTCCCCTAACATTTGATTATAATTTTAATTTTTGAAATATATAAAATATGTATTAAGAAAATAATTGTATACATTTATTTAGAAAATATTAAAATGTATTACTATGAGATCGTAATATGTTTAAAAAAATTAGGTCACGAGAATGGAAACTCATTGAAAATATTTATATACTTATTACTTATATAATAAAGAATTTATTTATTTTTCACTTGTGTAAACCAGGATGACGGTACATATTAAATCACATCGATTTATTCGGTTTAAATAAAATGTGGTATGGAATGCCAGATACAGTGGATTCTCTACCAGATACAGGCGGAGTGGTATATTTCGGAAATTAATAGTGTAGGCATACACTAATCATTCATAGTTTCATTTTTAAGGTTATGGGGAGTTATCACTTAACATTTTGTTTTTATTGTTCGTGGAAATCGATCCAGAAAGGGCACGAATAATCAATATATATTACCACTCGCACGGACTGAAGTCATATACAAAATAATATAATCTACACACAAGTAGGTTAAAAAAAAAAAAAATCGTTATAAGAATGAAACGGTTATATGCAGTATTAACTGAGAGAAAAATTATATTGGACCAGAAGTCTATAGATAGATTCCAGTTTTGTAAAAATACTTTTCAAATGTGTTCAGAATAAGTTTTTTAACACTAATCTAAATATTATTCGAATTAATTATTCAATAGATTTGACATTCCTCGAAAGGTTTCTGCATTTAACGAGTTACAAATAAACACTTGAACTTATTAATGAGTATTCAGTTTAAATAAGTTCAAGAATTTCAGATGTTGCATTTTATTGTATTATTATAAAAAAAAAAGTTGTCCGATAATTTTGGAAATTTCACCACGTCTATGTAAGTCCAATATAAGTATTATTACCGAGTTTCAAGTTTCTACGTATATTTATAACCGAATTACAGCAAAATAACTCCCAAAAATTAAAATTCCTTTAAAGCTCAAAAGAAGCTCAAAAGTTTTGGCGATAATACCGTAAGAAAGTAAAAATCATTTTTTATGGTAGAAAATTTCCGTGTTTTTATAAAATAATGAAATCGTAACATTTTACGTTTTCCTACATTTTTTCCCGCTTAAGTGCTTTTATTTAAAAAATTGGCATCGAAAATCAAAAAATAACCTGTTTAAAAACCAACTAGACAACTTGAGCTTTCAGAAAAAATATTTCACGTAAAAATCGGAATTATTATTTAGGAATTATTTTTCTCGTTAAATGTTATTTGTGTTAAGTTTACGTCAAGTTAAAACCTACGTGCAGTGTATAGTGTTTAGCAAATACTCAAACCTCACATATTATCCACGTTTATTGTATAATATTTCAAATTAAGAGTTTTTTTTTTTTTCGATTACTTTATTAAAATTAATAAAACTCGAGAGAAACATACGCATATCATACGGAGGTATGACGCATCAACTGCCGCGAGAATTAAAAAAAGCCACTACGTAATGTCACACGCACATTGAAATTTACATAATATATTATTACATTATACATACTATCGTTCCATTATAACGTAGGTAATAAGTACCTAGGAAAAAAACATATTTTTACGACATAGTGCCTATTTTTTTTGTCATTTTTCGTAGTACACACTTATTTTTGTGGGCAATCAGACCTATGGAGAGCTTTGGCATAGGCCCCAAAATATTGATACTCAAATTAAAAAATCGTAGACAACCGCTTTTAGCCTAACCTAGCCTAACTCAAACAACTGTTTGTATATTAAAGTAAGTAAACATTGTCAATATAATAGACCGATATCGATCATACTCACTATAGTTTATAGCACAACATCAAAGATTATCTTATTACATACATAATGCATATGTATTAGATTATGGTTACCCGGAAAATTTTTTAAATTTTTACTGAAATAAGTGTTATATATTATTCTACAGTTATTATACAATCACTTTATAATTTTGTAATACACTCAGAAATAGAACCTGATTTTCGATCATGGATGCCAAACCATAACCCATAGGTATACTTTGCCATTTGCGTCACAATAAAATGCACTCAGCTGACGTTTTTTTTTTTTTTTTATGCTGGCATAGTACCTATACTTTATGTTTATTTTAAATGAGGTTGGAGTTATAATGATTGTAGAAATTCGAAAAAATTACTTTAAAATTGTATCAAATATGCCTAATATCTATATTCTGTTTACAGTATAAAAAGTAAAAAAATTTAAAAAAACAAAAAACTTCTAATACGCACTTTCAACACAATACAGCCATATACCTGTCTCTCGGAGTTACTAATAATATAAAATTATACAATATTTACTTAGACACTATCAGGGGTTCAGGAAAACAATCTTTTCTTTTTTTCTCTTATCGATTTTCAAAAAGAAACTATAGTTTATGAGTGTAATAAAAAAAAAGCTCCCTGAGTCGTTATTATTTTATTTCTACGACCCACAGTATTTATGTTATACGAATGTGAAAAATGGCCCTTTCGGCAACCTAACCTTTTGACTCTGCGCTGATAAAATTATCTGGTTCTTGCCCCACATGACAAATTCTTAAGTCCGTCACTGACCAAACATGTCACGATCTGTGACAAACAATATATTAATAATATTATGATACTTAAAAATAATATTAGGTATATACCCGACAATGGCGACAAACCGTTAGTATACCACGCGTAATATAAAACATTTCAGTATTTTCTGTAGCAGGCAACGGGACGACCCGTCGCACACGTGTCACGTGTAGACGTCCTTAACCCGGTGCCTATTAAAAAAAATATATAAATATAAGGTATACGGTATAAGTGTGTGTGTGTGTTTATATGTACGTCATATTAAAGTTATTATTGTTGTTATATTTTACTGTATACACTGGAAAGAGTACAGCAATGTTGTTTATTTTCATAATGTAGCGCCAAATCGCCATGGTAATATCTAAACATAATATTATAGGGTGCCTAAGTAGTACGCATTTCGGGCGAAATCGATTTGCGACCACACCGCCGTGAACGTGAACGGAGTAGTAAGTAACACCACCGTAGCTGTCATCGCATAAAAAAAAAAAAAAAAACAATATGAATATATTTTTATAGTTTTCAAGTTACTTGTAATTGCTTATACTGACAAGTCAATTCTATTTTGAGAATTGGTAAAAATAACATAATGGCATAATTGTAAAATGGCTAAATTGATATATAATTAATATGGCTTGTGCCTTTTTTGCCATCAAAAAGTACGCCATAATGACTTCAGGTATTTAAATTTCCAGATGCATTAAAATATACATATAATTATGTCATTTAAAATGAAAACTAGAGGAACCGAAATTATATAAAATAAAATTCCAAATATCCCTGAGAGGTTGGGACCAAAGATATAATTATTATAAAATATGATGCAATCAGTGTTTAAAAATAGTGTGTGTACACTGTACCTAAATGGTGCAGCGGTGTTTGATGATAATGTACTGATTTTTATTTTTTATATCTGTTAAATGTTAATTCGCATTAAATAATAATAAGTAGGTATCTATTTTAAATTTATGAATTTACTCGTGTTCAAGCACCCCCGTAGAATAAAATCCCACCTGGGGCAAAACGGGGAAAACTATTTATTTTAGAAATTTTATAATAAAATCGTATGCCAGTAGTAAAAGTACATACAGTTGACCCATTTTGCCCCCTCCCCTCTGTGGTGCCTTTGATGATGTTTATAGGTAATTGGAATAGATGGAGAAAATTTGTTGTGTATCTAGACTGTCTAGAGGATAAGAATAAAAGTATACAGCATGTTGCTAAAAAGAGACAAAAAAATAGAAGATAATTATATAATATGTATTGTACAATTTATGTAATAGGTAATATGTAATATGTCATTGTATCATATTACTGAAATGGAATTAGCTGGTGTATTTTTATTGTAATTAAATTTAAATCTCGTGTGTACGTGATATATGATGAGGGGAAGTCTAGCGAGGGTATAATTAGTGGTGATTGTGTTGCGTATATTATGAAATGCGTATTATTTTGGGACGGGGCCGAAAACCGGTCAAAAGGTCTTAGCTGAGTACTAAAAAAAAAAAATTGATTGTACGTCAAAAACCTCAAAAACACGTACGATGTTTAATGGGGAGTATCCGATTATTTTAATTTATTGTTAAATTAATAAATGTGTATAGGTAAATACAAAATATAGTTCGTTTAACACCTCTCCTAGCTGGAAAAATAATTCGTGTGTTCTTTTTGTGCCACCGAATATAATATTATTTTATTCTTTTGGATTAGGGCCTCCAGAATGGATTACCATCCTATCTGATATTTGACTAATATAATATAATATAGGCGTATATAATTAATGATTCATAACTGAACAAGTCACTTAATTTTAGTAATCGAATATATACCTATAATAAGTATTATAACTATCTGTTTTTCTTTTTGTCGAATTTTTTACGAAAATAGAGACTATTGCAATGTATTATGTCTGTTATACAGGGAGTTCTACATTGTTATGCTTATGCTAATAATTCTGTCTTATTAATTTTGTTTTATATTTTTTTTTCAATCGGGTTTTTTGTGAGAGGAGCCATATGTAAAGATAAATTAAATTTTTATTTTCATCTCTTATTATTGAAAAAATTACTTTTATTTTATAATTTTGAAAAATAGCCATTTTGTAAGATATTAAATTATTAAAATGTGTAGTATAATATGATTTAAAACATATTTGGATATTTAGTACATTTTAAAAAGTGGAAAATGTTATTTTTTTTTAGTAATTAAGGTATTAAAATAAAAATTTTGATGAATATAATCAATGATCAATATAATAATAGTAGCTGATTGATTGGGCTTATCACTGAAAAGCTTATAATTATAACATTATTACTTGATACACATACAGATTTGAGCAATTGAGTTTATTAACAATGCGTATGGGGACCGAAACATCTAGGGGGCATAGCCCCTATGACTACCCATATAAACGGCAACACTGGAGCAATTCTTTCTGAAAGCACGCGTCACAGGTCACCCGCAAGTTTCCGTGACCGTAAGTCGTAAATCCGTGAGCACAATAAACATAAATATTATATTATATGCGTATAGATACGTGATTTACGTTTTTGTGTGCATTCTACGCATATATGTTATTATGTGCAACACAATCGTACACCCGTTTACCTGTGTTATAATATTAGCGACGACGACTTATAAAATAATAATATTATATAAAAGCGTGTGTTTGATGGGTACCTATATGATTGAACCTCTTGATGCGTTTTTATGCTGTGCACCAAATAATAATAATAATAATATAAATAAATAAATAAAAAAAATTATGAGACGATGTTGATTTACGTATTCGAATTACGAAAAAAAATAATAATCCTCATATCAAATACCTTTGATGACGACCGATAAGAGTACGAACAGTATGACAGTGGCGGTGCATGCGGCGCGTTTAGCGGCGTCATTCATATTTCCCGCGGTGAATCGCCCGGACGAATGTCGCACTCGCTATCTAATAGCGGCGGCGTGTGTGTAAACGACCGTCGTACACTAGAGCACGTTACGATGTCACCGGCCGCGTTTACACGCGCGCGTCTCTCAGTGCCGTGTGTATTTATAAACTGTCTCGAGCGCGCACGCGCGCGCCCCCTCGCGTTCGAATCGGGGTGTACAATATTATAACAGCGGTGGCGCAGTACGGTGCAGTACAATAAAAGCTCGTCGACACGAGTGTAGTTCTCGTTCAAAGGGCGCCGGTGGTGACCACGACGCCACCAACGAAAAAGACGCCGCCAACTCGTCGCCGACCGCGAGTAAAACTATAGGGATGGCAACCACCCTGCAGTCGTACCAACGTATCGGGGGTGGCGTCATCACGTGCGTGTATATCTATATTATAATTGTCCATTCGTATAAAGGGTAGTAGTTATTAAGGTACAATAGTGGTACTCGTCAACTGCCAAACCCACACTGCCATACTAAGTATACCCTACTGTTGAGTATATTTTGAATATTTTCTCGGGAAGGGGTGAAAATTATTCAATAAATGCATTATTTCTGAAAAGTAAATTTTTCGCGATTTATCTAGTTTTAATTTACATTATTTTATTAATTTTTTGGTTTTGTGCTTTTATTGAAAATGTTCAAAAATATTTATTAAATGTTTCGTTTAAACGACTTGGTATCAGGGGCGTCTCCAGTTCTTGATTATGGGGGGGGGGTGAAGAAATAATTAAATTTAATATTAATGATTGATAGGAAAAAAGACAGACATATTTCGCTCGGTGGATGGATCACTGTTATAGATGAGAAGGTAGGATATTGAAGGAAATTTAATGTGTATCTGTACTTAAGCAAATTTAGACATTGCCAACAAAAAACGATTCTGAGCGGAGCTCGGTTAATAGTATTACGGTTGGTATTACATATTATATAATATTAGTTAAATAGTAGGTATATAATATACATTATATAGTATCGATGGCATAGTAAATGATGTTTAATTTGTGCACAAATCAAATTATCTAATATCCATCCCATAAAAAGATTAGTTCACTGAATTTTATTCTATTGCATTCTTAATAAACTCTAATTACTATTGTGTAAATATAATAAAACTATATTTGCTGAATTTTTCATTATTTACCTATGTTATTTATTTATTAATGATTTTATAAACTGTATTTGAAATTATTTATCATAAATGACCACGGAAAATCGATAATTTTTTTGTATTATTTGTAATTAGTAATTATTTTTAATGTTTTTATCAAAAATCTTAATCCTATCGAAAAATCCCAAGAGACACTTTTTGTTAAATTTTAAATATAATTGGTGAGTAAGCAAGTTGATAGGTATTTTATGTCTACTTTAGTAACCTATGAGGACAAATATTGGTACTACCTAGGTAGTTTTAGAAATACTGACGAATGACACTCTATAAAATAAATCTAAGAATAGTTATAACAATATATGTTTCCTAATATTGAACAGGTTCAATAGACCTGACCAAAACTCTAAAAAAAACCTTGTCCCCAATAGAATTTGTAGAAAATGTGAACAAAAAATACATATATATTAAAACTAAATAATAAAAAAAAAACTCAAGTGTTTTCAATAAACGGTTATAAGCTGAAATAAATTAGTGGTACTCGTATAAATGGTTTAACCATGATTTAAACTATAGTTTAAACTAGTTAAATCTTTAAGTATCTTTAAGTAATTCAAGCAGTAGTTTTTTTCCTGTAAAACCTGATGGGGAACTCAAAAATCGGCAAAAAATAAAAAGTCTAAAAGTCTCGAATTTAAGTGATGTAATTTTGGTAGTATAGAAATTGAAATGTATTCGAAATACTCGAAATATTCAAAATATTATTATTCACATCGTGTATCGAACATTTTAAATATTTGCGTGATCCTCTTAACTGCGGTATATCGCAATAATTTGATGTTAATTTATAGAATTTATTTAGAAAAATCAAGAAACCAAGAAACAAGAAATGTATTGTAAATTAAGTATGTTTGATAATAGAGGGTAAATCTGTATCTTTTAAAACACGGTGCGAAATTTTTTGACTATTTTTACTGACTTTATACAAAAAATATTTTCGAGGAAAAAACAATAATACTGTTACGTGCCCACACAATTTTAAATGATATTATAAGATCTATGTGTACTCTATGGTCTAGTTTATAATTTCACAAATCAAAATAATAATATTGATATTTTGGATGTATAACCGAATGGATTAGTGATTTCCGTGCAATAATAACTTATTTATTTATGTATTTATCATTATTATATTAGACTAGCAATTCTGCCCCACGTTGCCCATGCCAAATAAATAATGTATAATAAAAATGGTTTCCCCCTGGATTCCTTGCAGTTTAAATCCCTGTCACTATCACTAGTGTTAACCGCAGTCACGCCATAAATATTTGCCGTTTTATCTACATTCTGGTTTTTTTTAAATTATTTCGAAAACTCTTTGAAAAATCAAAAATAACGTCTACTGAATCAATTAGAGAAAATTACTCTTCAGAAAAGGTGTGACACTTGATATTTCGGAGGAATATTTTTGCTATAAAAGTTGTTCACAGACACACGAAAAAAAAGAAAAAGTACACATCATAGTAAAACCAGTAGAACTCCCTCTACGTTCCAAATCTAAAAAGTTAAAACAAAAATATAAATAAATGTAAGAACTGAAATAATTGTCGTGAAGATACGCACAAAGTTAGATAGTTCACTATATTTCTTTTGGCATATATATATATATATATATATATATATATCAATTTGTCGTTATGTTGAAACATGTGAGAACAGAACTGAACGTCACATTTTAAATTTGGAATGTAGCGAAGAATTTGTTAGTGATACTATGATGTGGTTTTTTTTCTACCTGTAAACAACTTTTCTACCAGAAATATTACTGTGAAGTATCAAGTGCACAATTTTTAATGAAAAGAAATTTGATCTAGTTTATACGTTTAGAGGATTAGAGAGATCATTTTTTTTGTTTTCCCAATCTATTTTCAAAACAATTGGGAAAAACCAGGATGAAAATTATAGGTAAATCGGCAATTCTTTACGTTGCACCACGGCGTTATCGCTTCAATAATTTTTAGTTTGTACAAACTATGTTTTCTACCAGAAATATTGTTCCAAATGAAAAATGACTAGAAATCATTTTGTTCTTTTTAACAAATAGCCACTATTAAAAATAGTAATTTTTTGATATTCAAACTAGTTTTCATAATAATTTCGAAAAACCAAAAAAAGACGAAACATACGAATTTTTCAAATTATAGCCCAATGACTTCATTATTTAAAATGTTACAGCTTGTGTTTTCTACCATAAATATTGCTCCAATAAAAAAACAAGAGACTTTTTTTGTTCAATTTTTAATTTTGTTGGTAACCACCTTGGATCACCCACCTTGGATTTCCATCAGTAAGAGCTCAGGGCCTTAAGTTCGTTAAACACATAGCATAATATACCTCCCTAAGGTTACATAAACTATTTAGACTAAAAAAAAAGTTGTCTTAAATTATAAAAAAAAAAGCGCGAAATTGATCCCTTCTCTTTTGAGACCAAATATACATGTATATTATTTCTAACCTACAGTACTTTTATAGAATTTTTTTTTGGTTTGACAATATTTCTCAATTTAATCATAATTTATGTTGTAGGTACTGCACACCTACTGATATATTATTATCAAATACATGTATGTGCAGACAGAAAATTAAACTAATAATTTAATAATTATAATTTTTTTTATTTATATTATAGGTATGTACAGTTTTATGACGTGAACTTATACGAAAAGGTAAAACGGGTAAAACTACCCTTGCGTTTGATAATAAACTTCATAACTACTAAAGCGACGTGCAGGCTTGTGTAAACAACTTGACTATATATATTATACATATGTATTATATTATGCATTTTAAATATTGTATTCTAAAAAGAAATGTGATATTATAAGAGGGGAAACGTTTTCCGTTTATAGTTCATATAAGAGTACAAGGCATTTTATTTTTTAACGGAACTCTAAATTATCGTTATATCAGAATGTGTTTGTTTGGTAAGGTTAAATTTAAAATTACATGCAATTTTTACATAACTCTCTGTGGATAATATTATAAGAATTCAGAGGAAATTTTAGGTTCCTTTGATTATTTCTCATTGAATCACCATAAAAAGATGAAACTGGCCAAAACAAATAAGCTGATTCTGGGGATGGAAGTGCCACTGTTATAGGTGGTGTAGATAGGAAATTGTAAAGGTAGGACAAACAAAGTTATTTAATTTATATCTGTAAGCAATGATAAATCGTGGATAACAAAAAACGATTCGGAGTGAAGTTCACTTTAAGAGAGTATACATGTTTTGAAAGGCCGTAATATTTACGATTTTTGTCAAAATTTGAAATTAAAAGACTTAAAAAAAAAAAATACTACATTACACATAACTTTTTTACTACTAAGTATACAACTTGAAATAAACCTCCTGTTTAATTTTCAAGCATTTATGTTCGGATAAACAATTTTGTCCGTAAATTATCCATTAAATATTTAAATTATCCATTACGTACGAAACTCGCAAAATAACAAAAAAAAAACCAAAAAATGACTCAAATGTATTTAAAACTTTACCACGTCTAGAAGACAAATATAATTTTTCTGTAATTTTTAATAGTAAGAATTTTTTTTATTGCAAACCACCATTGAAGTTACAAATTAATAAAAAATACACACACATTATAGTAAAACCATTATATTCCTCGCTATACGACAAGAATTTAGTTTAGTTTATATAAATATTTCTGTGTTGAATTTTTAATTTTCATCGAGCTGTCACATTGGCAAAACATATAGACAAATTTTAAGCTCGATATAGAAGTAATGTGTACAATTTGAGAGCTGCATAAACGTAAAGAAAATATTTAATTTCTGAAAAAGAAAATTGTAATACAAGTTTATACTTTCTGAGATGACAAGATGATCTGTATTAAAAACAAAGAAAGTTACGATAATGGGGACGGCTGCACCCACTGGTGTAGGTGGGAAGTTAGGAAGGTAAGATACAGAGTGAAATTTAATGTATATCTGTAAGCAACAATAAACCATTGCTAACGAAAAAACGATTCTGAGCAGAATTCAATTGATAGTGATGCCTTATCAAAAATATACGAGTATATGCCATATCATAGTAAAAAAAATCTGTCCTAGGATAATGATGACGGGTGCAGCCACTGTTATAGGTATATTAATGTATATCTGTAATCAATGATAAACCATTGCTAACGAAAAAAACGATTCTAAGCGAAGTTCAGTTGATAGTGATAATTTGTCACCAAATATGTGTATTCGGATTATAATTTAACATAGCAAACTATTTTAAAAAAGACGGGAAACTTAAAAATGAAGTTTAAAAAAATGAATATTGTTTATGCATAACAGATGTCAATACAAATCATTATAAAGTTGTCACAGATATGGAATAAAATATAAGTAAATATATATTATACATATTTATTATAATTATATTACCTATTAAGGTATATTTTGAATATGTTTAAAATTATTTTTATTTTAACAGGGTTTACCAGTATAACAGCAATAAGAATTATAAATTTGTATAATTGTGTACATAATTACATAGAACGTGTTAATTAATAAATTAATAAATTATGATTATAATTATTTTTAATATAAACCAAGTTAGAATAAAACAAAAAAGTCGGATATTTATTAAATTATTACGTACAATAATCATCAAATGCTTAGTTTTCATTGTAAAAATTCATTTAGGTGAACTAAGACCTACAGACAGATGGTTGAATTTTTAGATTCTGAATGGAGCGAAAAAACTTATGGTTTTAGAAACATGTTTTTTTTTTTTTTTTTTTTTATCTGTGCTCAACTTTTCTACCAGAAAGGCTCGGATTTTTACGTGTAGCCCTTTTTTTGAAAGTATATTTGCCTGTTGGGGTAAATATATTTGGAAGGTAAAGAAAGCCTGTTACCCCGGTGCAGCCAAAATTTCGATCGCGCTGTGCTCCTTTAGACATGATCTAAGAAATCGGACCATTTAGTAGATCAGTGTAAAACTGTCCGTAACAATAAATGTGTAAATTAAATAATGGTAAAATTTACGACATTTTGAAAAGTTCTGGAAGTATCTCAAACGCATGTTTTATGGTTTCGAAGGACGTTATCTTCAGTTTTATACATAATACAAAACAATTCAGTAGTCTTTCTTCACATCGGATTTTCAGGTTTCTTAAAAAATCATGACGTATACCCGGAACTCTAATTTCGGATTTATGTGTTATACCTACTTTTAATTTATCATCACCACAAAACCATAAAAAAAAAAAATAATAATAAATTTTTTTTTTATTGTATAGTCTGTCTGAAAAAAGAGCAGAACGGTTTGTCAAGTTTAAAATTAGATCTTTATAGCGGATATCACTTTGAACTTAATACTGTTAGGTTACGGTGAACTTTCAAACCAAGTCTATACGTTTACACCGTTTTATCTACATAATAGTTCGATTGAATATTACTAATTTTGTAATTTTGGTTTAAATTTTAAAACAAATTTATAATTATGCAAACATTTGTTAGAAAGTAAGTGAATTAATTTTAAAAATTTTACAGAAGTGAATTACCAATATAAAATTTCAGAAATATGCTAGTAAAAAGTTATTTACGATGACACATGCACATCTAGTTAATGTGTTAGTGTAGTAAGGTTGTTGCTAGTTTGATGTATAGTAAGTGGAATGTAATTTCGGACGTAGTGATAAACATTTTTTTGGGGTTTATTTAACCCTTTTTAGGTGCGTATACCTATAAATTTACTTACCAACATACCACTAATGTGACAGCGTTTTAAAAATCATCACGATGACAAAACACAGCACATGTACCTATTTTATTAATTTAATATGCAAATGACACTTTGTCGTGAACATTTCGCGACTTATTAGAAACGTTCACATTTATTATCAATTATATTGGTGAAAACATATTTGTTATCTGATTAATAAAACCTAGTACCTAATATAATGGAGCTAAAATAAAAAACTAAATAATAAAACTACTAGTAATAAACTAATTTTATATTTGGTACAGTACAAATTCCCTAGTTGATCTAACAGCCATGATATAAAATATTATGTAGGTAATAATTCGTGAATCGTATAATAAATGTAATTCAATGCAGTTTATACGTTCGTTTTGGTACCTAGTTTATATTTATATTGGTTCCATTTTCATGATTTATGTTTTCCTTTAAAAATATAATTAATATTAATATTCTAACAGACAGTACTCTCAGATTGCATGTAAAGGATTTTTGTATAATTTTCACAAAGAATTTTCTAATTTTATTCGTTGGATATGTTCGAAAAACAACTTTATGAAGTGTCCATGTTTTTTTTAAAAAAGATTTATACACAATTAATCTAATTTTTATTTCTATGAATAACGATATAATTAATCTAATAATCTGAATAATCTAATAATTTATTTCTATCAATTAAATCGATTAAATTTCGACTTAATTAAATTTTTCCTTATGTAGAACCTTTTTTAACATTCGTAAATCATAAGAAATATATAAGAAAAAGGTGTGATTAAAAGGTTACATTGTATATTTTATTATTATAATAATTACCTATGTACTATTAAATATATATATCTATATTTTTTTTCTTTTTACTTATTAGTTCATTTATGCATTTTTGAATATTTGACTTTTTCCTAATGTGGGACATTTTTCTGCGATTAATATCCATATTATATATTATAATTAAAATATATTAAATATTATATTATATAATTATAATACGTCCTGTATGATTAATGATTATATTTGTATAAATGCTAATAAAAAGTATGATTTTCACAAATATTAATAACAAATGTGAACACTTGATTGGTCGCGCTATTTCGCCATCGAAATACTCGTACTCTGTCATACTGAAAAACATAAAAATAACCAACATAATAATAATAATATTTTTTTTTAATATTATTTCGCACGCACCCAAAAACTCAGTGGCAACTTGTCGAGTAGCCACCCCCGAACTACGTCTCGACAAAAAATTGATAAAAGGTTCAATACAAACTGTACTAAATAGTAAAAAAAAAATCATATTAAATTTCTTATAATATATTTTATGACATAAAACACAGTACAATTTGATTACATACATTTTTAATTTATAATAGTTGCAATACATTTATATTTACAATAAATAATTTATTATGAGTTTAAACTTGTAATATAGTTACAATTCAGTTACATTAATCATTCAAAGACATGATATGCATTCGCTATATTTATACAGCTGAATCGTAGTAGGAAATCTTACAATAAAACACAACCGGCGCAGTAATGGAAAGGCTTAATATCGTTTTCGATTTAACGCACCATTTGTACAGAAAGTAAAAACTCGATGAACTGGTGTAGTGCAATATATTCGATTTAATAGCACTAATGGCATAAATGAGTGTTCACCGACTATACCAGCCGTTAATTTTGGCGCAATGATGCTAATATCCATGCGAACCGTGTTTCTGAGATATTCTTAATACATGTAATAAAAAAAAAAATGAATAATAGATTTACATTTCCATGGTAAATCCCAATTCATAATATTGTCTTATTTGAATTGAAAAACTTGTAGTATTCTATAAGTATCATACTCGTGCAGTTCCAGTGCACATTAATAATCGTCAAATCGAAATTGCCACAAGTTTTAGCACAACTTATAACATTAACTTTTTGACTGACGCCAAAAATATTTTTCCGCGAGTTGGACAAGGGTGTAATTTTTAAAGGATGATTTTTAATTTATTTGGCGGTATTTTACAAATATTGGTCAAATCCAAATAATTCTAAGCATCACGTTTAGTGGTAGTCAACGCGTACAATTCGTTTTCTTCGGTATCGCTGCTACTCTTACGGGAAACATTCAGTATATTATCACCAGTTTCTTCGCTGCAGGAATTCCCTTCGTCCTCTTCTTCGATGACACTTGACTGGATCCACTGTTTTATACGTTCTTTTTTCGCCGCTCTATCGACGACGACCGTTTCGATCCCACAATTGGAAAAGGCCAACATAAATTTCTTATTCTCCTCCTGATCCGTCTGATAACTGTACAGAGAGGGACTCAGCTCGTCGATATCATCTGAAACTGTTAAATGGTACAACATAAATGAGAATAAATAACAATAGATAATTTTAATTAAGAGTGGACATAGATTAATTAGAAAATTACTCGCCAAATCGAAATAAGTACCTATCTACCAGTGGCATACGCAGGATTTTTCAATGGAAGGGGGGCTAAACTAAAAAACCTTAACTAAAGAAAAAAAAAGGCGGAAATACTTCGCACAATGGGTGGAACTGTTGTAAATGAGAAGTTGAGAAGGTAGGATATAGAGGTGAATTTAATGTATATCTGTAATCAAAGATTAATTTAACGAAAAACGATTCTGAGTGGAGCTCAGTTAAATAGTATTGCTTTTTCAATAATATATATGTCATATTATAGTAAAATAAATATATATTGAAATTATTTGTATGGATCAGTAACTAGATTTGTTCTACTTGTTCCCCATCATTTTTACTAAAACGATTTTCGCCAAAATTTGATAATAATATTCTTATAAAAAAAGATAAACTACATTGAATTCAATTTTTTTTATTTTGGTCGCAAATTGCGACTTATAATTAACCTCCTGTTCAGTTTTCAAGCATTTTGCTAACATAACAATTTTATTCATTGAGTACCTACCAAATAAAAATTTAAAAATTTAAATATTTATAAATACTCAAATATAGCTCAAATGTTTTTAGTTTTACCACGTCTATAAAAGGAAAAAATAAGTTTTTGTCCGAATTTCAAGTAATTACGAATATTTAAAGCTGAATTAAAAAACTATTATTTTCGTAATTTTCCAATTTTTCCGACATTTTATCAGCAGACATTTTCCCAGCAGAAAATTGCTTGGAAAATCATTAACCTCCTCAAAGTACCATCTAGGCAATATTTCCTTCCTGGTGCCACATATTGGAGCAAGATTTCTGGTAGAGGTAAAAAAAAAACATCATTGTAAAACCAATTCATTCTTCGCTCCACTTAGAATATTAAAATTTTGCAAAATAAATGAATTAAATAGAATAAGTAATGCAAATATGCAATGGTTATTATTTTATTAGTGATAATTTGTCAATTCTGAATAGTTTTTATCATTATTTTGTATTTGACATGGTAAATGGAGAAGGAGGCGGAAACACACTTAGCCCTACCCATAGGTAGGGAAACTGGTGTCTACCTAGTATTCATACTGAGGTTTTCGAATTGAATAAAAAAAAAAATTTAATTCTCTAATACCTGTATAATAACTGACATTTTTAGTGTGCATTTAATTTTGTTTTTAAAAATATGTAAAATAAAAGTAATGTTTTATAATAGTGACCAACTCAAAATATTAAAATGGCTAAAATACATCTTTCTAATTGTTTTCATATTTAAAATTTAGGTGCATCATACTCACTGTTCTACAATGTCGGTTTACTGTGAATATACTTTACTGTGAATTTATCATTTATCCGAAGTAGGTAAGTAGGTGAATAGGTTAGATTAAATTATTAATTTATCATTATTATCAATATACTCTCAAAAGACCTTCATATTTTTTTTGATCCTAAACTTAATTTTGAATGTCATATATTAACAACATTGTTAATAGATTAAACAAAATCTTTCGCTTTATTCGTCGAAATTATGCTGATTTTAATGATTCATTAGCTTTAATAAAGTCCATTTATTGCTATATTATGAAAACTATAAATTAATTAAATATCGACTTGTCCATATCACCAAATTTTAACTCATTCAAAATGAATTGTAATTTCATACTTGTTTACATAGATATTATTATTATACTAATTGTATATTTCATTTTATTGTTTTATTTTTTCTTGTATACATTATTATTAATGAACGATTGTTATTAAATTGCATTTAATTAGGAGGCCCAACTAAAACAGCCGGGTATTTTATGTAATGCATATACTTTCAAACAGTTACAAAAAAAAAAATCATCATGATCATTGTTTGTTTATACCACTTGTGTCACTAAAACCAGAATACAAATACAAATTGTATTTTTTCAGAAATTACTTAAGCTAAAAAGCTAAATCATTAAAATTTTCTTACGATTTACAAAATTTCTTTTTAAATTTTTAAAATTATATTTTGGTGCTTTGATTTTAATTTTTGTAATATTGATACTCTCTATATTTCCTAATAAATAGTATAAACCATAAAAAAAGGTATAAAATACCCCACATATAAAGCATTGAAATATTATTTAGTATAGATAGTGTCAAAAAAATTGATTGTAATTATTTAGGTAATTTTAAAAAAATCACTCGAATATTCGCACGATAAGTACCTTTGCTTTTATCCAACATGTACTTGGATAGCCATCGTTCGTCAATGAAATTCTGCACTTCGTCCAAAACACTAGGCCTAGTATGTACATTAGGCTGTAAGAACTTTCGAAACATTCTTTGCGCGTTGGACGTCAGCATCTTAAAGAGTTTAGGCCTTCTGAACGGGCTCATTAAACCGTTGCTGGACATCCAATAAACGTAACTAACGAATCTCGGATCTTCGGAACTGGCTTTCTGCCACGGCAAACACCCAGTCAAACACACGAACAGCACGACCGCAAATTGCCAAACGTCGTGTGAAGTTTCTACTCTAAATATACATAAATATACAAACTTTTATATTTGTACACATTCTTATAGTTGTATATATTTAAATGTACCTTGCAAATTTATTAATTTAGATAGAGTTGATAATGTGAAATACCTAGGTATAATTATTGATCAAAGGCTAAAATTTATAGAACATATCTATTCAGTTAATAATGAAATCAGAAAATTGTTTTATAAATTTAAAATACTATGTAATATATTAAACTTAAAATCTTTAAGAGTCGTCTTTTTAGCTTTAACACAATCTGTCTACTTATATTTCATTGGTATGAGGTAGTACTTATTCTAGCCACATTAATGTCTTAAATATTGCTATTAATTCTTTAATTAAAATTATTTAAAGTAAACCTAAATAATATTCAACTATTTTATTATATTCTGATCTTAATATTCGAACTTTTAATTTACAATATGAATATCAAACTTTATTATATATGTTTAAAATTAAATCTATTATTAGTGATTATCAACCATCTCACACTTATAATACAAGATTAAACATCAATAATAACCTTAATGTACATTTTAATAAAACAAAATTTAGGAATTATAACCCTATAATTATAGGGATTTTATTATTACATACATTTAAAATAAATGTCATCTCTTTTACTAATTTCAAGCATTATAAAAATCATGTATTTCGTATACAATAGTTTAACTTTTTGATTCTGTACTTTATTTAAGTTTTATGTTGTTTGTTTAATCTTATTAACTTTATTTAATTTATGAACTCAACTCGTCCGACACAAGCTTGGCTTATAGGATGAATGCAAATTCATCCTATATTGCAACTTTATGTTACTTTGTTACTGTGTTTACTTTATTTTGTAATTTTGGTTGCTTCATATATTATTGTTATTATTATATAACTATACCTAAGTATCTGAAAGTTACTTGGTGTGTAAAAAAATAAAATACACAATTTATGAATCGATAGGTTATATAATCAACCCTAGAAAAAAATTAAATCAGTTAAAATTCAATGCTGGATATTAACAAGCTGTAAAGATAGTAAGTAATTAATTTAAAAGTAAAATACCTGAATAAAACAGTTAACAACTTATATAAATATTCACTTGAATGATATTACCTATGTGATACATACGATTTTATTGTTAGTAATGATGTATTTCTTTACTGAATTAATTTTGATTTTTCTATGATCTTATAAATTACATGTATTTTTAAGAATAATATAATTTATAATTTATCAATTTGTATAATTTAGAAATATTGATATGTGGGAAATCAATTGTTGAAAAGATAGATTTATTTAGATTTTATATAAGTACTTATTAATAATGTCTATCTTACTTGTATTTGTGTTCGGCGTCTGTGGCTAAGATTTCAGGAGGCATATAAGGGATCCATTCATTTCTACGCGTTACCCAACTGCCGTTTTTTCTCGTCTCTCCGAAATCACAGAGTTTTATTCTCGAAAAATCGCTCTTAAAAACTAAAATGTTGTCTAGTTTGATGTCTCTATGCACCAAATCATAACTGTGGATGTACTGGATCGCTGAAACCAACTAAAAGTGTATGTATATAATATGTATTATACTGTGTCATACTATTATAACATGACTAATTTCAAAATGGACAGTAAACATGCATATAGTGTAATATTAAAAGTACATATATTATTTTTACAATATTCTAGGCTCGTATAATAATGTATTTACATTTCGATAAACAGGGTGATCAATCTAGCGTAAGACACTCATTATCTCGAAAAACATTAATTATTTTCGAAATTTGTTTTATAGAACATTTAAGAAATATGCAGTTGCAGTTCTCCAATTTTACATTTCTTGAGTAACTTGATCGGTGAAATATTTTTTTTTTTTTTTTTATAATTCATGAATATTTTAAAATCAAAAAGATAGAATATTATTTTTCATAACACAAATTCAGAATTAGATTGACTCAAAATAACATAAATAAACAACGGGACGAAAATTATTGACTGATAATGATAATATCTGAACAAAAACCCATAAAATACAAAAACCACGTTATCACAGTATTTTATCAAGATATTAAGCTGTTTATATTGCCTTAACAATTTGATGGAATAGTCTTATTTTCACACAAAATATGTATTCAAGGTAGATAATTACAAATTCGGTAATAACCCGATTTTTTCTGAAATTGGAAATGTACCCTTTCTGCAATTAATGATTCAGATGTTATTCATAAAAATAAAAACCAATATATTTTCTAATACTTGAAATAGTATTACTAATAATAAACTTTATGAATATAATGAATTTGTGTAATCTGTACTACAGCATAACAAATAACAAAAAAAAGAAAGTTCGGGGGGAGGGGTACTGGCGATATGTGTCTAACTACGACACTAGTATGATATATTTAACTAGCAATCCGTATTCAAAACAAAATCTAATAAATAACACAACTTTACTCATCGGCCTATTGCACCAACGATCATAATAATGTGCTTACCTATCTGCTGGCATAGATAAATTTAATAGATTAACCACTATGCACATGCCAATAAAACATAGATCGTATACTTATATTATTATATACAATATACCATACTTATATAGGCACGTAGCCAGGATGGAGTTTTTAAACACTATATAGCTAATTAAAAATGATAGAATACATCATTATTCATATTTATTAACACCTAGGCCGGCAATTTGTACAAGATGATAAATAACAGATACAAAATATACAGTGATTACAAAATATATACATATAATAAATATTAAGCTAAAACAAGATTAAAGTATTGAATGGTTAACTACATGTAGCATCCTGTAAATGGGGTAATAGCCATAAGAAGTTGTGTGATTAAGACTTTCAAATAGCTAGTGGCTTCTAGCTTTGAATAAAAGAACGTGGAAGTATATGAAGGATAGTAAGTCAAGAGCATCTATAGATACGTTAAGAAGGGAAGAAATGAAATTGGAATCGGCGTCGAGGTGCCGGGTGGAAAAAGTATGAATTTTGAGTACATTAAGGATAAGTGAATAGTCATGACGAGGATGTTAAAGTTTAAGAACAAATTAATGCATATGCTCTAATCTTAGTTGGTCCTTCGCAAGATAAGAATGCTAAACCATCACACCATACTCTAAAATTGAACTGACTAAAGCTAAATAGAGAGCGAGGAGGCAATTATCAGAAGTCAAGTTTTAGACTAGTTCAAGTCTAGTACCTTTTCTATAAAAAAATACTTAAAGATGGTCCTTTTTTGATATTCCAAACATTTTTCTTAATAATTGAGAAAACGAGAAAATGTACGTACTATATGTATAAAAGAAACTTTACTCCAAATCGTTTTTTGTTAGCAATAGCTTTTCGTTGCGTACAGGTATAAATTAAATTCCATTCTATATCCTACCCTTCCAACTTCTCACTTACAACAGTGACTCACCCATCGTGCGAAATATTTCCGTGCTTCTAGTATTGTGTTTTATGAAACCCAATACCTCTTTAGATTTTAGACTACTCTTAGTTTTTGTAAGGACTATTCAGACATTTTAGATAAATAGTAAAGAATGGAAATAAGTCGATAGTTGGAGACATTAAATAGGTCACTTGCTTTAAGAGTAGGAGATACAGAACAAATTTTCCAAATATTTGGGAAATTTCCTCATCCATGAAGCGCATATAGAAGGTAGATGGAATACATGAGCAAGTAGTAACAGGTATAAAGTAAAAACCGTTAGGCCCAGTGAAATTTCGGTTTTTCAATTTGGAAATTATCAGAAGAATATCGTAAGGAAAAAAGTCTACATTAGATGGAAGTTCGAAAAAAAATGCGCATATACGTATAGATTTATGCTCAGAAAAAGCAGTGTTTAATTAAAAAGTAAAATAGGATAAGAATAATTTAGATAATTCAATCGGTATCATCTAATGATGATGCGGTAGTACTGTCTAGATAAAATTTAGAAGGAGTTAAAAGCTTTTGTCGGAGGTTCTTGACATACCTCCAAAATTTGGTTCGAGCGGATGAGAGAAAAAATTCGGTATTACTGATTTAGTCATAGTAATCAAGTTTTTTGAGCCCCTAAGTTCAAAAGAAATTAAATTATCAGAAGCTTCATTTGATCCCTTGAATGTCTGATGTGCATGTTTTTTCAATAATTATTAGGTTATTAAGGTTATTAATGTATGAAACCCAGGCTGGAAATTCGGGTGCAACATATTTCTTTGGGAACATATTTATCGATAGAATTGTAAATTTCTTTATTAAAAACAAAAGCTGCCTCATCAATACAAAACAGCCAAATAGTAGCTAGTCAGTTAGAGTTCAATAAGAAGTTAGAAATGAAAGTATAGTCCCCGGATTTCAAGTCATAGTAGGTGTCAACGGTGGAAGTAGGTAGTGGATAGGTGATTTCTAGGGAGTTAGGTAATAGGGATGATTAACCATAGAAGGAGGATATACTAATACTACTGTTATGTATACTTCAAATAGCAAGGTCTAAAATGCTATTGTGACTGTTGATTACTTGGTTGAATTGAAAAATTTCGAGGAAAGAGAAAGAATCAACGGTCATTGTAGTAGCAAGAGTTAACATACTGTGTGTTTGGAGTATTAAAGATTCATAAGACCAAGAAAAATTAAGAATATTAAAGACACCACATAGAAAAAAGGAGAGAGTGAAAAAAATAAATCTTCGGCCGATGAGATATATGAATCAATTATTGGTAGTAAAAAAAAAAGGTAGATAAACAGCACCAATCAAGATACAATTGAGTCTGTATATATCTATTCAATAATATAAGGATTTGGTAAAATAGGGAAAGATTTAAACGAAGTTTTGATAACAATGTTAACTCCTGCACCACTTAATAAATTGCTATTGCTAGAGTTTCTATCCTGCCTAAAAATAATAATACAATAATAATATGATAATTCAAGATTATATGTGTTTCAAGATTAACAAAATTGAACAATAATATTTATTTTAGTGACTGTATCAATTTAGATTCGTATTGGGAAGTAATGTGAATAAATAAATCCTAAACTATTAGATTATATAATATTATATAATACTTCGATAAAACTGCAGAAACCTAATTGTCAGAAATCATCACGCTTTGTTATGGAGGTTGCAGTAGACAATTGGATGCAAAACGATTAACAATGATAATATGATTCATAATATTATTTTTCATTACAGATCTCTACTCAAATCTTTGAAATCAAGTATGAAAACTTTTTAGAGGATTTGGTGCCTCAAAAAATGTCTACTAATATTACCTTCCCTTGTATAATATATATAGTTCAGTTTCAACTCATTATAGTCTACAGATTATATTTTACATTAATGATAATGATACTATTATATATTTTGGGACTTCTTGACTATATATAGAGTCTTAACCGACCTGTTTTGCGACACTCTTGCTGTGCAACTCTCCGATTCCACTATCGGATATGTTGGACGTGAGATCACCCAATGGAGCGTATTCCTGTGCGAACACATAAAAACTGGCCGTCTGAAAGGCGACGTCGAACGTAGACACGATGTTCCGATGGGCGCTCAGATGATAACTAAAATGGAACTCTTGATAGAAATCCTTGATCGCCGTATAGTTTTTAGGCAAGGCTTTGAGCACCATCTCGTTGTCCGTGCCCCGGTGTTCGACCAGCAGTATTTTGCCAAACCATCCTTCACCAACGATTTGTACAATGTCAAATGTCTCGATCAAGTCTACCTGGAAAATAAACACGTTACATTAAACCATTCAATCTACATAATATGTATAACTAACAAAAACAAATTACAATCAACTTCAAATAATTTATTTTCCATATGTGTCACAGAGCCCCTGGAATGGGATCGCGGACCGCGGTGCATAATTTTGGAACCACTGTTATAGTCTATATTAGTATAGATACTATATAGTACCTAAATTATATTATATAGGACCACATATTCAAAGGCCGAAATAGGATTTAAAATACACTTATTAGTAGACATTAGTTATAACTAAAATGTATAGTACCTATACTAATATAGTCTATAACAGTGGTTCCAAAATTATGCACCGCGGTCCGCGATCCCATTCCAGGGGCTCTGTGACACATATAGAAAACAAATAATTTTAAATTGATTGTAATTTGTTTTTTTTAATTTAAATTTGCCACATATATCATATTAACAGATTTAACTGTTCACTTTTATAGCTGCAGTTTCTCTACATTGTATTTTTCTTTTTCAATCTGGGACATTACATTTTTAATACAATTATTAAAACATATTATTAATGGAAACCAGTGAGATAATTTTGGCTAGGTCTTGAAGGAGAGGGTTCTTTCAGAAATATGCTTTTCTTGAAATTTCGACAAAGATTTTTGGTAGAAAAATATAATCTTAAAAATTTTAAATAATGATAAAATCATTCCACCATATTATATAAAAACAATTGTATTTTTCGTCTTTTTTTTAGTTTTGCATAATTTTTATGGAAACTACTTAAAATATCAAAAAATGACTTTCTGTGTCCAGCGGCTATATTTATTACAAGGAACTAAATCTATACCTCATCATAGCGATATTTCTAGTGGAAAACATCGTATACACAAATTTAAAATAATGAAATCAGTAACGTCACAACATGCTATACATATTTACCATTTTACCTTTAATTTTCTTTTGGGTTTTTACCAATTATTTTAAAAACAATTCAGAAAATCAAAAAATTAACTACTCAATGTACCAACTAGATAAAATTAACCTTCAAAAAAAAAATAAAAAATGACTTTCTAACCATCAACCTGATCCAAAGTTCTATAAAAAAGCAAGGCTTCAAAACTTTATTTATAATAATATGACGGAAAAAAAACTGACGAAATCAATAAACGGACAAATCGAATACCATTACACATAATATTGTATCATAACTAATAATTAACAATAAACAATAAACTTAACTATAATGATGAAAAGTAATTTAAAATAACGTTTTTTGAAATAATGTTTGTACTTTTTTTTATTTTTACGTAAAATCTTAAATATAAATAGCTGATACGAAATACGCTTTGAATTTTAAAAAAAAATGATAATTCTAATGGATGTGCCACTATTTTCGGAGAGAAGTTGAAATGAAAGACATACCTACTCTTATGTAATAATTTAATTTACATCTATACGCAACGATAAATCATTTTTAACTAAAATCTATTCCAAGCAGAGTATTATACGTATTAATAATAGTATTGTTTCCCTTGTTACCCAGGTAACTCAGAAATCAACAAAAATTGAAAGATTTTTCTATACACTATGAAAACTGCAAATATGTACACAAAATGACAACCCTAATGCACAAACTAGATCGAAAATTCTACAAGAATTTTCTTATAAAGTTTTTAATTGGAGCAAGACTTCTTACAAAAAAAGTCATTTAAAAATAAAAAAATAAAAAACACTTCAAAGTAAAACCAATCATTACGCTCAGAATTTAAAAAGTAAACTTGATTTTATTTTTAATAAATTGTAAACATAATACATATATTTAGGTACATGTTTAAAAACACTTTTTATTAATAATCGTACATAAGAATAAAAATTTTTTTTTTTAACCAATGGAAGTAGAAGGTTATTTTTTTATTCGTTGTATATTTTAGATAATAGGTATAGTGCCTGTGTCTGAATATGATATCAATCAATCAATATGAATTAAGAAGTAAATATAATTATTTAACGAGATTGTATATAAAATATAATAAAAGTATCTATAAGACTAGTTGTCTTTTGAATTAATAATATTTTTATTTAATTAGTCATCATCAAACAATGAGTAGTTGTATACCTATTATACTACAGTAAAAGTGCAATATTTACCTTTTCCAACTCAAATTCTCGGATTTTCGATACGTTTCCTGCATGTTTCAGTTTCCTTGACACGCCGCCCGATTTACGTTCAAACTTAAATTGACTTTGTGACATAATGCATGTATGTAATATGATAGATATATTTCACATATTACATTTTTTGTTTTCGTTTGAAAATATAGATATGTAATATTAATAAAAAAACGAATGTCAAATATTATTAATATTTTCGTACAAGAGAAATGATTCAACACTTTTAAGCTTTTATAATACGTTCGACAATGCAGTATATTTATGTCAGACTCTATTTTAAGAACGATTATTTCCCCTCCAGTTTGACAAAAACAAAACAGAATTACATCTCGCATCTCTCAGTTCAGTACGGTGAAAATTAAACAGTTTCAGAAATTTATCACAAAGGAATATGTTTTGCTTATTTTTCACTTATATACCTAATTACCCATACGATTATTTCGATTTCTTAAATTTGTATCGAATAAAAAAAAAAAACTTGGTAATTATATTATTATAATGTGCCTACAATCCTACATCATTACATCAATAGCATTATATTAGTAAATTGTACATAATAGTTATAGATATTAAACTGTGATTATAATATCTTTGCTCAACTTTGTTTTACCATTAACCTCGAGAAAAATTGTCGAGGTACCTAGATCCTAAGTACTCGTACATACATTTACACGCATTTTTAACTTTCAATAAAAAGTTTCACAGATATAAAAATTAAAAAAAACAAAACAAAATATAGGTGAAATATTGTTTTTATATGAATAATGTGAGTAAAAACAAAACATACCAAAACATACAAACTATGTACCTACCTAGCTGGTATTTATAAATGATTTCAAAAATAAATAAATATTAGATTATTTGATCTAGAAATATGAATACAAATATTTACAGATTATCAATATATTATGTTAATTGTTGTTCGCGTGTTATGTAAGTTACCTATTCATAATATTCTGTTTTATGTTGTATTACCTACAAAGTTTATTTATTATCTCGTATGTTGTTAACAGTAAACGAAGATGAATGTGTGTCCGACTTCCAAGGAAAAACAACCGGCTGACCACTGAGAAGTTACAGTGGTAGATATATGGATAGGCGTAATAAATGTATGCCTACAAAATAAACGAACTAAGTGTAAAGAAATATGATACGGTTAAAATCTGGTAAATACAGTGGACACATATCATATCGGATAATAATCGCCTAAAATGTTCATTAACTACTTTAAGTCAAATGTCTAACAATTTATATCCAAATATAAAGTGCGTTTTAACAATATTAACTGTGTTGTAACGGCTGTTACTTCAGAGCGATCATTTTCAACATTACAGAAACTGAAAAGTTATTTAAGAAATATTGGAGGACGCCTATAAAATATCGGAAATAAAACAGCTGAAAAAGTTCAGAGATTAATATTCCGGAATAACATATAACAAGAAAATAATATGCCTGGAATTGAAACGAATTGAAATGTACGTTTACGGAACGTAACTACGAGAGAAAAAATAACAAGGAACGTAAATTTGCCGGAATTAAATAAATCTGACCGTAAAATACGTTTCAATTCCATGCAATTCCATGCAAACAATTCCATTGTTTTCTAGTTATTTACAGTCCGAAATGTGAGTTTCCGAAATTAATTTTCCTTTTTTGTGTTCATAAGTTTTAAGTTCCAATAACCAATTGCAGTAAGTGTGTTTAAATCCCATTGATTTTACAATCCGCGAATTTATTTTCAATGTATTTTACTTTCTTTAAATCTTTCTTTCGGTGTATTGTAATTTCTTTCAATTTTGAAATTCGGCATAGTTATAGTCCGTAGTTTCAACATTCCGGTTATTTTATTTCCGGTATTTTACGGCCTCCCGTATTGGACAAAAAACCGACTGACAAGATTAGCTCTCACGAATATAATAGAATTTATAGACATTTCAAATGATGATATATTAATATTTACTAAATTATAACTATTTTAAGTATACCTAAAACCAGAAATCTAACTTCGATGTGTAGCACCATTTCTGGAAAGAAATATTATCTAGATGGTACTTTAGGGAAGTCATTTTTTGATTTTCCAAGCGGCTATCATATTATCTGGGAAAATCCGGGATAAAACATAAGAAAAACGGGAAATATACGAAAATAATAAAAATCGTTATTTTCGTTATTTAACTTATATTCGGCATTTCTAGACATGATGAAATATTCAAAATATTTGAGCCACTTTTGAACTTTTATAAATATTTAAATTGTTTGTTGAAATTAGGTATAAAATATTCATATGGACTTTATGAACTTGAAATTTGGACACAAAAGTTATATTTGTCTTTTATAGACGTGGTAACATTTTTAAAAATGTTTAGCCATTTTTGAGCTATTTATAGAAATTTTAACTTTACGAATTTTTACGTAATTTTTATTTTATAAATATTCTGTAGGTAAAATGTTTAGATTTAACAGAAATACATGAAAATTTGACAGAAAGTTCATTATAATTCATACTTAGTGGTAAAAAAAAAAAGTTAAATCTACTTTAGTATTTTTTTATTTTTTATAAGAATTTTAAAATCAAATTCTATTTCTATATGTTTTATGATGAACTTGTTAATATTTTTTCGTCGATTATCGATTATCGATACCTTATTAAAAGTTGGTAAATATTAACTTATAATTTATATTGCTGGAAGTTAATTTTATTCATGTTGTTCATGATAAAAATGTTCAAACAAATATTTATATTAAAATGCAAAGCTCATATTTCCTTATCCCTCCCCACCAGTGGTGGCTCGAAATATTCTTACTTTGAATCATCTATTTAATTTTCCACCCATCCCAACCCAAAATACCCCCACCCTACCACAAATGTATTGACATTTAACAAATTTAAAAAATGTCCGCAGTCTAAAATTCTTTTAATGAATTTTATTTTATAAAAACTTAATATTTGTTGTCATATTTCTAAACACCCAGGCTAGGGATTACATACTTCCCGTATTATACGGGATTGTCTTGTATTTGAGACAAGCGTCCCGGTGTCCCGACCAAATGTTCTAAACAACACTTATTCTCCCGTATTTCAAATCCCCCATTCCGTGTGTCCCTTAAGTTTCCTTATTTCTTAAATTGTATAATTCAAATTAACGTATTATCATGATATTAGGTAATAAATATCACTGTAGAAGTATAGAAAAACTACATTTTTAAATTATGTTAACTTATTAATATGTCAGGTTGATTTCAATATTATTTTTCTTAAACATTTGGGTTTGAATGGTTATCTTTTGAATTATGGACTAGTTTTGAAGGCATCACCTCCTCCCACCACATAGTTTGTTGCAATACAATTATGGAACTGTTTTAATTTAATTAAAAATGATAAACCCAGCATTAGCAATGCTATTGAAAGATGACACAATTCGTTTAAATCCATATTGAACGCTGTGCACCCATCAATTTGGAAATTTATCGATGCTCTAAAAAAAGAAGAAAAATTTAATCGTATTAGAATATATCAATTTATCACAGGTAATGAGCCAAACAGCACCGAAAAAAAAATGCAAAGATTCAGCATTAAGATTAAAGATTATTTGCCAACAATTTGATTCAAGGACAATAGACGATGTTTAAAAAAAAAAAATCGGATTATAAATTATAACATTTTTCGTTATTTAACTGTAATATTTTATTTTTTGTATAACTAAAGGTAGGTATACAAAAAAAAATTATTATTGTGACATTTTTCGTTATTATATTGTATTATTTTATTATAATTATATCATTTTTTTTTATAATACTGTTATGCATATTTAAAAAATGTTTATAATAATTTATCATCGAGCTCAATTGTCGGCGCAGTCAATATACGAAAATAATGCTTTTCAATTTTGTTTTCTTATTTTTATTCAGTTAAAAATATTCTTAGAGACATGATTTTTGGACAGAGACCATTATAAAAAAACATTTAGCCGTTTTCGAGCTATTATTTATAAACATTTAATTTTGATAGATTTTTTAAATTTTTATTCGATAAAATACTCTGTTAATAAAATTGTAAGAACAGAAATGGTTGAAAAATTAACAGGAGTTTCATTTTAAGTGATGCTTTAAATGTTATGTAGAATTTTTAATTTTTAATGTAGCGAAGAATGTATTGATTTTACTAAAATGTTTATTTCTTTAGTTTTCATTGTTCAAGTCTGTGGACACATTTTTTCTTAGTAAACTTGTTCCGATTTTTACGTGTAGCTACTTTTCTGAAAGTTCAAGTTGTCTAGATGGTACTTTATACAGGTTATTTTTTCACGATTTCATTATTTTAAATAAGTACCTACCACGTAATATAGTATAAAATGGCTCCAATTAAAAATACGACAAGAGAAGTTTTTTGTTGAATTATTAATCCTTTTTTTAATGATGCAGTTTGTTTTTTTGATTTTCGTATTAGTTTTCATAATAATAGAGAAAAAACGTAGAAAGGTCAGGTTAAAAAAAATTACGGCACTTCAAATTATGTAATACTTAATTGAGCTCGAAATCGTCTTTCGACTTTCTTTATTAAATGAAATAACCTTATGTATCCTACTTTCCCAACTTCTTTCCAACAACGGTGGCCACACCGGTCTCCAGTTTCAGCTTTCTTTTTTTTTTTCTGTGTTAACACTTTTTTTACCAAAAAGCTATGAAAGGAAATTTTCTTAGAGTGGTACTTTCGAAAAGTCATTTTTTGATTTTTCCGGCAGTTTTCCCGAACATATTGTTGAGTTTTGAGTTCTTTTAAGCGTTTTATGTTTTTTTATTTTGTATGTAGTTTTCATTTGGTAGATAGTATGTAGATATAATTGTTTAACCAACCAAAAATGCATGAAAATTTAACAGAAGGGTCATTATAAGTTGTACTTAGGGATCAAAAAAGAAAAGTAGATAGTAATGTAATCATTTTTTTTTTTTATAATTTTTTTTTTTTATAATTTTTTTTAAGATCAAATATTGATGAAAATTCTAAATATACAGCCTTTCAAATCATATGTAAACAAATTTCGCTCAGAATTATTTTTTGTCAGAAATAGTTTATTGTTGCCCACAGATACAAATTAAACAAATTTATGTATCCTACTTTCCCAACTTCCCACCTACAATAGTTGTGCACCCATTTCCATTATCAGCTTTTTTTATTTATTTACATTAATTTAATTATTTTATTGCCGTCATTCATTTGCACAATACATCAATACATATTCAATTTTTCAAGAACATGTTCTCAAAACTGTTATTTCAGGTAAAACATCTTTATGTTCAAATATTTGGCCCCAAGCACTAAAAAAAAAAATACAATTTGACCATCCTGGTAGTATTTACAACCGTGATGTACAGACAATTTATTGTAATATTATACTAGCATGTCATGACTTCCATGTAACTTACTTTGTTTTTTTTTTATCTAATGACATTAATTTATAGTTATTTTAAGATAAAAAGGGATCTACTTAAGATAAAAGTAAATTATAACTTTCTAGCTAGTTAAAGCTCAGCTTTATTCAATAAAATAATACTCAATTTAATTATTGTTAACCATATAGGAACTTTTTATTTAATACATTTGATAAATCTTTATAAATTCTCAATATTAAAAATAATACTAATTCTTCCACAAAAACGAATAAAAAAATATTGCTTTATGAATTGCTGTGGTACAATTATAAATACATATTATGATAAAATATGATAATAATAATATGATATTGTAAACAGAGATCAACCATAATTGGGTGGGAGAAAAATGGATATGTTAATTATTAACAAGATTAAAAAATATTAAATTTTTTATGCTTTAGTTTCCAACATAATATCTTTTTTTTCATTACTAATTGTCATGGACTCTACGTTTTCAGCCTTTTCATTTTTTTGACAATTTTCATCTTTATCATTGTCATTTTGTACTGTAGATGTCAAATCTCGTTTATCTCTATTTACTTCCGTCTTAGATTTATTGGATTTGTTAGCTTCTTGCACAACTAAAGGAAAAGGCAACTTATCTTTAACTACGTCTTCAATCTGACTTTTTTTTTCATTCAAAAACACAATAGGTTTTTTTTCTTCTTGTCTGCCGATAATTGTATTTAATTCTTTAATTTGTTTAATAGGTTTTTTTTTACTTTTATCAAATTGTACTTGTCGCGCACCTTTTAATTCTTCTAAAATCTGTTTTGATTCAGCTAATATTTTTTTCTCTTCATTTTCATGGCTTTTTAACTTTTCAAGTAGCTCAATTTCTGGTCTTTTTTCTAATTCCTCATCTTCTTTCTTTATAGCGTCTTTACTTATGGTATTTCCACTATCAACTTTTCTGATTTTTTCTTCCTTTACTTCAACATTTGGTTTCATTACTGGTTCCACTGGAATGGGAGGTTCTATTCTTATCTCCTCAGATGTTTTTAATTTCTGTACTTCCAGAAGTTTATCTTTGGATTTTAATTCCAATGATTTTATTTCTAAAACAATATTTAGATGAGTATTGGAAAACAATTTTAATTTTTTTAAATGCACATTCTTTAAAATAAATTAGTAACATTATTCATTTATATATCCTAAATTTTTTTTTTATTATTATTAAATATTATTATATTTAGTATTTCATGTTGCTTTTTAATTTTGACAGTATAAATATTTTAAACTTTGGTTTAATTAAAATAGGTGCCTAGTATTTTGTTTTAAACAAAAAATTAAAATATAAACTATTAAAGTACATATATTTCAGTTATTTTAATAAAAACCATTATTTAATTTACAATTTAGTAAACTTTGAAAACTCTAATTTAACCACCAAAAAGTTTAAAAAATTATGTAACCCTAGTATTAATTTTCATTTAGAAAAATATATGTAATATATAAATACATAAATAAGAATTTTAAGAAAATGTTAAAAGTAAATAAATAATTAGTGTCACAGTTACAAATATATGTAAACGATATACATACTTTTATCATTTAATTGTTGTTTAGCTAATTCATTAGCTAACAAATCAGCTGAAATAACACCTTTCACATCTACAATATCTCTATCAACTTTTTGTAAAGTCGAAAAAGACTGTTGGATAGCATAAAGATTAGCCAAAGTCCCCATTACCATAATAAATATACCTACAAAAAATATGAACTGAAAATAATAGAAATATAATATTAATATTATTTTAAAAATAAAACCAATTCATATACATAAATAGTATGCATTATAATTTATGATTGATGAAAGTAAATACACTAATACACTTACTCTAGCCAAAAATCGTTCTTTTGGACTTTTATTAGCAACTCGTACCAAAAACATAGAAGGAAACATAACATTTATCATAACTCCAATAGTAGATCCAATTAATCCCAATACTACTTCAATATTAGGCATTATGAGGCCGGTCAACAAAGAAAACAATACTATAAAAAATGTAATGCATTTGAAAGGTGTTTCAGCAATATGTTGTCTTCCTCCGGATACCAATACATAATCCTTAAACAAATTCCAAATTTACAATTTTTTTTAAACATAATTTGTTTTATTTGTTTAATGCACTTTATGAATTAAACTTTAAATTAGTTGTATTTCTTTATAGGTACTTACTTTAGTGGCAAGAAGGGAGTATATAGACGAACGGCATGGAAATATAACCAAAGGAAAACTGACAGCAATAGACATAACAAAACCAATTTTTATTATATCACTGGATAGACATTGTGAAAAACTAGTGAGAATATTTCCTAAAAACATAAAAATACATTTTAATTCATTATTAACTAAAGTTCTACACAATAACCTATACAATGGGGCTATGAAAACTTGAAACACTCTGTAACTCAGTAACCCGTGCAATGTGCATTTGTTTTTATTCAATCCTTAAAACGTTATGACCTTTACACATACATTTATACCTATATACATAGAATACACACCTACCTACATACATACACACATAAATAAATAAATAAATAACATTGTAGGAAGTATATTGTTGACCCCCAAGGTCAATGGGTGAAAATTGATTGAATTATCAATTCTACTTCGTCTCTTTTGTCTTCAACCCAACTATTTGGGATAGGCTATCCTCGCCCAAAACTTCAATTTGACTCGATATCCAACATTAGGCTCGCATTCACCTCTTGATATGTTGTAGTTGGCGTATTCTAATGAAGCCAAGTACACAATGCAATCGTATGCCAAATGAGAATTTAATAAAATTAAGACTATGCCAAAAAATTATTCTAAATGTTTTGTGTATTTTACGTAGTTTCATTAGCAGAATAGATCCCCTTGGTTGATTTATTTAATTCCAATTTATCATCATGATTGATTATTTAAAGCCAATTTAGTTACCTAGAAATTAGCAAATAAATCAGTTTACTCCCACTCACAACTTAATTCCATTACCAATGAACTATTACTGTTATTGGAATATTTTATTGTTAATACTCCATATTAAAAGACGTCAAGAGGAGCCGTATCTTTTAAACCTCAATTGAAATACAGAAAACTGTAATTAAGTTTTACTTAGCCTTAAGCTTAAAGCCAAAGCTTAAGTACACATTAAAATACCGGCCCTAAGATATCTTAGGTCCCTAAAGGTGATAAGAAAATAAGAAACTAACAAATTGAATACAGGGAAAAGATCATATTTGTGTACGGACAATCCGGCACTATAAGTAAACTATTTTTCATAACATAGTTTTACTACTAACTATCAACTATCTCTGTGCAGTCGAGAAAAAAGTTAACCGATTTGAAATATTTTTACACCGGTTTACTTTAGAGAATGTTTAAAACGCAATACACACTGATTTAATTTTTAAAGGAACCTGAGAAAATGTATATTGTATACCGGTTAACTCATGGCTAAATAAATTATTTAGTCATGGGTTTACTGATTACTACATATAATATATATAATTTTTTATAGAACGAATTTGATATGTCTAAGGTAGTTATCATTTAAAAAGTTATTATCACGGTTGTATATCTACATTCCACAACAATGGGGCAAAAATGTGAATGGAGAAAATAAATTTAAAATAAACCCTGATTTGTTATGCAAAACCACATTGGGTAGAATTTTATTTCATGTGCAGGAAATATATTGAGGTAACCGATTTTACAAAATTTAATTTTGATATTTCATTATCAAAATTGGGATTCAAGTGTTATACTGATCCCGAGATACAGCCGAACAGTATTTTAGTCGAAAATAATTCAAGCGAACGAATTTAATCCGAAAATGAAATTATCAGAAAATATTAAAAAATATATCCGCCAAAAGTATTTCGGCTGAGAATAAAACAACCGAACGTATTTTAGCCTCAACGCCCGAAACTCTACGGATTATCAACTTACACATTTCTTATCATTGTTTTCAATCAGAAAAAGGTTGAATTAGAAAACTTTGAAGTTTCAAAGTCAATATTTTGAAAAAAATTTAAAATAACGTGCAAATTTTAAGTTGTATTTCAAATTAGTGACTTATATTTATATATTGAATACATTTAATATTATTGTAATAAAGTACATAATTGACACTTAAACACAACTATCCGTATTTTTCTTACGTTTTCCCTAGTTTTTCTATTTTATTTTAATTAGAAAACCACCCAATAATTTGTATATTAGGGGTGTTACCAATGTCAAAAAATATTTGCCTATGCAATAATTTAACGCTTAATACTCGTAAACCTTGTATAATAAATTATGTATTCACTAGTTAATTGTTAATCCACCTATAGGTTATTTATGATTATTAATGATCCAGATTCAGAATAGGTCGAGTTAAAACTTTAGTGCAATCATAAACTACTTGCTATAAAAAAGTAAATTGATTATTATTTCTTAAATACTAGTAAATTAATGTCTTTATAATTGTTCAGATATATAAAAAAAAATATTTCTAGATGATTTTGGCTTTATAAATCCTAACCTAGAAATATGTAATCGTGATCAATCAAATGCTCCATTTTAAACAAATTATTATAATATATATATATATATATAAAAATTATTTAAAAAAAAAAATCGACGCACTAAAAAATAAATACATTAATGGTACAATTTTTTTTTTTTTTTTTGATAATGAAAATGTCTATGCAAATATTTTGTTGTTCAACGTTGGCAAAATTTCAAACTGAATCAGAAAAAATTTCTTATCTGACAACTGCTCCCATAAAATGTTATCAGCTTAAATACAGTTCGGCTGATTTATTATCGGTTTTTTTAAGGGCTCTCAGTCACGATATAAAGCAGACTGGCACAGTATAAAATATAAATAATATTGTTTATTGTTTATTTTGGCAATACTGTTAAATAACTGATTTTTATCATAAATACAATTCTATGATAATAATATCATAAAATTATGGAGATTAGTGATGTAAGTAACAAATTAAAATGTATTATTAAGGTTTTATGAAAAAAATAAATAAGTAAGTTTAGTTATAGTTTATAATCTATTAATTTTCGAATATATTTTTTTTATTATAACAAATTATAAATATATTATATTAAATAAGGAATTTGTAAAAGTAATCAACAATAATATTAACTTCTAGCATAAATAGTTCACTGTACTATGATACAAATATGACAAAAACAGAGGAGAAAAAACAAGAATTTAGTACAGAAATAAACCAAAATCGCATCAACTATTTATATCAGTTAAGTATAATAATCACTGAACAATGTCCTGGTTTATCTTCAACATACAACTCTATATTAAAAGGTTTATCACAAAAAAGCTTATTAAAAATAGATCCAGAAATTAAAAGAAATATTTGCAAAGGCTGCAATACAATGCTTATACCAGGAAAAACAGTTACATGTCGTACAATTAAGAAATCCAAGGGTTCGGTAAAATGGTCTTGTAAATTTTGTGGTAAATCAAAAATATTTAGAAAAAATAATAACTATTGTATGTGGTCAGAAAATTCAGAATTTTTGTTACACACTATTTCTTACAATTAATAAAATAAACTATATTTTTACCTGTTAATATTGAATCGTGATATGCAATATACCCAAGAATTCCTACACTGATGTAAACGCTAGTGCACATATTCATCGATGAACGTATTATAGCATTTAACTTATCCAATGATTCATTTGAAATTGATTCAAATATATCAAACAGCTGTCTAAAAATGATATAATTTTATGATTAGAAAAATGTATTCATTTTCTGTTATAATAGATACATTTAAAAAAAATGTATTTATTAAATTTGTATTCACTTATTAAATAATAAACAGTATAAGTTATATTGATTATTTTTTTTTTAAAAAATATATATAATTTTATGTGTACCATTTTATTTTATTATTATGTACTATTTTTAAAAGTTAATGCCTATGTTTATAAAGATGAACCATCATCACCAACCATTTTCTTCATCATTTTATGTAAACCTACAATCTAAATGTAAATAATTATGCATATTCATGAATCATCTTTTGATATCTAATAGTAATTTTAAGTGTTTACTTATCAAAGAAAAATAAATATGGTCTTTGACTTAACCTCGTTTAGTTAACAAATAAATATTATGAAAAAAAAAATTGTAAACCAAAAATTTAATTTTATAATAAAAATAAAAATAAATTTGAACAACAGATTTTTTATTTTTATCAATTAATAAATAAAATATTTATTATCAATGGGAAATTATTTTGATTAATATTCAAATACTTAGCCTAAAAAAATGTATTTAAAAATACAAATAAATTATATACTTACGTTTGACAAAATAAAGACATTGAAAATATTGGCAAACATTGAAGAAGGCCAGCAGGTTTCCAAAAATATATTTCTGATACCCAAACAGAAGAAAAGAGTTTATCAAAAGCTTCAACAAAAATCTGAAAACGGTAATAAAAACTTATTAATACCTATTGAAAACTTCTCACTAGACATATTGTTGAATGTAAAATGGTACCTTAAATACTAAACAAGCATAAAATATTATTGCTGCTGTACAAATTGTATTTAAACTATTAACATCACGTAACAACCCCAATGGCAATACTACAAATGCAGCTAAACCTATAAAAATTATTCATATTAATAATATATACATATATAAAAAAAGCTTTTTTCACCATTTAGAGAATATAACCAAAGACCAGAACAACGAATTACTTAAGATCATCTAAAATACGTATATATGATTGTGTCCACAAAGATATACCAATTGTAATATTGCCAAAGATAATAAAAATAATCAAATTGTGTTTCTTTTAATATTACTTAAAGGATAAGGACTACAAATATTTGTATTACAATTAATTTTTTGTTTTGGTAAAAAACTTCCAAAAAATAACTTTGTTTTATTATTTTTGAAAAATTTAAAGATGACCATTTTATAGAGTTAATTCTTCTGAAAATATGACGCATCAACTATTTATTTTCATTAAATTTGTTATTTTAAATAATAGTTTAAAATTCATAAAAAAAAAATATAGTCAACTAGCTATAAGAATAATAATAACAATCAATTACAATAAAAAACAATGCAATTACAGCCTACTACACATTTATAAGTACTATTAGAACTTTAAAAAATTACTAAAAACCATAAATTTAATGAAAATGAATAGTTTAAATGTTCAGAAGAACTCTATAAAATGCTATCATCAAATCTTTCAAACAAAAAACATACATATATGTAATCTTTATCAATGTAAATAATAAAAGTAGAATTTAGTTATATCCATTATCTCAGGAGATATTTCAATTTGTATATCTTTGTGATACACAGTGATATCAAACACTTAAATTAACAAAACCACTAAATTTTATATTAATTTCAAATTATTTACCAATCATAATACTTGGACGTAGTGCTGATGTATTTTTAATATTAAATGTATCACCTATAATCTGTGGTCCTAAATCACCCATAACAACAAAGAATGCAATGCATGTTCCCATAAGGAACATTATTATGCATAACTCTACTGTGAATTTTCCTAATTTTCCAAATAAATGAAATGCTGAAATCAAAAAATATTAAAAACATAGTATAGGTATACAAAAATTATAATTTAAACCACTTACCTAAGAATTCAAAATCTCGTGTCCTCGATTTAATAGCAGATTTTAATAAAAAATGACAAGAGGCTCTTGACATTAAATTACTCAACACCAATAATAATGTTGACAGAACAATACCACACTATACAAATAGAAATAATAGATTGTCACAGTTAATGAATTTTTAATTTTTAGAATTTGTATATTATTTAAGTTTTTTATAACACATTGGTTGAAAAAAAATCAAATATTTTCTCTTTTATCTTAAAAATATTTCAATTTCTCATAAACTATTGCAAATAGCAGTCTCTATTTTTAACTTAAATTTGTCAACATAAATTAATTGATAAATAGACATTGCATATTGAACCACTTATTTATAATTTATGAATATTTAATGTTTAGTATAGGTTAGAGTCAAGGAATATGTAGTGTATATTTTCTGTATCATAATTTAAACTTTTAATAAGTATTAATTTTAATTTTATTATATGTAAAAAAATGTTTTAATCTGAAACATTAATTATGATAAGATTAATTTACAACATTTATTTATTATGACAAGAAATACTATACATTTAGTAATTAATTTGCATTTGATAAATTATATTAATAAATTACACTAAATTATGAAGTTATTGATGAGAATGAATCTGATAAAACACTATTTACTATACAGTATACATAGATATGAACAAAATAATACAATAATTTAAAATACAATACAATTTTTACCTCTTTAAAGCAAAATGGCATAGCAAGTATGCTGACCCCAATAATGCTGTTAGCCAGAGTCATTACGTGAGCTCTCATTTTTTATATTTATTTCTCATCTATCTTTTATAAAATTAATTAATCATGATAATTATACAGTAAAAAAAATTTAAAAGTGTTATTTGAATAGATACTACATTAATGTATACATTACAGAATAGTTAATTTGAACACATTTATACAATGTATAAACCAATTTATTATGTTTAATACAATCCGCATTATTAAGTATAGTCTTAATACGAAATATGAAACTGAAGTATTAGCGTCATACTTATTAAATATAATTTATTATAATCTTGAGTATTGTGTTGAATATATTTTAAAAAACTGCCAAGTGCCAAGTATTAAAAGTTTACAAAAACAATATTTATGAACTCAGAAACACGTAAGTGTAATTTGATTATAATGATAATACACTTTGAGAATCCCTGAACACCACATCAGCGATGATAATAATTGCTACTGATAATATTGATAAAAAACGTGAATGTGAAACTGTGAAAGTAATATTAAAATTCTTTGTAGCAGATTGTATAAGAATAGGTACATAAAAGAACTACCTAAAATTTAAAGTTGGGTTAAAAGTGTTATTCAAAATTATATAAAAATGGAAGAATCTGGCCAAAAGGTAGGATTTAAAATAACATTAACGTCGGATCCAAAACTGCCATTCAAAATACTCAAAGTACCAGAAGCAGCTCCATTTACAGCGGTTTTAAAATTTGCAGCTGAAGAATTCAATGTATCTAGTGAAACGTCCGCTATCATCACAGATGATGGAATAGGAATCAATCCTCAACAGACAGCAGGTGTTGTATTTCTCAAACATGGTGCAGATCTTCGACTCATACCAAGGGACAGAGTTGGATCTATCAAATGTTCATAATATAATATTAAATTAAAAAAAATATTTTCAAATTACTTGTTTATAATACTTTAAGGTTTTTAAAATTTTTTAATACATTACCTAATAAAACATTGTTAATAAAATTAATTAATTTTATAGAAATAAAATTTTGTTCAAACAATTCTTAAAAGACATCCAGATGTTGTATTTATCCTAAATAATAAATTATTCCATTAATAAAAGTCTAATTATTTAATTCTGGTTAAATTACGTAATTATATCCTCTGATCCTTTAATAGCATGCAAAAAATATTTAAAACCAAATTCTTTAATTTTGGACACTTTGGCACATCGAACTTCTAAGTCCTATAATAAGAAAAATACTACATATATTACACATTTTATTTTTAAAACATAAATACAAATGGTTAGGTCAGAAACATTTAATTATTAATTATAAAAAATAATGGTTATTAATAAAACAGAATGTTATATAAAGAAGAATTGGAAGCAGTAAGAATGGTAATGAAAATAAACATAGGAGGAAAGATGGGAAGAAGTCCGAAAAAGAGGTTGATAGATACAATTTAGAATGGTAAGAGAACAACTGGTGTATGTAATAATATGTGGAATAAGGTCAACTGGAAGTTTAAGTTGAGGGTAGCCAACCCCAAATAGTTGAGATGAAGGCATAGACAGTTATACTATTTAGAAAATGTCTGGTTTAAATTACTTGTAGAGATATTTAAAAGGTTAACTTATTAAAGAACTTCAAAATAGGTGACAGTCCTAACTAGTTAAAAAGTTATTAGTTATTTTGCGGTAACTTTTAACTTCATTAGTTTTAGAAAATAGAATGATTGAAGATGACTTAATCATTTTGTTCAAACTTAAGTTATTAACAAAGTTTTTGGAGAAAACAAATGGTTTACCTATGTATTATTAAAAATAGCAAGTAAGTATATATATAAAAGTTATATGTATATATTAAAAATTAAAGTACAAAATACGTTGAATGTATAGTTGTAAACAAATTTCAAGAAAAGTAACTTTTAACTTCACTAGTTAAAACAATTAGTTAACATATCCAATTTTAGAACTTCAATGTAATATTTTAATACTACACTATATTACAAGTACTAAAATACCTTTTAAAAATTGTACATTAATTTTATTTTACGATTCATAAACATATCTGGATAGTTTCATTAATCCTCAAGCAGAAAATAAAGAAGTTATTTAAAATGATAAATATTAGTAGAATTAAATAATATACCTATTTAAAAACAACTTACATTTTCTAATATTTCTTGGAATTTCCGCCGTTTAATTATTTGAATTAAATATTTTCGTCCTTCAATGTAACGTCTGATAAAATTACCAGAAGATGGAAAAGAAATCCAATAATTATCTTGATTTTTAATCAATAAAAGCCCACAATTGATTAATTCCCTGAAAGCAATTAAACATTTATTTAACAATTAAGTTATTATACAATAAAAAACAAATGAAATTTAAAGTTAAAATTAATTTTTTTACGTCAATTCATATTGTTGCAATTTAAACTTTTGTTTCAAAGCACATTTTTCCACTCCAAATGATTTTATTTGTGGTAGAATAGTATTTAAAAATTTGTTAATACATTTATTATCTGGATAAATGTTTAATATATACTTTACATAATCTTCATATAATATTAAAGCTGAAGAAAAATCACTTGTTCCAATTGTAAATTCTTGTATCTTGCATTGCTTTCTTAATATATCCTAAATTATAAAAAAATATTAAAATATTTCTAAAATTATAAAACTATAATAATAACTGACCAGTTCTTTATTAATCAATGTTTTATTCTGAATGACATCATAAAGTTGATTTATAAAAACAATTTGTGGATACTTCAATGTGTCCTTAAGAGTTGCTGGTAACAATGACTTAATATATCTAATGGCTGCTTCTGTATCGTTTGGTAAATCATTGATCGCTATACTGTTGTCATCAAGAAGTGCTTTATGATAAAATATGGTATAAATATAAACAATTCATAATCAATACATTTGTACATTTAAGTACATTCAACAGTCAGACTACCATATTAACCTAGTCAAGAGATTCTGAATTAAATATTTAAATAATAACCATTTCATGATTAAAAATTATTGAATGAAATAGAAAAAAATGATTTTAAATATAATAAGTGTTTATAGCTCTATTTGTAGTAATTAAACTGTCAAACATACAAACATTCAATATATATTACATATAGGTATATATACATTATATATTATACCTTTATCTGATGACGACATAACAAATTCAAAATGTTTAACAATAGGTACAATTATAATAATAATATTGCCAATTTATATTATTTGTATAATTCTTATAACATTTTTATTACATAGGTAGTAGGTACCTAAAAATTAAAACAGGGATAAAGTTAATTAATTTGTGATAGGTTTGATACCTAAAATTATTCAAAAATGTATAATTCTTTAATATATAAGATTATACCGACATAACTTGAAGCAATTCAAATCTAATGAAAAACATTATTGTCTATTGAACTACAGAGTTTAGAATAAATTAATTTAAATTAATTATTCAAACATTTCAAATGTTTATAATAGGTAGACGGTACACTTAGGATTCTTTTTCATAGAAAAACATTGGAATAAGACTTAAAAATATGATTATTGATAAGTTATCCTTATGATTAATCACCACGAGTCGGAGGCAGTTGTCCGAATGATAAGAGCCGAACAAGAAAAATAATAGCGCCAAACATGTTATGCAACCTTAATTTATCCAACATTTTATAAAAATAGTTGAGATTCTGGTGGTAGCTCGTGTCCAGACGTCGTCCAGTCCGCACATATTTGTTGCGTGACCGGCTTTATCAGTTCATGTTGGCGTATACTTTTATTGTTATTCAATCGTTTTAGTCATTACTTGTGGATTATGGCATAATGCATCGTCAAGTGCGTGTACTATTATCCAAGTTTATGGTAATATTTTAATTACTAAACTACATAACTAGTTCGGCTGTCGTCTTTATCGGCAAACCGCTATTATTATATTATAATTATGCCTAATACGAAAAATAAAAGCAACAAAAAAGTTAATCAACAATCCGATTATGATAATTCAAAAACTTTAACACAGTCACTCAATCAAAATAAGCACCCCTTCACTTCTACTCTCATTATAATGTTGGATAATAACTCAAATTACGGATTAACTACGGTTACAAACAAGAGATAGTTCTCCTCTTTCTTGTCAACATCAACCTCAGGATATACCGTCATTCTCATATTCGCAAAAAATTAATAAAAAAACCAAACTTTGTAGAGTCTACAAGCCAAAAATAATTAGCCAAGATTTTTTGCAATCCTGTGCTATAATCCTAAAAATGAACAATATTCCTATCACTGTTGCTGCGATCTATGCTCTCCCCAAGCACAAGTTCACATTTTAACATTTTTCTGACTATTTTAACTCAGCTAGTAACAACTTCATTATTAGTGGCGATTTCAATGTTAAACATCAGTCCTGGGGCTGCCGTGCAAACAACCCACGTGGTTTAGTATTAAGCAATTTTGTTGCACAAAAAAAAACTTTTAGTACCAGGGCCAACCTACTGGCCGACCATTGCACGAAAAGTCCCGACATATTAGACATATTTATTGCTAAAATCCCAAGCAACATTTATTGTAACATATCGAATCTCCTTGATCTAAATTCCAATCATTCCTCTGTTCTTCTAACACTCAATGTCTCTCCTCCTCTACAACGTGAATCTTCAAAGTTATTTAACCCTAGCACTGACAAATTTCGCGATCTTGTTGATCAAAAAATTTAATTAAAATCTAACGATAACCTGGATCATGCTGTAAACAATTTAATTCATATTATACAAACTGTCTTGAGCCTCCACCTCCACTACTATTATCCCTTCAAAAATTCCTCTAATCCCACTTCATATTCGTGAAACTATAGCGAAAAAGCATATGGCTCTTACCAGGGATCTTTACCAACGGACTCGGCTCCCTTCTCAAAAACAAAACTATAATAAACTCGCCAACTATCTAAAAAAAAATACTAGCTAAATTCAAAACCAAATCCTTTAACAATTGAAACTAAACTCACTCCAACAAACGGGAGTCTGTGGATAGCGACCAAAAAAATAACCAAATCTAAACCGCAAATATCCAAATAAAAAATCTAAATGGTAGTTTTGTTGTATCCGACTCTGATATAAAGCTGAATTATTTTAACACCATTCGTCTGAAATATTCCAACCCCATCCTGATATTTCTCTCCCCATATCCTAATCTCTGTAGAAGATTTTCTCAATTCTTCCCTCCCTGTCTCTCGTCCAACTAAACATTTCACGCCAAACGAAATCAAATATGTCATTAATAAATACCCCCTAAATATATCTCCCGGTTTTGACCTCATTACCAATGAGGTAGCTAGATGGTTGCTCAAGAAAGCGCCATCATTCACCATTCGCATTTATTTGACTCCGTTCTAAGACTTTCTTACTTCCCAATTCTTTGAAAATATTCAATAATTATCTTTGTAATTAAACCTAATAAATAACCAGATTTTTTTTTTCTTTTCGGTCTATAAGCCTCCTACCTTTTTTTTCAAAAATCCCTGAAAGATTTTTACTAAAAAGAATCTTACCAAGCTTATCTTCAAACTCTATTCTCCCGGACTCACAGTTTGGTTTCCGTAGCTCCCACTCAACTATACACCAAGTACACAGAGTAATAGACGCCATCTCCTAGGCACTAGAGAAAAAATCCTACTACACTGGTGCGTTTCTTGACACCTCAAGCTTTTGACAGGGTTCGGCACGACGGGATCTTGAACAAATTAAAAAAAATGTCTGCACCCAGTTTATTTCCTTATTATCAAATCTTATCTTCCTGATCGCTACTTTAGCGTTCGTGTCGGTGAAGCCTTTAAAGTGTAAGCGAAATCCTTGCTGGAGTTCCTCAAGGTGAAATTTTCTATCCTATATTATACAAGGTTTAAGTATCTGACCAACCTACCACGTCATTCACGATGGTAATTGACTATGCTGATGACAAGGCCATTATTTTCACTTATCCTGACAGCTTCATTGTCTCAACTCACTTACAAAATCATCTTAATTTCATGGAACGCTGGTACACTAAATGGTGGCTTAAAGTCAATCAATATAAGTCTGTTCACACTACGTTTACCCTCAGACTTGCTCCCTGTAACTATCTACAATACCCAAATCCCCATCTCGGCATTAGTTAAATATCTTGGATTAACCCTTGATCGCCGACTTACCTGGTCTCAGCACTTAAGAATTAAACGTCTCAGTTTGAACGCTCGATTGCGATCGCTAAAAACTTATATAATTAATATTAATTTCACACACATTAACACCAAGTTTTTTATAAACAAATCCCTAATTAAGCCAATCTGGATGTACGGTATTCAATTATGGGGTAATGCTAAAAAATCTAACATAAATAAAATCCAAACTTTCCAAAACATAGCACTTAGAAAACTATTAAACGCTCTCCTTTACGTCTCAAATGATACTATTCACTCTGGCTGCTTATCTCAAAAAATCTAAGTAATTAAATATTATATACTGTATCTATAATTTTTTTTTATGTTTCATGTTAATAACCTGTATTACATATACTTATTGTGCTTAAGTTGGTACAGATTGTGTATCTTCTTTTAAAAGAAAAAAAAAATTCTGATGAAGCGAAGAAGCATAATATAGCTTTATGATGTTTATTTTTTTGTTCTATGGACAATTTTTCTACCAGAAATCTTGCTCCAATTTTTAAGTGTAACACTGTTTCTGAAAGGAAATCTGACTTGGATGGTACTTAAGAGGTTATTTTTTGATTTTCCTAGTTGTTTTCATAATAAATGGGAAAAACCTAGAAAAACGTGAGAAAAACGGGTAAATATACGAAATGTATTATTTTTAAATCATAAATGGACCATGAAGTAAGATATCATAGTTTGTAGTTTATACTTTATAGCATAGATATAGATAAGTACTTTATGGTATATATTTTATCCGTGAATTATTACTATTATCTATAAACATTGATAATGGTTATTAATGTACTCAGTAGGTACTCACTGCATTATAAATTATAATATTTAAGACACGATTCCGAAAAGTGTGGCGCCAAAAATATATGATGGCTTGGGATAAAGCTCATCGATTTGAGAAGAAAATTCTTTTGAAGAAAAATCGATATTTCTAATTGTTTTCGAGATTATAGTCGGCTGTAATATTTTCGAACAAAATACTATAGGCTAAAATATTTTTCGGCTTAAATATGGTTAGACTGATTTATTTTCAAATGTTTAACGCGCTCCCATATTTGTGTTCAACATCATTACATCAGTGTGTCTATGAACGAGACAACAAGGGAAATATAATAAACAATCCTAGGTCCTACTGATTTTCTCGTGTTCGTTTTTCTTCCATTTTGCCATTGCTTATTTGTTAATTAGATTTTGTTTTGTGATGAAGACTTCGTAAGAACATAAAGCTAGAATTTGGTTTTGTATTGTGTTTACCATAGAAAACTAATACTCTTAATCTATCACCAGTAGGTACTTGGTACCTTTTCAATATTAATTTTTCAATTATTTTGTAGCGTTGTGCTGTATTTAAACTCTAGACTCATTAAATCACTGACGTTACAGCTTACTACTTGTTTAACGTTTATATTTATCGGCTATAAAATGCCTCTTATTAAGTTGCAAAGTTCCGACGGAGAAGTATTTCAAGTTGACTTCGATATTGCTAAAGCTTCGGTTACCATTAAAACTATGGTTGAAGACTTGGGATTAGAAGACGACGACGAAGAAATTGTTCCATTGCCTAATGTGAACGCAGGTATATTAAAAAAAGTTATTCAATGGGCAACTTATCACAAGGATGACCCACCACCAGCAGATGATGACGAGGGTCGTGAAAAACGCACAGACGATATATCAAGTTGGGATGCAGATTTTTTAAAAGTGGACCAAGGTACTCTATTTGAACTCATATTAGCAGCTAATTATTTGGATATCAAAGGCCTATTGGATGTGACCTGTAAGACTGTTGCTAATATGATCAAAGGTAAAACACCCGAGGAGATCAGAAAGACATTTAATATTAAAAACGATTTTACTGCTGCCGAGGAAGATCAGGTGCGTAAGGAAAACGAGTGGTGTGAAGAAAAGTAAATTATTCTTATTCATAAATTTAAACATTTTCTTTCTATCTTATAATAATTTTACATTTCTAATCGTCAATATTTTGATTTTTTATTTATTTATCTTATGTAATAAAACTTTATTGTAGTTAAATTTGTTTTGTAAGGATTTAAATAACAATCACAAAAATCTTTGTATTTCCTCTGTTGTACAATTATATATTATTGTATTTTATCCTTTGATTAATAAGTTTATAGTTTAAATATTATTACTTCTTGGCTGATAACACAAATGTGTAAAGTGTTCTGATTTTCTGATGTTCTGTATAAAATAATACTTGTTTAACTAGTAAATTTAGTTAAAACTTAAGTTTTGCAGAATAATAATGTTTAAAAATTAAAATATACGCGCATATTGCCCAATTGACTTTTTATTTGTTGTTAGTTATTTTATAAAATATTATCAACTAATAAATACAACAGTACTTTTTGGGTTAAATTAAAATTGATTACCAATAATGAGCGTTGGTAAATCATATTTAAATAAATAAGTTTGATACTGTATTTATGTATATTTTTATTTTTAGTGCAATTAAAATGTGTTTAAAATTATTAGTGTTTAATTACACTTTAAAACTAATCCTTATTATAGTATGGTTAACTAAAGTAAATAATACTAATTTAGAATGAAACTATCCTACAGTATACTTATAGAAATTTATCTAAACACCTAATTAATTTGATAATACACTAATTGTTTTAACTAAAGATGTAAATTTCTGTAAAAGCTCTAAGGGTATTTATTAAGTAAATTATATAATATACAACAATACAATTATGTTGTTAGGAGTTTATAAAATTGAATTTTGTATTTTGTTAAAAAATAATTTTTATTACTTGATAAAAGAGTAAAATATAATGTATTAGATTAATAATGTAGCAGTACTTCTTTTTCTTATGGTGTCCAAACTGTATAGATGTTTTATTATATTCCTTTTTTACTACATTTATTGATGGTGTGTAGAACTCCATCTACCGTTTTCTAAATCTTCAAATGTCCATCATTAGTAGCAATCAAACGATTTTGTCATGGGGGTGAGATAAGGATAATTTTTTAAGAACTTATTATTTACATAATTTTTTTCTATACTTATGAAGGTATAAAAGATATATAAAAGGTCATTTTTTAAAAATGCTACCCCATTTGTATGGTTGAATAATGCGAATAAACCGTCAAATTAATTTTACTTAAAAATCACAAATAAGTTTTGTCAATTAATTAAAGTCGATAATAATACAATTAATATTATACATTATTATAAATATATTGTAAACTATATGCTATAGTTAATGTAAAGTTTATTATATCATAAACAAGAAGTGTAAAAGATCATGATCAAGTGTGCTTTCAGATTTCTGTACTTATTTAAAAATAATATATTTAGTCACCCCCAAAAAAAAATCCAGGGCACACCTTGGAAAGCCATACGACAGAAATTATCTGATCAGAGGTCAGCAGCCTGCAATTAGCCACTAATATTTATAATTTTTAAGTAAAATACATTATTTAAAGTTTTTTTCCGATTATCGAATAATACATAAATTCAAATTTTGTTTTTTAGAATTTTTACATTCAGTAAAAAATTAATAATTTTTTTTAATAAATTTGACATTTAGTTATTAGGATATATTATTCCGTTTGTTCACTTCCATAATCACAGTATTTAGTTCTTGTATTGTACCTCAGATGTATTGGGTATGTAGGCAACATTAATACGTGAAAAATTTAAAGTTTTGATACCTAACCATCATAATGTAAATATGTGTCACAATAGTTATTCTTTGGTTTTTTGCTGAAATTATTTGCTATTTCAACAATAATATACTGAATTACACAAAAAAGTTAAATAATACATTTATAAGTTAGGTTTTTCCTTTACGTATTTTAAATATTACTTTTTGAAATCATTTAATTTCAGTATTGTTATTATGCTTTTACACAATTTCAATATTCTCAAGGTGAGCAATTAGAAGGTAAAACCTTATTAAAATGATAAATACTTTATCTACTTATTTCATATCGATAAAGCTCATAACAATTAGGTACTATTGAACCATTTGATCCAATATGTATTTTTCCAAGAATTAAAATATTATAACAATATGTATCATCAAAGAAAAAAAATGGTCTATTGATAATAAGCCAAACTTTTTTCTTTCTCACTATCTGTTATTTTAATTTCTTTAATTCTCTAGACCAGCGTTTCTCATTCATGTACCCCTTGACCTCTCCCCACTGCTTTATGGACTCCAAGCAATGCTATCAAATTTAATGAAATTTAGTGCACATATCGTGCCTTCACCTATAATGATTTATTATACTCATTACACACATATATTATAAAAAATTGATTTACAATATTTCACAAGTAAAAAGTCATTTCAATCAGATACAACAAATTTCACTTTTTTCCATGAACCCCCCTAATAATGTTTACGTACCAGTTGAGAAACTGCTAGACTATAATGGGATTAATACAAAAAACCATTTTTGTGGTGAATAATTTTGAAAATAAGACAAAATACTTTATGAGTAAATGTGAATTTGTTAAGTCAGTAGACAGTTTAATACTTCTTGTATATTATTTGCCACCTAAGTTTACCTTTTCAATATCCCTAAAATTATTAACAAATACTTAACTGTCTTTGGTAAAAAAAAAAATGCTTGTTTAATATATATTTTCATTATATTCCTCAGGTTTTACAATTTCACAACTTATTGTCAGTTCATTATTTTTCATTAATTTTCCATTGTTTTTTTTCAATTCCATATTTAAATTTTCAACATTTCACCGGATTTTGATAATTTCTACTTTTTAAAAATTCTAATCCTACCAATAATTTTTCAATATCTCCCAAAATAAAAATCATTTGAGTTTTACGAAAAATACTTAGTTATTGTTAAATCAAACGGAAGAAGTTTCTATTTTAATGTTTCAATTTTAGAAATTTTGTATCTGAATTTCATATAAATTAGATACCTTCTTTTTATTCAACCATAAAATGTTTAAAATCAATGAGAATGAAATTTCCAACATTTTAAAATGAATTGAATTGAATATTTCTTTTACAATATTAAGTCTTTTCAATTGGAAAAAATAAACAATGGTTTTATAAACATGATTTGTATCGTTTTATTTTCATTTCCTAAAGTATTTCACACATTTTCCAGTCTTCAAAAATATTTAATGCTTGAAATTTTTTAACCCCATATTATTATTTGAAAGAGTGGACATATATAAAAAAAATATAATAAAACAAAATGGTTAAATAATGTCAAGATACATTATTTAACTCCAATTCCACATATTATTTTTAAAACATAAACATAGTGAATACCATAAAATTCTTCAGTAGGATGTGTTAATTTGTTTTTAAAGTATGTGAGTTCTACCTATACATTATTTCCAAGCAATTTTTACGCGACAATACTCTATACGTCTAAAAATATGTTGCCCTTCTGGATTAGTTCCAAAAACTAAGAGACTTTAGAAATACATGCAAAAGTTTTTAGCATTTCCAAAAACGCGCAAATTATTGGAACGATTCCATACTTAAGTATTCTTTCTAATTAAATAAAATACATTGCCCATAACGTCAGACAGCTGTTGTAAAGCAAAGGATTAAACAAGGTTTTAAAAAAATATACTAAGATAAAAACGAACTAATTAAATGTGTGTACATTGAACGGGATTTATTGCATTACATTTCAATACATTTATTGTTTGTTTTTTTTTTTATTATTATAACTAAACAATATTAATTATAAATAATTGGCTAACCGAATTATATAATTTTTTTACATTATAATTCTAAACTATACTTTCATACAATCTTAATGACCTCATATAAAAGCAATCTCACCTAAATAAATCATATATAACAAATTTATATATAAATATAGTTATATATAAAAATTGCAATGTTCATTAAATTAATAAAACATGTTAGTTACATATAATTTATTACACAATGGGATTGCAACACTAATTAAAACTGTACAAATTGTAATGACATTCACAGTTTTAAAGACTAGGTTAAATAATAAAATGAATAAATAATATATAGGTAAAACAAAAAAAATTAATAATAATAATAAATAAAGTAACAAAAGATATAAAAAATTTAAATGAATTAACAATAAAAATAATACTTTTTATTAATTAATTAAAATCAAATAACCATAAACAGCAGTTTTGGATAAGGTTTAACTCATAATGATTAAATCATTTATAATAAATAAATATAATATATTATTTCCATTTCTTTATAATTAAAATATTGTATTGAGATTATTATTGAGGTGATGACAAACGATGTATAGTGTGTCTAAAGGTGATTAATAATAATAATAATAATAATAATAATAATTAAAACAATAGTCATCTAATAAACAGTAAGGTAAAGCATATTATCATTTCACATTAAATTTATTTTGGACCTATATAAATGTATTTTATAATGTTAAATCAATATATTATTATTGTTATTTAAATTGGTAAATTACCTACTCTTCTAGACTAGGATATATTATAATACGATATTTACAAACATTGTTATTAATCATATGATGCGGACAATTTATAGTTAAATGTATTTACATGTTTTGTTGTCCACTATACATTGTAATAGATAATATATTATATTTTATTAATGTGTGTATGTATGTTCTATATATATATATATAATATTATTTTTTTTGATTGTCGAGATAAGAAAAAAAAAATTAGTTGGCATAAGATATTTATATAGACAATTAATTTAATTGATAAGGCCTACTTTGAAGTAATACAATATTTTCATTCTATACATCTTATGTTATTTATGTAGCTTAGATGTAGTGCAACACAATGACAAATCTTAAAATTTCGACAGAGATCAAAATATTGATGAAAATTATACAAATATATATATATATTTTTTTTTTTGCATTTAAACACATCGAAATTATCAGTCTTGTTAAAAATACAATTGAATGACTTCAATAAAGTCAAAAAGTGGATATACTTTATAGTAAAACCACTAAGTTGTATTCCAAATTAGTTATGGATACATGTTGATAAAGTTACCATAATTTAATTAATTTATTACACATTATTTGCCGACTAGACATGATGTTAATTCAGCCAAAATGCATTAAAAAGATACTGACACATTTTTACTATGAACCTAATAGAATTTATATTTTAGTTGCAAATTAGAAGAGATTGAATTGACAAGTTTTTATTTAAAATAAATCATACAATGATAATTTATATATATAAAAAAAAAAAATGCTTACTCATTTATCTACTCTGCAAATTTAGCTAGAACTGATTAGGTTTCTCTAATACAGATAATATTTATATCTGAAGTTTCATTAATGTTGTTAATTTACAACATACAATTTAATTATCTTCAATTTAATCTACATAACATTTGGTATAAAGCTCCCCTCTCTTGATTTTAAAGAATTGCACATCGTCTACCATCACAACTAGTATAAAATAATTTATTAAATTTATTTTCAAAGAAAATGTATACTTTTTTAAACCAACTAAAAACCATTTTAGAATATTTTAGTCTTAATAAATAACATAACAAGATAATATATTTAAACATAATATGATAGCAGTAATGACAACATTTAACTTTAAAACGAAAAAATATAGTATTGCATATACATTTTTTTTTGTCCTTTTAAAATTGGTATACAGAGATATACAATCATAAACAACCCATTGTATAAATTCACATTATTTGGCTCAAAAATGTACTTGTGTGATTAAGAAAATGAAAAAAATATGTATTTACAATAGAAAATACTATATATGGTTGTACGCTCGAGATTATAGATTTTTATGGCACCAAATATCAGAAACACTATAAGTAGTGATTTTTTTTTATGGTGACACAATGCACAAAAACGTATTAAAAAAAATTGTACTAAAAAATTATAAAATGTATAAAAAATAGTATTTTATTACATTCATCACCTACACTATTATTTTTCTCTATACAATAACAAGAAATATTGAAACACCATAGTCCTATAAAGTAGTGTTACACTAACCTTAGTCAATAAAACCATGGTTGAGTTTAAAGTCAACAAAATATAATTACCGAGAAGGAAGGGATATATATCAGAACCTTTTCTTTAAATAAAAAAGAAGCATTGAGATTCATTAAGAGATTTATTTAACCTAATACCTTATATGTAATTAATTGCCATTGGTGTTTGTGGTAGATGTCGGAGTTTCAGCTTCTTCTTGTATGAACATTTTTCCTGGTTTTTTTAATTTTCTTAACAGATCATGTGTAGATTTATGGGTAGAGCGCAATGACAGTGCCCACTCTTTTAAACCAATTTCATCCTATAAATGTAATTTATGGTTTACTATTGTAAACTTGATTACTATATTACAAATTATACCATAACAAATGAATGCGGTGAAAATAGAATTTTGTTAACAAATCATTAGACTGTATAGTTTATTAGCAGGGTTTGGGACTTTATGCACTTAAAATTCACAATAAGTGCTTAAAAACATCAAAAGAAGAAAAATGGTTTTAAATATTCTCTATAACAACTCTAACACTACAAAAATGATTAACATGAGGTATTTTTTTATTTATATAATTAATAAGTACAACACATAATTTTAAAGTCAAAAAATTACTCTGTATTATTAATCATTTTTGTAATTTTAGGAAATTGTATTTTTATAAATTAAAGGGAGAATAGTTAAAATCATTATACCATATTTCTTTTTTTTTTTTTTCAATGGATTTTAATTGAATAGTCGAGAGCCTTGGTTAATACCTTAAACACTACATTTTTGTAACAACAAATTTTAATTTACTAAATATAAATAATTTAATGCCACTTACACTATTGGTGAGAACTAGTTTTCCATCCTTTCCATCTTTCATGCGTAACACGATACACTGTTCATTTTTAACAATCACTAATTCGGGACTGACTTCTAATACTTGATCTAATGTAATTACTTCAGTTTTTACTGAACCCGAATCAGAATGCAGTTCCAACCGATTAGGATATAATTTAGCGTACCTCGTTTGCCACGCAGATGCAAATGGTCCTCCTAATTTTTTAATATAACCATGAAGTATACAGTCAGATTCTAAAAATAAAAACAAAATGAAGATAACAAAAATAATATTAGTTAAATAATAACATATTTGTTCATTTTTATTAAAATACCTTCTTCATTGTGTTCATTAAATTTCTTTTGTCTTGACTTTCTTTTTTGATCAGCTTTATCAGCCTCTGCATTTACTGTTTCAAATACTGTTTCAGCAACTTCATTTTGCCATCTTTCAGATATTGTTATAGAAAAGTTTTTGTACAGTTCTTGATCAGCATCAGTTAACTGTTTTTATCATTATTCATAAATAAACAATATAAATTATGATATATGTTTAAACTATAATGAACTTTAAAATATTAATTTACTTTAATGCCTTTAGTATCTTCTTCATCAAATGAACCTATATCAAATGCATCAGCAGCATTAACTTCTCCTCTTGGAGGTATAAGAGGTGGTGTATATTTTTGTAAATAAACTTGTTGCCAGTCAAGTCCCGCGAAAAATGGATGATTTTTTAATTCATCTGATCTATATGATTAATAATAAAACTAATTATTTAATTATATCATTGACATAGATCCATGCCTCACAAACAATAATAGTATCCATAAGTAAAATCATGGACTAAGATATATAGGACTAGAAATTGGTGGCAGGCTAGGTGTGGGAGACTGTTCACAAAAAGTTTAAGGTAATTTAGAGATAACATGGTAATTTTTCTTTTATAAACTTTTACAGCATCTTAGCTAATAATTTTGAAATTAGTAAATATTCACTAAGACCCCTTTCCAGGCCACGAAATGGTAAGGATACATGTGATAAAATCTTTGCGATGATAAACAGAGATTCAGTTTAACAAATAAAATAAGAATATGATTTGTCCTACAAATGGAATCTATCTACCGTCTCAAAAGTAAGGTTTAGAGATGTTGCATTTATTTAATTAAATTTTAATACTATACATTTTCAAAATCTAGTAAAAACTAAGAACTTATCATGAAATAGGCATTTAAAATAAACAAAACTTGTTAGACATTGTGTTACACTTATTTGCATTGGAGTCTATTTTCATTACAACTGTATACATTGCAAAAAAATAATAATAATCTTACCCCCTTCCTCGGCAACCAATTCTTTCATTTATATCACGTTGTAAAAGACCTTCTAAAAGATCTTTTAAACTTTTGGAAAAAGAATCTGGAAGTTCTACATTCTGGAACACAAACTGCTTTGTTAATTTGAATTAACAAAATTAACAAATACATATTTTTTATTATAAAATAGTAATTGATAAATTAATAAATGTAATAATTTTTTAAATATTTTATATGTTAATGTATATTTACAATTTAAATTATTCAAATTTAAATTTAAATAAATAAACATATAAATTATTTAACAATATTAATTTAAAAATATAAAATTGTTTCAGTTGAAAATATACCATTGTTAGTGTCATTCGATCAATCTCGTGTTTATCCTTGGTTTTGTGTTGTCTAAAGGGACTGTGACCCTTAAGTAGTTTGTATAGCATACAACCAAAAGAAAACCAATCTGCACTTGAGTCATAAGCGGTTCCTTTTGATAAAACTTCTGGTGCCATATAACCATGCGTTCCCCTAAACATAAAGTATAAATTTAAATGTAAATCACAAGCATTCAATTTTGTTTTACTTACACACTAGCATGTGGTTTCTTTTTAGAAAAATCACATGCCAATCCTAAATCAGATATTCGTACATGTCCATATTCATCTAATAGTATGTTAGCTGGTTTTAAATCCCTGTAAACAATAAACCTTCGGTGCATATGTTCCAAACCTAATCATAGAAAATATTATTTTAATTAATATATTCATATATCATTAATAAATTATTTTCTTGTTTATTATTATTATATTCACCTAAAATTACTTCAGCTGCATAAAACTTCATATCAAGTTCATTGAATACACCATGTTGTGCTAAATGATAATGCAAATCACCACCATGCATCAGGTCTAGTATGAAACAAAGTTTATCTGGTGTATGAAATGCATATGTCATGCAAACAATAAAAGGACAATCCACCTTTAAAATTAGTATTACAATAAATTATTGAAATAATTATAATACTAATTATATAGTATGCTTTATTTGATGATAATATAAGATGCGGTCTACCTGATTACTGAAATCTTCCTGCCATAAAACAAATGGTCAGATAAGTCATTAATATGTTAAACTGCATTAGTACTATGTAGTATAGACTACATAATAATATTATCAGTTTGTTGTCTACAGATTTTACAACATTCTTTTTGTTACAACCATTTATGGAAACAGTACAGAAATTCTCTAACAGGTCAGTGTAGGAATTTACTATCTACTACTAGCCAATTAAGTCAGGCATCTCTATCACTATATACAATGTGACACAATTTAAAAGTAATGCAACAAGTTTCAAGTTATTTATTATACACGCATAACACAAAACTTGAAATGTCCATAATTTTTGTTGAATATGACCATGATGTTTTAACTGCCGTTGACAGTTGCAAAATTTAATTTTTGATAAATTTTAAGTAGACCGCATACTATATATTAGCACCTCATCTTTATTCAATTAATAAGACAATATTCATTACCCCTGTACTGACTAGAGACAACATAATACGTTCATTTAGGGCAAGTGTTTCTCCTTGTTTCATTTTTATTCGCTTTTTATCAAGACATTTCATTGCATACATCTTGCCTGTATCAGCTTTTCGACAACCATATACTTCACCAAAACCACCTCTACCAATTATACGATGAACACTAAAATCATTCATGGTAAGCTGAAAAAAAACAATTTTTTTTCGGTGTATTATTAAATAAAATAATTACTTTACTGAATGGCTCACCGAAATATTAAGCTCTAGGTTTTTCCATTGACAAAACCTTGTATATTTATCACTGATAAAAAATTTATATAATTAATTTTACTATAGATATAATGTAAATACAAATAATTATGAATAAAATTATATACCTCTCCAGAAATTTTTTAAAAGGTTCTTCTCGGAGGTGGTTAAATATTACTTTAATGTAAGGCTGAAAATTGATAGTTAAAAAGTTAGAACACAAATATATTTCAATAAAAAGTATTATTTACTTCAAATAAATTAACAGGCACTTCATTTTTCATCAAATATTTTTGAACATGAGCGACTGCATCTTTAGGATAATTCTAAAAAAATAATATAATTCAACAATTAGAAAGACTGAATTTAAATATATTTTTTGTTTAATTAAAAAAAATATTTAGGTATAAATTAACTGTATTGGTAATACATTTTCTTGGTGAAATATTGATAACTTACATGAGTATGTGATAAAAGTTCTTTCATAATATAATTATCATAGATATCTCTAGCTAATTTTCTTCTCTCATCAACTGATTCTAATTTTTCATACCTTTTTATCTGAAACACAATAAATTAAATTAAACAAAATAATTTTATTAGCAAATGTATGTATACAAATATAAAATGCACAAGTGTCATAATTATTAATTTATTTAATAACTCGGTATAGAAACAAACCCAAAATTACAATAATGTATTAATAACGTATTTCTTTATTTAAAAATAGTGATTGATTTGTACTATGAAAGGTTTCATTCTATTATTATAATTTTAAATTGCTTAAAACACCATTACAAATAATAATGTAATATTATTAATTATATTATGAGTAAGCTATTTTAACTCTATATAACAAGTTAATGTTAATTCAAATTAGATAAAAGGTGATTATTATGATACATTGTTAATTGTAATCGAGTCAATCTTTATTTTATAGTAATACGGATACAATACATGGTGCAAATTTGGTTTGGGTAAATATGATTATTAAACAGATGGTAACAGTACTTTGATGAGAATGATTACCTAGACAACTATCTTTATATTTTGTATACTGCATACATCGCAGACCTGGGCAATTTTCATAATAACAAATAACAATGATTTGAAACTATGAACTATTTTCCATTGACTTTTATTGTATTAAAACATAAATTAATAGTTTATAAATAAATATGTAATTTATATCATCAAAACTGAAAAAAAAAATTAATGAAATTATTTATACTTTTTAGACAATAATTTCAATGTTTATTGTTAAGAAAAAAAAATATATTATTTTATTAACAATGTGATTCACAACATTAAAAAACAAAATTACTATATAATTATTTTTTAAAGTATAATATTGTTAATTAAATTAAGTTAAATAAGTAAAATAAATTATTTTTGATTTTATTCAGTTCAAATGGTGAATATGTTGGATAATAAGTTAAGACTACTTATAACAATAAAAATGTTTATATTAATTTTAGATAAGTAGAATTGCCCTATCTTTAGAAAAAGAAAATACCATAAAACAATCATACTCTTTTGTTCTAACGAGGCAATATATTTTTTATTAACAAAAAAATTCTTATTTGTTTTTGATTTAAATATGTCATATATTGCAAGTCATAATCAGGAGGATCTGTACAACCTAAAGCTATTGATGATAAAATTAATAAAGTAATAGAGAAAAATGTTGGATTTGATCAACTAAAAAATATACCAAACATTTTATATGGTCAAAATGAATGGATGCATTGCTTGCAGATATATGTAGAGGTAATATACTAATTTTAAAATTTGCACCAATAACTTCTGTAAATGCAGAACGTTCCTTTTCAAAATACAAAAATATTTTGGTTGATAAAAGATCATTCAAATTATCCAATTTAAGAAAAAAATCTAATAGTTTAATGCAATGCTATGGGTAATGAAGTCGATAGTAATTTCAAAAATTAAATAATCATACCCAATTTAAAAATTGTTATTTGAAAAAAATATTCTACTTTTTTTGTTTAAGACTAAAGCTCACTAAAATTAATAAAAATCAAGAAAACAATGAAACAAAGTTGAGAAAATAAAAATAACTATTTGTAACTATATGTATTTTTTATAATTTCTATAAGTATTATCTAGGTATTAAATATCATTTTTTATAAGTACATATTTTAACAGCATATTCTCCATTTTTTTAGTGTTATATAATGCAATGCATACATATTTTGATAATTTTAAGGTTATGAAATCCTTAGTCCTAATTAGAATAATTTATGACCAATTAGTTCTTATAGGATATGATTGATTCATTATTGTCGGATATCTAAATACCCCTTAAATACAGCTACGGTGGTTTACAATGCACAATACACATAGTTATTTTACTAAAATTTTCTTATAGATTTTGATTGAAGTTAGGAATATATTGGTTTAACAATGTTGTTTATTTTAATTTTATTTTAGGGAGGTCATTTTTTGATTTTCCCAATAAATTAGACAACCCGAGAAAAAAGGTAAAATATTAAACAAATATATAATGCAAATGAAATTATTTTACCATAATATGACATATGTATTGTTGACAAAGTAACACTATCAATCAAGCTTCTCTCAAAATCGTTTTTTCGTTAGCAATGGTTAATCGTGGCATACAGATATAAATTTAATATTTCCCTTCTACCTTCCCAACTTCTCACCTACAACATAAAAATGGCCTGCCTGCGTGCTGCGAAGTATGTCCATCTTTTTTTTACATGTTTTTAACAAACTACATGATACTTAAATAAATAATCAATTTATTACAAATTATTATAAAAGGATAAACAAATAAAACAAATATTATTCTTTTAACAAATAAACTCTGTCTTGATTTTTAGATACGTACTGCATTAAAATTGAATGATGCTTGATTTCCAATGAAAAAATTCATACTTATAATAATTTAATTTTAAATTTTTACAATGTAGATGGTAATCCATTTAAGTGGGTACAGCCATTATTTTGGATAGTATTGATTTTTTTGACAATTTAAGAAAAAATCAGCTCTTAAGTTGATAATAATTTTGTAACCCTTATTTTTGGAGTTGAAACAGCTACCTAATTTTGATTTTAAAATAGTAATCTATATTGAAAATTTCAAGTATTAAGGTGCCTTCAAAGCTTACCGTGAAACATGAAATATTCTAGGACTGTGATTGGTTGAACCATGTGACTATTATGTAGTGGTTAACCAGTGGTCAACTATTATTTTTGATTTTAATACCTTCCCTATATTGCTTATACCAGATAGTTGAGTTCAATCCAAGTCAGACCATGTGTTCACCATGATTTAATGATACTAGTTCAACTATTTTAAATTGTATTAATCGTAGTGAATAAATTGTAAATTATCTCGTTTCACAGTGAGCTGTGAAAACACCTTAAGTTCAAATAAATTTTGGAATTACCATTTTTAATTTCCATCAACTTGTCGACAAAGATATTCCACTTTTAAGTTTAGGTAGGGCAAGATTAGTGGACCACAATTTGGGTGGCGAGTGACATTTTAATACTGCTCTACTAATCTCCTCTTGTCAATGGTTTGATGGAAAACAAAGATATCAACACCAAAATCTATTTTAACTAACACTCTAATATTTATTTACGGAATTTTCAATATAAGTTGCTATTTTAAAATTGAAGTTATTGAGTCTTTTAATTTCCAAAATTAAAGGTGACAAAAAATAATATAAATGTAACATTTTAGAGCTGCTTGTTTCTTAAATTGTCAAATGGAATTTTTTTTAGAAAAGTCAATACTTATATTAGTATATATAGTCATATATAGCATATATAGTCAATATTGAGTGTACCTATTTAAATTGATCGCCTTGTACGAGTATCTATGCTTAATGCTTATACACAAAAAAAAAAAAAAAAACACTATCATTAATATTTATTATTGATAAGTAATTTCTAAAAACCATAACGACCACAATATAAGGGCAAAATTTCATTTAATTTGAAAAAAAAACCGAGGAAAATAGTGAAATAAAGTAAAAAACAAACAAACATACTTAACACAATAAGTTGGGAAGATAGAGGAAAAATTCAATGTATAACACAATAATTAACCATTGTTCAAGAAAAATGATTCATAACGGAATTCGATTATACATGTTCTGAAAGGCTGTAATATTTACGATTCAAATATATTAAATTTAGTAAATTGTCCACATTTTTTCCTATTTATTATAAAATTCTTGGGAAAATCAAAAAATTACATTTCCACAGTACCCCAATAAGATTTTCTTTTAAAAAAGTGCTACAATTAAAAAATCGGAGGAAAATGTCTGGTAGTTCACAAAAAAAAAAAAAAAAATGAATATCATTCTAAATTACCAAAATACTCAATGTAAAATAAAATAAAATAAATATATATTAAAGGATAAAAAAATTCAATAAAAACATTAATTATTAAACCAAAAGAAAGTACCTAATATTAATTATCCACGAATAGCACATTCATTCATCATGTTGATATAATAATAAATTATAATGCCAAGAAAATCCTCTAGCCAAATCGATAACATCACTGTAAACTACAGGATTAGTGTACAACTGTCAATAAACTTTTAGTTTTTTTAAAAAAAAAAAACCTTAAACTTGTAAGGTATAGTATACTATTTTAGTTTATAATATTGAATTGCATTAAATTGTATTACATTAAATTACATTACATTAAATTACATTTTTATTTGCTGTAATGGTAAAAAGTATTAATTATTATATGTATATGTATTAATAATAATAATATTATTAGTAGGCTTAATTATTTATAAGTTAAAAACCCTATAAAAAGGTCAAGTATGCGGTAGAAATAAACACAAACTTATAAACCCTGCATACTTTACAATTCCATTTCGTTATTAAAAAATACAAAACACAGAGAAAAATCGTTTACTTATTAATAACGTGTTTTCTCTTGCACAGCATACGTTGATAATGTTTTTTTTTTTTTTTTTTTTAAGCATTTTGAATAAGTTTTTTCACAAAGGCAGTGCACGAGTGCATTAGATAGATATTATTATAACAAGCAATGTTGGCGTCGTTGTACATAACATATATGTATAAGAAAAATAAACTCAACAGAGACGGATGTTGGCGGAGTAGTTGTTGAGAATAATATCTATACAAACGTGTCCCGGCTACCATAGGCTCTGTGTGTGTGTGTGTGTGTGTGTGTGTGTGTGTGCGCGCGCGCACGCGCGTGTGTGTATCGTACAGAGGTCACTTATTAAAGTTATATACAAGAACGAGAAGATGATGACAGGGATCCGTTTCGAAATGGTTTCACTTGACCAGAAAGCTCGCCCTATTTTCGTAAATGAAAAACTTCAGCGTTTCTAACACACACCGGCTATAAAATACCGCCCCGCTTGTTTCGCTTTGTGTCGTCTTGTCATATTATTATACGTCATCCCTCCGAATAATGGTCGCTGTTAACGGTGGCAATCTTTTAAACGCGGCGGCGGCTCGAAAACGTATTATACGCGGCCGGGATTATAAAAACGTATACGACGGATTAAACTCGACCATAATAATAATATTGCATCATTTTGTTTTTCTCTGTTAGGTACATACCGCGGTATGTAAACGCGTTTCTCCTGTTCTAACCGACAACAGTTTTTCTTTCTCATATTTTCATATAGCTACGTAATAATAATAATTTTTAACAACAAAAACATCTCGTGTAACGTAAACAATATTCCCCTCTGGAATTTAATTATTCTATTTATTTGTATAGATATTACCTAAATAATAAGGGTCAGATTTGACGCATGGCACCTGCCTTGATTAACGAATTTTTAGACTGCCTTCCTCCTTTTTTTTTAGATTCTGAGGAGTGGATCGATAAATGTATTGGTTTTACAATGTTTTTATTTGTGAACAACTTTTCTACCAGGAAACTTACTACGATTTACAAGTGTAGCGCTTTTTTTGAAAAGGAATCTGACTGGAGTGTGACTTTAGGGGAGTAACTTTTTGATCTTCCCCAACAAACGGGAAAATATACGAAATGTAGGTATTAGTAAAAAAAATAACAGCCTTTTCCCCCCTGTAAACAACTTTTCTACCAGCAATTTTGCTTCAATTTACAATGATAACACTTTTTTTAAAAAAAATATGAGTGGGGAGATACTTTAGGAGGATCTTTTTTTTGATCTTTCTAGGATTTTACCAAATAAATGTGAAAATAGGTATAAAAATAAACAAATATTATTAATATTAAAAAAAAAGTTTAATGCATATGTATTAATTTTACTATAATATGATATAAGTATACATAATGTTGGCAAAGCAAAACTATCTAACTCCATTGAGAATCGGATTTTCGTTTATTGTTGCACATAGACATACATCCTAACTTTCCACTTACAAAAGTAATTGCATACGTCCCCATTATCCTAGGACATATATTTTTCTTGTCTTTTAACGACTTTTCTACCAGAACTTTAGCTCCAATCAAAAAATTACAAAAGGTAAATTTCATTTTTTTCAATTTTATTAATGTATTTGTAAAAACCAGAGATATTTACAGAATACTTATATTGGCCTTTTTTTTAGATAATTTAAATATCTAATAAATTTAAGTTATTCATAGGCGTTTAATATCTTAATTTTTTTTTCTAGTTTTTGATACCGTACTACAGTCAGTATTTTTTAGTTAAGATTAAAATAGTGTTTGCTATTTGAAGGTTTCTCCATTGAAAAGTAGACAAAATGTTCCTGTTCCCAAAAAACCGTTCACTATTAGGTGTCCATTAGGTTTCACTACATTATCACTAAAATTGTTTTAGATTCTGAGTGTAGCGAATAGTTTAAACCAGAGAACTTGATCGAACTATTAATGATAGTAAATTTTCTTTGGTGAGGTACTTTAGAGAGGCAGTTTTTCGATTTACTCAGGAGTTTTCTCAACAAATATGAAAAATCAGAAAAAAAACGTGAGAAAACCATAAAAAAATGTAAGAAAAATGGTAAAATCGGTACATTAAATAAATATTATTAAAAATAATATATAATGCCTATTTAATTATTTTACTATAATATGACACATATATATATATTGTTGATAAAGCATCACTATTAACTGAACTCCGCTCAGAATCGTTTTTTCGTTACCAATGGTTAATCGTTTCTAACAGATATACATGAAATTACCTATGTATATTGTAAACGACAGTGCAATAGACTTAATTTTCAAAGAACATTAACCAAAAGTGTTCATATTATAATGGTATTAAAAAGGACATCCTAGGGATACGGTGCAGCTACTATTACAAGTAATTTAATGTATATGTATTCAATGCTAAACCATTGCTAATGAAAAAACAATTATGAACAGAGTTCGATTGATAGTGATGCTTTGTCAACAATATATATGTCATATTATGATAAAATAATTAAATAGGTATTATACTTTTTTTTTTTTAAAATGTACCAATTTTCTGGTTTTTTTAGGTTTTTACATTTGTTGGGAAAACTATAGAGAAAATCTAAAAATGACCTTCCTAAAGAACCTCTCCACATCTTTAAGAAAAGGTGCTAAACTAAAAAATTGGAGCAAGATTTCTAGTATAAAAGTTATCCACAGAAAAAAAAAAAAAAAAAAGTAAACATTTTGATAAAACCATAAGCTTCTTCGCTCCCCTCAGAATCTAAAAATGTATCAAATATATTATGACTTATCTAATTTTAATGAAAATTTAAATAATATATTTTATTTTAACATTCAAGGAAAAAACGCCAATGGGATGGGTGGTTTTGCCATATTCTAAATAACTAAATCTAAATTCATATAATTAATTTAGTTTTAAAAATATATAAATTTTATTGACAATAAGTAAATACAAAAAATTCAAAATAGTGTCGCTAATAATGAGTGGCTTCTTTTTTCAAAAATGTCACATGCAAACTTCTCTCTAGCACATTTGTGTATTGTTTAAAATAATAATAGATTGTAAATATTTAGGGTATTTAGAAGTATCAAAGATAAAAAAATATAATACACATTACATTTGAGGTTTTTAAAAAATAAACACAGACAAGGTTGTATAAAGTAAATCTTTTTCTTCATCTAATAAACATACAGGGAAACATTGTTCTCAACATTGTTTGCCAAAAAGTTTGATCAAATACAAACACTAGAAATTTTTGGCATAAGCCATAGGCAATGATTTCTGTTTAACTCTGTAATTTCTAACATTTTTCTATAATATAATGCATCAGATTATCATAAATAAAAGAATGTCAGGTAAGATATTGGTCCAAACTATTATTATAATTTATAATTAGAAATGTACATTTTCCTTGTATTATTAAAATATTAAATAATCTAAATTAACCTGTAGACAGTAGATTACTATACTTTAATTTGGATGAATATTTTTAGAACATATAATTACAAATAAATATATATTAAAAGAGCAGAGTAATCAAAAGTGAGTATTATTGAACATTCAACTAGAAATTAACCCAGAAACTTATTCGAAGAAAATCAAATAAGATTGGAAAAATAGAGATGAGATTTAGAAATAATTAACACATCATGAACCGTTTCCCAAAAAAAATGTGATCAGATAATAGCCAACTGATAATAGATAACTGTATGATATACTGAGAATAAAAAAAATGTAATAGAATGAAAAACGAAAAACTATACCTAAACAATAAAATATATAAGATAAATAAATCATTTAATATGTTTTATCATACATATTTAAAAATAGTAGTAGGTAAATATAAATTAATCAAATTCTTAATCCATGTGATTATTTCTAGACCAACAATATATATTGGTACCTAATTATTTTATATTTCTATTTTGTCTGATTAAACTTAGTGTTGAAAAATGTGGCTATCATTATCATATTTCAAAATTTCACTCGTTCATTTTAAACAGAGCTCATTTCTTTAAACATTAAGTATACATTATAATAAATGCAATTAATTTATTTTCAAAAATTTTTTTTTTGAAAATGTATTTATTTTCTAAACAGTAAGTATAATACATAGGTATAATTTTAAACTAATGTATAGATATAAGGTAAAATATTTAAAAAAGAGCTGATACCAGTATCAGGGATGGGAGCAGACACTGTTGTAGGTGAGCAATTGAGAAGGTAGAATACATAAAATTATATCATTTATATCTGTAAGCAACGATAAACCATTGCTTGATGAAAGATGATTCCATGCGCAGTTCGGTAATACATAATTTAAAGTACTGTATTTATTTTTTTTTTGCGATTTTTGTTTAAATTTGATTTCAAAACCCTTATTTAAAAATAAAAGGTTATCCAATGATTTCGGAAATTTTATCGCGTCTAGATAAGTCTAATATAAGTATTATTACCAAGTTTCAAGTCTCTATATATATTTATAACCGAATTATAACAAAAAAACTCTCAAAAGTTAAAATTACTTAAAAGCTCAAAAGTGGTTCAAAAGTTTTTATGATGATAGTGTAAGAAAGTAAATCAAAAAGACAACAAAAAAGGTGTCTTGTGATTTTTCGATAAATCATTTTTCTGGCAGAAAACGTACTCCGTGTTTTTATAAAATAATAAAATTGTGAAATTGTATATTTTCCTACATTTTTTCCCTCTTGAGTGCTTTTATTTAAAAAAAATGACGTCTAAAATCTAAAAATAACCTCTTTAAAGTACAATCTAGACAACTTGAGCTTTCGGAAAAGTTTCTACACGTAAAAATCGTAGTAAGGAAAAAAAGTGTCCACAGACTAGAATAAAGAACAAAACAAAAGTAAACAGCATGGTAAAATCAATAGCTCCCTCGATATGTTTAGAATCTAAAATAAAATATTAGTTATGTACCTATGATATTACTGTTAATAATAAAAATAAAAAAAACCACAGTGGAAACTATTTGTTAAATCATTTTTTTAAATTTACATAAATACATAACTAATTTGAATAATATCATAAAAACATCAATAAACATCTCTTGTGACTAATCAATTAGTTAGTATATAAATATTTATTAATGATAATGATAGTAATAATAACTTATAATAAAATTATACAGAGAACTTACCTCATCGTAAAAATTGATTTCAGGTATTTGTTCATCTTCTGGCAGATGTTCACAGAAATCTTTGAATAGCAAATAACCTAAATACACATATCAATTATATCATCATTTAAAATGATTTAATATGAAAATACCTATATATTATGTTGTATGAAAAGTTGACATATACTAGCTAATTCAAAATGTATGTTATAGCCATTATAATATCAAGTAAATATTCAAAATAAAGAAAAATGTATAATACAAAAGTTTTTTGACATTTTAACTTTTGAAATTCAATAGGAATTATAGAAACCTTTATTCAACATTTCATAAAAGGATGGAGTATCAGTTTAAATAAGGTGTTGAAATTTAATTTACATCAAAACGTTGACAAGATATTTTACTTTTTAATTTAGTTTAAAAATTAAAAAATATTTACTTAATAAAATGGCTGTAAGATAAATTTGAATCAACATGTGTATATTAATAATATTGAACTAAATGATAATTAATACTATGTATAATAATAAATATTTATATATAATTTACCTAAAACTTGATTGAAGATTTTATCAAAATTAACTTCTTCTTTTTTCTCAAGGTATTTATGCATAACACTTCGGACACTAGGAACAAAAAATTGTATTTAATATAAATTAGATAAGTTAACATAGTATGATAAAAATCAATATAAAAATATAGATACAAATATTTTAATTTAAATATTACCAGAATACTTAAATGCTTTTAATACCTATAGACCTAATATTACAAAATTACACACCAACTTATCTTAAATGGAAAGTCAGAAGAAATAGGATATTTTAATGAACTTAGAGTAGTGAAATTAAATAAATCTTAAAAATAAGAAATATGCTGGATTAGACATTATATGCGTAGAGCAAATTAAATATAACTCAAACATATAACTAATATATTATATATAACACAACATTTCAACAAAACCAATACAAATCTTCCTAAAATGTACAAAGAAATTAGAAAACAATCTACAGACTAAAAAATTGAAATTATAGGAAGAATAGAGTAAGCAAAAGTTCTAGAAGAAATGATCCCCAGAACGCAATAACAAATGGGTGGTTGATGAGACTAAACCATCTACTATGTACAGAAGTTTGACATACAAGAAATAACCTGAAAATATAGGGATAAATAGTTGCGATAGAAAATATAAATTTTGATTGTGGAAAGGTCCAGATAACGGCACACCTAACCTGTAAAAACTGTCCAACCAAATGCAAGTTAACAGAGTTAAAATCCGCAAACAAGGCAATAGAGATAGCAGTCATGCAATATAAAATATTGTTATACATCCTACTTTTGCAATCATAATATTATTATTTCGTTTTTTTTTTTAAATTTTATATTATGTTTTATTTATGTCATGTAATTTATACATAGAAAAAAAAAATGTGTTGATAAAAAAATTGATCAAATTACCTAATAAAATAAAACCAACATATATGATAATTTGAAATTATAATGAAAAACACAATAATTTTTAAATCTTGATCTTCAATAGGCAATAATTTACTGGTAGGTAGATAATTGCGATAGGTAACATACAACATGAAACTACAAACAACTTCATTATATTATTAATTAAATAAAATATTAATTAATAATATATTTTTTCTGATAAAATCAAAAATAAAATGTAAGAATCAATTGCATTTCATAACTTTACTATTGAGATGAAATCGGCTATGTTCTAAAATACTATAGGACACACTTACATTTTTACACAAATATACTTTACATAGTGAAAAAAATGATTTCATTAAATAGTGTCCATTTAAAATTGAATTACCTGTGTACTTTATCTTTTATATAAATATAAGCTATACTAGTAAAATAATAAAACAAAGAAATGACTTATCATTTCAAACCAGTAAATTGATTATTTACTACCAACTCAAACATACTGTAATTATTCCTTAGTTTTGTTTAAAAAAAAAATGTCATAGAGTACCAAAATTATAAACAACTTTATTGGATTATTAATTAAATAAAATATAAAGAAATAATATTTTTTTTCTGATAAAATTAAAGGTAAAATGTAAGAATCAATTGCATTTCATAACTTTACTATTGAGATGAAATCGGCTATGTTCTAAAATACTATAGGACACATTTACATTTTTACACAAATATACTTAACATAGCGAAAAAATAATTGTATTAAATAGTGTCCATTAAATTAATTATTTTATCTTTTACATTATTAATGGAATTGAATAAATAAATTATTACTTTGAAAAGTAAATTGACATTTTATACCAAATATTTTACTATGTATACAAGGTCGTATCTGAGGGATCCAGGGACCACTCCCCTAATATTATTAAAATGACATTTGAATATTGTAAAAAAATTTCACTGTAAATTCTAAAACCCCTTTTCTTCTAAACAATAATTGTAAGTATGATGTTTGAAAAAATTGCATCAGTTGAAATATTTTGGTAAAAAAATAATAATATCCACAGTAGTGAAGGAAAAGAGTTGAAAATTTGGTTGTTTTTTTTTGATGATAAAATTAAAGATGTAGGGTGATTTTTGAAAATACTAAAATTTTAAAATAATAAAAAGATTCAGTGAGTAATTAGTTGGATGTAGATAAGCAAATTATATCTGAATGGTATTTTACTTAACATTTGATTTTAAAAAATCCATTCAGAATACAATTTGAATTGAAAATTACAGATTATTATAAATATTTAACTATGTGCAACTTGAAAACTGCTTTAAAGTAATTTTAAAAAAAAAGTAAAATTATTATTATTAAGCTAATAGGATTTATATAGACAGATTCAGTTAATTATGTATGCAGCTATTCGTATAATTATGTAGGTACCTGGTTTTAAATATAAAAGCAGGTATAAAAGACAATTTGCATTTCATAACTTTACTATTGAAATCAAATCGACTGAGCTCTAAGGTACTTTAATGCATAATTTTAACACCTGTACAAACTCTATAGGAATAAATATACAAACATATATAAATAATACCTGCCCTAGACATTATCTTTAAAATTATAAATTTTATTTAACAGGACATAATCTTAGAATAACTTTTCAATAAAAAAAACTATTTTAGCTACCTACTATACCTAAAAAACAAGTATTTTGTGGTTAAATTATATAGTAAGCCGTCAGATGTTTGTTATTGAATCTGAATTTAAAATATAGTTACAGTTACTTATAAGAATGTAGATAATATCATTGACATTTTAATTGAATTAATGTAACCATCAGACACTATACCTGTTTTAGATGCTCTAAAATATATTTATGTTAATACAAGAAACTTTTCAGTATAGTAAGTATCTCAATTTCTCAAAATTGTATTAATTCAAATGCACTTAATAAAAGAAGTTTCTATTTTATATAGTAAGGTTAACCAGTAAGATTGGGTCTGAAATATGTAGGAATATACAGGGAGTATATAGGTAAATACTACGTACCTAATAAAAATATAACCGGTATCCATTACAATTAACAAACAACTGCTTTTACTAGAGTAAATAATATATAGTATGCATTGTCTGATAGTTTCAGATTATAGAATATAATATATTCAGATAGTACCAGATCGAGCAATACATAGGAATTGCCTGCCAATTAAATCATACCTATGAAATCTAACCAACTTGATGATATTAATCAGAATGATCATAAATATCAAATACACACAATACAGGAAAGTATTTTTGTAATATTATTACCTGGGATCCGGCAAGACAATTTTCTTGCTGGCTCTGGCCGCTGGCGTGCACTTGCTCTTCTCCATAGCCATCAGGTAGCTGACATCAGCCAACACGGCTTCTAAGTCGGCCATTGTGTAGGTAGTTGGATCACTTCACACGCGATTCGAACGTCCGGGGAAACGAACTTTAGATGAAACAGACGCGATGAGGGTAAAAACGGTTTTTAAAAACAAAAAAAAATACCAAACATTCGGCGAATGAGGTACAGTGTGGTAAGAGGAGCTAATGGACAACGGGTGGAAAAATAAAAAATAAAACCAAGCAAATAACAAAAACAACAACAATAACAATAGACAACGTCAAGCACCTGCACCACCACGTACAACCTAGGCTACGGCAATCTGCAGCCTAGACTCGGTGGACACCATTATCACTTGGCAGGATTCATAGTCGTGTTTGTAATCATGACAGCGGCGACGGCCGCGAAACCGTAAGATGTACAAGTGCGGTCGTCCTCGCGGCCGTCAACACAGCCACAACGGCGGCCGCGTCCGCAGGACATGACGACGAACCGATTTTAACCGCCGCCGTCGTCGTGGTGATCGTAGTTGTAGTCTTTTACGTCTTTTACGGGCTTCCGGAGTACGAATAAATCGAACCAGTCGAATGGACGAAAAGAAAAAAAAAAAATGTAAAAAATAATAACGAAACACCGACTTGTTGTGAACACTGGCTGGAATAGTCCTTTATTGTAGTGTTATAATAACAATATTACGTAGGTACGTCGTGCATTATTATTTATTGTTGTTTGGTGTTGTACGGGTATCAGTCACCTGGGCGACGACAACGGTCGTTTAACCGACGGGGTTCGCGAAACTAGGTCGTCCTCGCGCACATTATGATATAATAATGTCACCGCCGCACAATACACGGGCCGAGGACGGGACACTCGCGCCGTCGTACTGTAGGAATCGCGGTCGTCTTGGTAAACGCAAGCACCAACACGATATCGGCGAATATCGTCGTTAGGTACTCTGATGGTGCGTGGTACTGGTGCTCGTGGCGGCCGCCGTTAGTTGCTGCTCCCTGATGCTGGTGCTCCGTCGCGGCTGATGCACGTCGGTCGGTCGGTCACGGGTATCTCGTATCTATTTATCTATCTCACTCGCTCTCTCTCTCTCATTTAACCGTTGTGGTTGGTCCGTTAGTTCTCTCTCTCTTTCTTCGATATCACCTCCGCCGCCGAGTAGTACGTGTGCCAATGGGTGTGTGTTAGTGTAAATCGTGTCCGTGCGTGCGTGCGTGAGTACGTTTTCTCGTGCCCGCCAATGTTGGTGCGTGCGTGAACGCCGCCTATAGCCTGTAGATATAATAGAACACCGCCGCCGTCGCCAATCTGTCAGGTCGAGCACCGCAACACCATGATCCCCGCCCCTGTCACACCACTCGGTCACCAATTATTATACTACTCAGTAGACAGTACTCAGTGCTCGACGGCGTCGATGTTTGCATTTCGCTAGGGCGCTGACATTAAAACTGGCTACGGCTAAACAGTCAGTGCCTACTGCAGCAGCTGTTGTTATTGGTTGTTCGTGTGAGTGTACGTTTAGGTGGGAAAGGGGGTTGACTACAGCGACAGACACAACTTTACTGAACTGTGAACACTGATAACACACAAGACGCGCGCAATTGACGTAATTCGTGCGCGTAGAGAATGCACTGTGCGAAACGGAACGCCGTGCGCTTGTGCAGTGTGCGAAGTGCGTCCTCTTATGTACTATACACAATATATTCATACTTATCTATGGTCCTCTTGAATAGTCGTTGATGGTGTTGATTATAATTGCTTATGCGAGTATTGCTGGTTTCACCACAAACCACGAATGAATATTTGTTTTTACTAAAGTTAAGGTCCGCCATTTGTATAGATAGATGATAGATGATAAGTCCCATCATAACGTCTTTAACTTTTATCACTCATTAACAATTTAGTATAATATTAATAAATTTTATGTCTGTGGCTTTTAGTATCTTATGTTCAAATAGTATTCCCATGAGCGAAGAATTATAAATAAAACGTAGGTAATTATGAAATTGGGTATTTTTACTTAATTTTTTTTTTTTTTTTATCATTGGAATCCGAAGTTGATTCTATTCACAAAAAAAAAATTGCATTTGAGCCTTGAGACGACTCGTACCTATAAATTACCTGATCGCAAAGCTAAGACGAATACCTAAACGAGTCAAAATAATCTCACATCTTTGTATGGTTTATAGCGTATACCGTTAATGTAGTGCATTGCAAAGAAAATACACAGATTTTATCGTTCCATGTAAAATTAGACTTTATGGCGAACGTCTCAGTGCAAGTCTATATGTACTTGCACTGCACATCGCCGAGCTTAATACTATTATTAAACTCGGCGATGTGTCTACACTTAACGTCTGTTCGTTTTATGAGCAGAGCAACACAAACGACGAATGACGTATTATTAATACCTACCAAAACCAATAAATACTTACTCATAAATTTAAACGGAAAAATACGAATAGGTTTTACCATTTTAATTTTATTGGAAACCACCATTAGGTATCTCCGATCTCGTATCCACCAGCCAACAGGTGCATATCCATGATTTTTTTCAGTCAGAGGGATTAATAAGTAAAGTGACGCAACAGGGGTGGGGATGTATTTTTGGTGTCTGGACACTACTACATTCGTTTAACGTAAATGTGTAATAAAACATACATGTTTTTTTAATGTACACATAGGACACAATCTTCAAAAAATCCTGGTTGTGCCATTGGATCAGTTGATAATCAGAAAAAATATCCACAGTAAAAAAAAGACAAATATTTGAAGTATTAAATGAAGCCACGTAATACAACTTTAACCGGTATATTTTAGAACGTACATATAACATATAACCTTCAAAACATATAATTTATTTTTATTTTGTTTGGAATTTATTGTTTCCATTACCTATATGTACTATTAGTCAAGACTGAACAAAAAGACAAATTCTTACTCTGGAGATGTGTGAGACTGAAAGTGGTTTATAATACAGTTCTATCTTAACCCAAGAAAGGTTTTAAGAGAATTTCCCTTAACAGAATGCCAACAAATGTCATAAATTATGGATGAGCTATATATTATCTTGAAATCAATTGATTTATGTCTTTTACCTGTATAATAATATGTGTAATGTGTACCTACTCTACTTTGTACAGGGTGATTTTTATACTTAAAATTTTGTTTTAAATTTCTTTGTTTTCCCAGTAGTTTTTCCCCACCAAACATTAATTTTCCCACCGAAAAAGTTAATTAAGTTGAAAATAAATTGAATGAAGTTTTTAGTAAAAATAAAAAAATACACATTATACAATCAATACTAATGAATATTAAAAATCGTTCGATAAAGCATCGATAAACAATAATAATAATACATTTATTACGACATACAAGAATAAAATGCTATTGCTATTATTATAGAATTAATAATATAATTTACAGCCCTTATTATATAACTTATTATAATATAATAAATAAATTGGTTTTTTTTTTCCTATGGCTATTTTTTCCTATATTCGGATCAGTTACATATCACATTATAACATAAATGCAAATTAAGTATTTTAAAAAAAAAACTAATAATGTGTAAAATAATAGATTCAGATTTTCTGAAATTTGGGATGGGGGTGGGGAAGACTACAGCCCCTCTATATATGTCACTAGTACCTACGCTTAAACAACAAGATTTTAATAATTTATACGTAATTACTAATTACTATTACGAACACCAGCACATCGCCGCCAACGTTTCGCCGCGAGATGTTTTTTTTCGTTTGAAACTGAGGGTGGTATCTTGGTTATTTTTCAACATACACTAGTGTGGTCTTCACTATTATATATAGGGTTATTAGGGGCACTTTATATTAAAAGTACCCCCTTCTGATTTTTGGATCAAGTATATCTCGACGGGATTTAGTGATAGGAGAATGGTTTTAATGCAAACAAATTCGGTTTCGTACCCCACACAATTCCCCTCTGTAGTTTGACAACGTAAATTCCCTTCTAAGGGATCTAGCCTGACATTCGTCTGATCACCACTTAATCTAACTTAACCTAACCTAACCAATCTTTGAAAACGGTCCCTAGATCATCTATAAACTACCTTAATAAAATTTAGTGTTATCGGAATGGACCGAAAAAAGGAATTTTGCTCCAAAGTAGTCGGTGGGTCATTAATATTTAACAAAGTTACCCTCCCTCCAAATTTCAGGAAAATATACAAGAAAAAAAAATAAATTTCTCCTCACCCGTAATCTCATCATCCCATTATCTCGCGATCTCGCAGGAGCATCTCCAGAAATTTAATTGGAGGGAGGTTAAGTAATAATTTTTAGAAAATTTTGTAACAAAAAACATATTTGATAATGTATATCTATAGGTAGTTTATTTATATTTCATAGTATAGGTATTATAGATAGTAAATACCTTCAACTCGTAACTACTTACTTGTGTGTGTGTCTGTAATAGTCAATAATACAAGATATTATTTTTTGTAAAGTTGTTTTTAACAATAAATACGGGTTTGATACTAAATAAGGAGGTGGCCCCTAGGTGCCCCTTTGTGACTTCGCCATTAATATTATTACTTAATACCTATTAAAATGTAGTATATAGGTATATAGGTATCATCAATGTAACTATTTATATTAAATAATTGTACGAATTATTATAAAATAAACTAGCTGCCTAGAAATTTCCAAGTGATTTAGGTTATCGGATAGAATTTTTCCTCAGGAGTAAAGATATTAATTTACTACGTTTTACTGAAACTTGCTCCGGATAAAATACTGCCACATTGGTACCACACTTGACAAAATGCGCTTACCACATTTATAATAATTATAATATATATCGGACCATAATATATAATAGTATATTTACCTACTCATAAAAGAATTCTAATAACAAGACAGGTGTCCATTTTTATTTTTAGACTTAATCCATGATTTGTGTGCACTATATTCAAACAATTGTTCTATGAACATTATCAACATTTACTACCAAGGTTACACTGTTTCTGATAATATAGTTTGTATATCAATATTGTCAAAATATCACAACCAATAGGGATTATACAAGTTGTTTTTTTTAAAAATTAAAAGTTTTGTAAATTTACTTACGCAATATTGTTATTAAATAAATTCTATTGTCGTTAAGACATAAACATCGTGTGCGTAAAATAATACTTACACTTGAAAATAATGGAGATGGACGAAGAAATAATTTATGCAGATGAAGAAGAATTGTCTTCATCTTATTATGAATCTGTTACCGGTGAGTCGTTTTATGTTGATACATTGTTGACAAGGTTATACAAATCATTGATGATGAATAATATTATTAGTTAACTATTATAATATTAAGTCTAAAATATTATTTTTAAATTTTGTAGGATTCATCCAAAATAATGGATGGTATTTCGTCGCCTTTATCATTTTACTAGCATATTTAGTTCCGAAAGTATGGCCTCATTATTTAAAATGGTCAGAACGACGAGCAGAAGCTGCTTATGATGCTGAAGTTAAGAAAAGTAAATTTATGAAAACTTTTTAAAGAAACCAACAATTCAGTTATGATCTGTTGAACCATTTTATAGATCCTGATCTATTTAAACTAAAACAAGAAGAGTTGAAAAATGCGCGAGTGAAATTCCAAGAAGAATATGAAAAAAAGGCCAAGATTGCACTCGAAAAACAAAAAGAAGTAAAATTAGTTATTACTCATTTGTTTCACTTTAATTTGTGTTAATATGTAAATTTTATGTTATTAGAAAGAGGAAAAATTATTAGAAGAAAAGCGAGCATTACTAAATAAAGGAACTGATGGACAAACAATAAATAGTTCCGATAAATCAAAAAAATTTAAACCAGGTAATATAGTAGGTATCTGTAAATATCTAAAAAGACTTTTCCAGCAGGGTTGGTACAGATATTAGGTTTCAAAATTCACTGATTTTCCAAGAAATTTTCTATGACTAAGATACATATATCTTTGAAATTAGGAAAAAAAGGCTAAAGAAACTGAAAACAAAAAAATGAATATATGTAATTTATATTGTAAAATTGATAAAGTTCAGTCACTAATTATGTTTATGTTTTTTTGTGAATATTTTTGACCTTCATAATTTCACAATGTTCTTTTAACCGCATTTTTAACCAATTTCATGGCTTTTTTCGGCTAATTACTCACTACTTCCTGGAAAATTTAAAATGTATTTTTTTTTTTTTATTGAATTTATAAACATGAATAATAAAGGTTATTAGTTTTAACAGTTTTGGGTTTTAAATCATAATAAATACATCATAATATAATAACAGTTGGTTAGGTATGTAAAGTTAACAATCATAATAATATAATAAACATAAATTCATTAAGATAACTAGATAATATTTACAATGCATATAGTGTTGTACCATTTCTAGATTTTATTGTTTAGATCAGTTTTTTTAAAAAGATTAACATATTTGCTGTTTTTTTAGTATCTGGTTCTAATGCTTTGTCCATGTTGAGTGGTATGTTGACATTCTGAGGTCATTGGTATATTGATGGCACTCTATTAATACATGTTTGATCCTCGGGTTGTACACAGTAGCTGTTTTTCTGTAGCCATTAGGAACTTGTGGGTTAACTATGTGTGACCTATTCGGAGACAATTAATTACAAATTTATCTTTTTTGAGATTTAGATTTTGCCAATCTTATATTGAGCTTTTGATTTCTCTGAGTTTGGTTTGTTGTCTCAACCAGTAGACTTGCAATTTTTTTTTTGATTGAGTTGTTGATTTGCGCTCTGATATCGAAGTATGTTAGGATATTCAGGGATTGTATGTGGTTGTTAGGGAGTGAAGATTCTTTTGCTGATTTATCTGCAGTTTCGTTACCTTCAATATTTTTGTGAACCGTTACCCAAATAAATGTGATGTTTATGCCCTTATGAAATGAGGGTATTCACTGGTTTCTTTCTGTGTGAGTTTGGCTATATCTGAAGGGTTTCTTGTGTTTTCTAAACTGCTAATTGTATTCAATGAATCAGCAAGAATTAAGTTTTTGTAAAGGTTTTCTTATGAATTATGATCATTAATACAGTCTATACTCTAATGCTTTGGCTGAATATATGGAGCATTCATTTGGTAGTCTGTGTTTAATTGTATCATATGGGTGAATGATTACAATACTGACTCCTGTTTCAGTTTTTGAAGTGTTTGTATAAAACGTATTACAATTTTTGATATGTCAACCATGTTTTTTAATAAGTTTGTATTTACTTTTTTGTAATGTGAAAATTCTAGGTTTATACTAAGTTTGAAAGCCTATGGTGGGAAACTATATGATTTTACTTTAATTATAGAGCCCAATTGGGTTTTTTCTTCTGTAGCATATTTATTAATTTCTGCAATGTGATTATTTGCTTGATTATCGACGTTTTTGGAGATTCTGGCTGCGTAAAGTAATGCTTTCTCAAGTCTTCTTAGCTCTGAAAGTGCTTCATGAGCTAAGTTCCTTATACTTTCTATAGGGCTTGATTTGAATGCTTCAATGCATTGAATGCAAAGATGTATTTGTTGACATTGTAACTAGGTTTTTCATTTCTACCGTTGCATTTTTAAAAACACTAATGCATAGATCACTGACATGATAATGTTCTGTACCTTAGCGTAGGTTCTTTCAATATGTGTATATCACACTCCGTTGATTAATGACACAAGTCAAAAAAGGAAATTTTTCAGGAAAGGCTGTTTCAAATTTCCTCATAACTTAATATATAAATAGAAAATCAACTATTTGTTCAATTTGTTTTAAAATTGTACCAAATTTTATTTTATTTTTTTTACTTATTATTGATATAATGAAAAATTTTAAAATTTTAATTATCTTAACAAAAAAATTGAGTTATTTCAGTTTATATGATTTGATTAGAAAATGAAATTTGACTTAGATCAAACAATACGTTTTAGATTATAATTAAAAATGACACTGAAAAAAAATTTTAAAAAAAAAATACTCATTACAGTGAGTTATAAAAGTTGTAGTACAGAGGTGGTAGATAGGTGATAGATTTTGCCTACAAAGTTTTAACTAGTCATCTTTTTTAAATTTCTAGTTGAATTTCATACGCTTTTGAAAGATTTTGTATTGTCATATTTTTACGAGTAGAACTACTACTGTCTTCAAAATCACTTGTTTCTCCAAGATATTTATTCACACTATTAGATGTCATTTCTTCGTAAAAAAAATCTTCGTGTAATATAATATTAAAATATTAAACCACTAAACAAAATGAACACGACTCAGATAATAAATTATAAATTACCTATATATGACGAGTATTTGCTATATGACCATTCAAAACTATCTCATTATTATTATTGGTGTAATAATGAAATCAGAAAAATGATAGCAAAACTTGATAAATTTGGAGTTTTGGACATAATAAAACCTATATAGAACAAAGCTCAATAAATTCAAGTTATTATAGATAACATTTAACACTAATGAATTATGATAAAATATCGGCCAATTTATATTAGAAAAAAAAAAGCCCATTGGGTATAATTTAATAAAATAATATTGTATTATTATTGTTTAAAATTGGAGTTATGTCAGTCTTGTTGAAATTGTTTTTTTTATGTTTAATACATCCTATATCGACACAAGTACGCATAACATATACAAAAATACTGCTTAGAGTCTAGCTGTTTTAACCACAAATGAAACGGAAACAAATTATTTTCATTGCATTATTATCTCAAAAAGTCCAATTTTTGACTTGTTTCATTATAGTTGCCTGAGTGCAATATATAATATATAAATACAAGGTAATTTATTTAATGTAAACTTTTGACTAAAATTATTACCTACTTTTGACTCTCAAATTTTAATATACTAAAAATTAATTAAAATTGATTAATTTTGATATTGAAGTTTTTATTTTCTTCAACATTTTTTCAAGATATTCCATTAAGGCTGAAGGTAGTGTAGAGCATCATTTGTGTGGTAGCGAGTGTGTGATGTTTGAATAGTGCTCCACTACTTCCCTCCTAAATAAACTTAAAAGTGGAATATTTCGACAACAGGTTGAATAATTAATAAAAAGTAAATACTTAAAGTATAAGAGTTGCCACTTTTTCAACTAAATGTCACTTTTTTTTTGCAAGTCACTAATAATTTTTCCCAAATATTTTGAGATTTATTGTTATACAAAAAGTGATGTATATTTTTTTACATAAAGACTGAACTAAATTTTATTTTAGCTATCTATGTTAGTGAATAGTTCCTTTGGTAACAGAATTTAAAAGTACTAACCTTTACTTAGATTTTTTACTACATTTAGGTTGTATCCTTTGACAATACAAACTTTAGTTTTTCAAATGAAAACCTTTATTAAAAATAGAGGGGGTATTAGTTAAAATAAATGTTGGTTTAAAAACTTTTAATTTCTATCAATTGATAGATATTCCACTTTTAAGATGAGTAATGGAGTATCATTTGTTTGGTGGTACAGCATTTTAATAGTGGAATATCTTGTTAATAGGTTGATGAAAATCAAACATTTCATGACTAATTCTCCATCTGTTATGGAATTTTTAATATAGGTAGTTTCTCATTTTAAAAGTCATAGTTATTACCGCCACAGGATACTCCTTAAATAAGGTCTAAGTATATGAAAACATTGGTTTTAATTAAAAAAATTTAATCGTAAAAATGAAGCAAACATATTTAATGGATTAATCTATATATACCTGATACTGAGGTCAGGTGTGCCTTGTTTGTTGTAGGTAGGAAGTTGGGAATGTAGGATACATAAAGTTATTTAATTTGCATCTTAAGATGATGCTATCATATACCTATACAGGTTATAGCATATTATGTTGTCTCGTCCAACTGACTGATATTATAGCAAAATCTACCTTAAGCAGAGAGTGTAGAACTCACTTAAATTTGGTTTTAAAGTAAAATCACCTATTATAAAATTTAAAGAGTAAGGCAATATCCTAGAGCAGTGTTCTTTAACTGTTGGGTTACATAAGCTTTAAAATTGGTTCGTGATAAGTTTTCTTTTTAAATAAAAATTAAATTTATATAATTATATAAGGTATAACAAATAATTGTTTAATTATTAAACTTAGAAAATTAATGTATAAAAATATATTTAAAAAATTATTGTAATATATTATGTATAAACAATGTGATATAATTTATATTCTATAATAAAATATTATAATGGATATCAAATCACTTCAATCAATTTACTGGTATGATTCTATGTAGTATGCCATTGAATATAATAATTTAATGAATTAACTGGGCTAGTAACAAAATTAATATATTATATTGTTATTATTAAAAAGTCCCATAATCTATAAATATTATCAATGTCATTGCTGTGTTTAAAGACGAAGTATTATAAATGTTAGTCGCTTTATTTTCCTAGTTATATTTACATATTCGTTAAAAAGATTATTTTTTTTTGTTTATTTTGTCAACAATGGAGTTTTTATTTTTTTCAGTTAAAATAGTACTATTACAAAGTATTAAGTAATTTTAGGTTTTTTTTACAAACATGGTTCTTTAGGTGTGTGATCGGCCTTACGTGGGTTGCAAAAAATGTACGCTTAAAAAAGTGAGTCGTGAATCTAAAAATGTTGAAGACCATTGTTCTAGAGGACTAGATGCATTTTTCATATTATTTTAATTATTATTCCAGGTATAACGTTCAATACATTATTTAGAAATAAAAACTAGTAAATGACTAACATTAAAAAACAATTAAAAAAAAAAAAAGAATGCATCGTCTTGTTCTCTTTTAACTTTATAATAGGTGCATTTGCTATATTGCCCGTTTTAGTTGGACTGAGATAGTGCATGCGTGTATAGCATCTTAAGGTAATGATAAACTTTTGCTAACAAAAACGATTCTGAGCAATATTCAATTATATATATTTTGAAATAACGTAATTTCTCAGATTTCCATTAACATTTTATCTGTTTTAAATACTGTCACAACCATTCTACCACAGTTACTGTTACGGGACTGTTTGCACAAAACTTATATTAACCTTACACATATGTCAGTTATCTGTTTTTTGTTTTCATAAGATTATAAGTTTGATGATGAAATTGTACGGTTCAATATTACTGATATCACAAATTACTGACATACCACCTACTTATTTAGTTTGTCATAGCTCATACATAACATCATTTGTCATTACATCTTAATGATAGAATTTACTATTTAGTATTTATATTTTGGTATATGCAAGTTATCAGCATGGGCGCAACTAGACCATTAACTTTAAGGATGCTTAAATTATTAACACATCACAAAACCATGAGTGTAATGTCATCAAAAACCCCTTAGCACAACACTTATAACAAGCAACTAAACATATCATTTGCAATTTCTGTATAAAAATATATCATTACTTTTTTACCTTTAATTTTTATACACATATATATTGTCTGTAGGTATTTTGTATTTTGGTTTGCTTATTAAAATAATACATGAATAAATTAATGTTAAACCAATACTATTAAAAGGCTTAATGGATAAACTTGGTGATGCCAAAGACTCCTCACCACCCATCTAATTGTACCTATGATTATTTTTAGACTTATGAGTAAGTTAAGTAATCTTTAGTTAAAACTAAATTATTAAACCATCAATAATTCAGAAACTTCGTGATAACACACTTCCATGATTCGTGAATTGTATTGAACCAGCGATTACATTAAGTCACTGAATTATACTACACTGATTCAATTTATTCAGTTAACCCAAAAGAATAAATTCAGAGTCAAATCATTCACGAAGTACCCATCACTAATGTTTATATTTTTAACAATCGGATCAGTTTGATTATACTATTTAAATAATATACATGTAACAATAACTATCCAGGAATTTCTAATGTGAAATTCCTATTCATTGTCTTCTTCTCACCGCTTAATTTATATTCATAAATTCATTTTTTATTTTTTATATTCATTTATTTTCACATTTACTCAATGTACATTTATTGTATAGATTGTAAATGTTCACTAAATAATCTTAATTTAATGACCAGAGTTATACCTGTTTTACAATTTTTAATATATTTTCTAAGAATACTAGTATTCTAATGTATGTAATACTTGGTATCCAACTAATTATTTATATTTTTCACAAACAAATTAATAAAATATAAAATACATAGAATTTTTTTTTGACAGTTGTTATTTCTTGAGTGTTACATTCTTATAAATATTTATGTTTTGTTTAGATTACAATCCTTTAATGGGATCTGGCAGTGGTTCAAACTATAGACCTGCAAGGAGAAGTCCATGTTCTGGCGGTGGATGTGGATAAACATTAATATTTGAATAAAATTAATTACTACTGAGCAATAATATGGTTTAGGCGCTAACAAATAATTTAAAAACAATAAAGTAATTTATTAAACCAAAATAATTTTTTTTTTTATATAATTTTTAGTTTAATGAAATTAAAGATAATGTTTTTTTTTGTATTCAAATTTAGTCTATTAAATCTGTTAATAGTTTAATATGCTTACATTTGAAATGGTGTATTTAGATGTAATATATATGTATTTAATCAATTTGTTTTAGTTATTTTTTTTTGAAAAATAGAAACTATTGCACCATATCTTGTCTTATATATTTTTTAACTTTTATCGATACCTTTGGACACTTAGTGGCAGCTTCTGGACTAAAAGAGCAAAATTTGGGAATTATCTTTTTTAAAGGCAGATTGAAATGATAAAATGTTGGTTGAATTTCAGTACGAACTTAACCATGTTGTTTCAGGATGAGGTTTTTTTAAATATTTTCGCTACACCCCTCCTATAGACTTCCTAAATGAAGTCAGGAGGATGACATTTTGCATAATATGCACGGAATAAGTATGAATGATACAATTTTTGGTGGTTTCAACTTTTAACCCTTTATCCCCACTGTATATTTATATGTTGGCAAAAATCTTGAGAACTACTTTACCTATTTTGATGAAACCTTTTTGTTTAATTATAATATTATAAAGACAGCAAGTCAACAGAGAGGAGGGGCAATTTAACTCTAATGATGGAGCTCTACTGCTCGTTTTTTTTTTTGGCCTGAATGAATTATAATTCGAGTAGTTCTTCAACAACAGTAAAATATTACCATTTATTGCACTATTGGCATACACTTATCAGACAAATAGTATTTTATTTTATTTTTTTTATCTAAGAAAAAAATAATTGAATTTTGGATTATAAAATTGAAATAAATAAATATACTGGGAAATCATCTAGTAAAAATGTATATAACTTTTCTAACTAACTTCATTTTACAATAGTAAGAAAGTACTTAACAATAATAAGTATGTTTTATTAATTTTAGTTAACATTAAAATATTATTAAGTTACAATTAATTAACTAATATGAATAAACTACATGTTTCATACATTTTTAAATTAAAACACAATAAATTAATTTAAATAAATTTACTTGCTTATTATGCTAGTTTCATCCAATTATTGTGCATGTTCCATCATTTCTTTAAATATCTATGAATTATAATCGGAATACTTCTGAAAACCAAATACAAATACTGTACTATTTTAATATTTAATTTTACTTAAAAATACTTACATAATTAAACTTAAACCCAATATATATTGCTTTTTTTTTCTTCTTTGATAATGTGAATACTCATCAATCATGTACTCTGATTTTAAATCATTGATTATACGCTTATTTCTATCATAAAATATTCAAATATAAATTACAAATTAGTGAAAGTTTTATATAAATAAAGCTTACACATATAAAATTATACAGAATGATTTTTTTTTCTTATGAACCAGCAATTATCTCAGAGGATTTTAAGTGAATTTGATTTTTGTTTTTTTCTAATCATTATGGAATTGTTTAAATTTTAAAACCATTTTTAATTTTTTAACCCTACTCCATGTACCTTAAGTAAATGCATACTTTTGATTTTCAAATAGGGAATGATAATAAATTGCCTACCTATGATCCCTCTCTACTCCTCCGGTCCAAACTTTAAACTGTTACTCATAAATGGTAAATCTGATATTAGTGTTATGCATACCAAAATTTCTAGAAAAATATTCTATATTTAAATCTGTGTTCAAAAGGGAGGGGTCCCGATTTAAAACTCAAAAGTAAGCATGTGATATGCATTACCCTATTTAATTAAGGTATAGGGGGTAAGGGTAAAAAAATTAAAAATAGTTTTAAAATAAAGCTTAAATGATTCTATAATGATCAGAAAAATTGAAATCAAATTCACTTAAAATCCTCTGAGATAATAGCTGGTTCATGATAAAAAAAATCGCTCAGTATAATTAAATTTAACAGTTAATTTAGTTGAATGGTTCCTAAAGAAAGAATAAAAAAACCACTTTAATAAGGTATTAAATGTTACAATTCATAAAATAGTAAATATTTCTCAAAAATAAAATAGTATAATAAATTAATTTAAATATAACTTACAGGTAAGGTGAGACAATCAAGGCAGTGTAATTTGAAAGTAATTTTATATCAAATACACATATTTCTTTCAGACGATGTGTCAGCTAAAACCAAATGTACATTCACAACATTTTTTATATTCTAGTAAGTTCTTAATAAAAAATATTATATTTACCTTTTTTACATCCAAAGGTTTCCAAAACATTCCTTTATTTTGAATAATTAAATAATCAATCTGATTATGAAGATTATCTGTATTCAAATCCTAAATTAAAAATTAAGTATTGAGTATTTATAGATAAATAGTATAAACAGAATACTATTTATAAAAGTAATAAACACAATTTAAATAACATAATTGTCTATATGTGAATGAATACTTACAATAATATTTGAAATAGATCGTTGGGTGAAAAATTTATTTTTAAAAGGTTCTACTGATTTTAAAAGTTCTGTTAAGGTATATGTTTGAAAATTTGTTTCCCTAAAAATTATTCATTAATAATTTTTTATAATACAATAAGTTTGATATATTATCAAATGTTAAAACTATTATATAAAGTATTTTTGAAATATAGGTATTTAAGTTACAAAAAAATATGAGCTTACCCTTTATTGGACATATTTTTAATAATATGAACAATTTTTATAAAACAATAACCAGTATAATAAGCATCCCAACCAGCATGATGAAGTTTCATTTTTTGAGCTAGAATATAAAATATTATTCTTAATCTTTATAAAAATTTTATTTTAAAAAGCCAGACATACTTGAAATATTCAGTAAACTAAAATATAAAAATACTATAATGCAACCAGTATTTCATAACTTTATTGTGTTAAAAACAAAAGTAATAATTATTAATGTCTTAAAGTGAATTATTTCTTTAAAAAATGGGTGTATCTGAATAAATCAAATAGTTTTTCTCTATTTACAAGCGATAATTCTTGTTTTTATTGGGCAGTGCATATTTTCATAATAGAAGTAGTGTAATACGCAAGGTGATAACTTTATCAACACTAATTATTTCAAAAAATATACTTTTTTCAAATATTTAGATACATATTTTTTTTAAAATTGTTCATATAAGACTTTTATTTATACCACCTAATAAATATAGTATAATTAAACAACCTTAATTTTGTGCATTATTTGTGTTTAAATAGTGCTCCACTACTCTCCTATAGTCAAAACTTAAAAGTGGAATTTTGCTTTAATGGGTTGATAGAATTAGTAAATATCAATGCCAACATTTATTTAAACTAATGCTTCATCTATTTATTGAATTCTTAATATAATTTTCTATTTTCGAAAATTGATAGTTAAATATAAGACTGAATAAAATAAGTTTTATACAATTGTAGACAAATATGTATCTAAAATTTTGAATAGTAACTGTTATAATATTTATAAAATTGTGAATATACTTTTTTTTGTAATATAAAATAAAGCGTAACTAAAATATTACATTGACAATATTTCTAGACATCATATTAGATAAGTACTCTTATCTTATATTCTTTATATTCTTTTATCTAATATTATAAGAAAAGTATTATTCAATAATAGAAAAATAACACTTATAAGTGGTTTGATCTCAAAAATTCTTAAGTTAGTTTAAAAAATTTGCAAGAAATAGAAACAAACATGCATTTGAATTGTATAATTCAACTGTTTAAAATAGTCATATAATATTTGCTTGTTTCTGAGGGCCACTTAAAATATTGATTTATCCAAGAAGTAAAGTACATTAAACAGTTTTAAAATACACTTTATATTATTTCTTACGTTCTTCAATACCAAATAACTCAATGTTTATCATATTGGGATTTATGTTGCCATCCCCATCTGCCAAGAAAGAATACATCTCTGAAAGAGAACTTCCTTTCCAGTTATCTAAATTTATAAATAATAATTAATTAAAAATATGATTAAAATAATTTTTTAAGCAGATACAAAATTACAAACCATTTTTAGGCATAATACGTTTTAATTCTTTACATAACAATTTTGTATCATAAATCGGCCCAAAATTTCTCGACACAAAAATTTGAAAATCTCTAAAATTGTCTGAAATTTAATTTGTATACAATAAATTATACCAATATACATTAAAATATATCTGTCTATATGTATAAATTTATCAATTCCAAACAAATTTAATTAGCATGATAAATGAATCACAAACAATAATAATATGAATCAAATTTGAATTACCAGGTAAGGGTTGAAAAAATTGGTTGCATAAAATTAACAAATCTAAACCACAATTATGACCAATTAGTGGTTTTTTTAACTCGAGTAGTAATTTAAGCAAATACTTGATACCCATCTTTTTATCAAACAAACTTTGTTTAAGTTTTTTATACAATGAACTATTCAATGTATCTACATTTTCAATTTGTTTTGCTTTTGTAATACTTAATGCAGATTTAATCTTGAAAACAAAATGTATTAATGTTTACAAAATAAAGTGTGTAATTAGACAAATTATTATAAGGATTCTTAAAATAACTATTACTTCATATATATGTATGTTTTTATATTTTTTCAGTAAATGATATTGTATTAAGATAATGAAAGTAGATCCATAGCATTCATTTATTTCAAAAATTTTGTTTTCTCCATATTTTGCATTGTTATACCAGATAGAAATAATGTTTACAATTTTGTCTAATTCTTCTTCAATTCCAGAGAACCGAGAAATATTTTTTAAATATTTATAAAAAAATAAATCATCTAACATTTTTGATTTAATTATTATTTCTTGTTCATCAGTCAAGTAAGGAACACCACTTTTTAACAACTAAAAATAAATGTTAACTTGTTAACTAAAAATTTACTTACAGTTAATTAATATAAAATGTATAAAAAATAATGGAATATAAAATTTACCTTGTTAAAATCAAAGTTATGTTTATTTAAAAATTCCACACAACCTGTTTGAAAATGAACCACAGTTTCGGATTTATAAAATGTCTGAGGAAATGTATAAATTGAGTAAGCACGTGTTTTAAATGTTTTCTTGGTAATGTCATAGGTAAAAATTGATAGGCCTAATTGTATACAAGTTATATCAGATACTTTTTCCCTTAACAATCTATATCGTTCTTCAGGTATATCAAAATAACTGAAAATAAAAATATACATTTTAAAATATCAGATAGAGTTCGCAATCAAAATTGTCTAATAATTTCTTATAGTAGATTCTAAAAGTAATTTTGATAACATCTTAAAAGCATCCAATTAGGTAGGTAATAAAATTACTTACATTATCTACTACAGCTTATTTTATTTAAGTACTTATTCTTGATTAAATAAATAATATTATAATATAATAAGAAACTAAAAGCAGATATAACTATACTATTAACAAATATTCAATAAAATATTATTCAGTTTTATACAATATTATTCAGATTGTTGAGCAATAGACAGAAAAATAAAACAGTGAATGAGTGTAGCAGAGATGAGAAGGTTTAGGTAAATGAGTAGAAAGATGAGAAAAGATATGATAAGAAATGGGTACATAGGAGGTAGCTTACTTAAGCATGGCTTCCATTGCTTACAAAATGAGAGAAAATAGTCTGAAATGGTTTAATAATAATAATAACTGGGTTAAATTCAATATCTAGCTATGAAAAAGTAAAAAATAAAAATAATCAGAAACAAATACAATAACAAAGTAACTCAATATATAATAAACCTTAAATATACTAGGTATTAATAAATTTTTTTAAATACCATATCACTACTGAAGTTATCCAATTTAATATTATATTTACGTAATAAAGCAATGCCGTTAAAAATTGGACTTTTTTAACCAAAAACAGTAGCACAAAAGGAATTTAGGTTTAACCTAGTACTATAATTATGTTTTATAATATATTTATTAAGATTGACTTTAAACATGTAGAATAAATTACAACATACAAATAGATCATGAAAATTAAAAACACTAAGTTCTTTATAAATTAATTTGTGAAATAGAAACATGGTTTGGACATGTCATGAAGAAAAAAATATTAGAGCAGTAAGAATTTCTATTTAAAATTTAAATTAATATTACACAATGAACAATAATGATTGAAGTATCAATTTATTATAGGTATGATATATTAAACTTATAATAGAATAAAATCAGAAAAAATAGTTTTTGGAATGATTTGATTAATTTTAAATATTATTGAAAATAATATCGCTTACTTATACTTACTTTACAGTAAATAAAATGTAATTGAAATTCTTTCAAAATAGATCCCTTAAAAATGTGTATTATTTATATTTACAATATACGTACCTAAATGGGTTGTAAATAGTTTCATTTATTTTAGAGAATTCCATGTCTATACAAATAAAAGACGATTCATTTATTGCTGCTTCGATGACCGGCAGTTCAGAATAAAAATTTTCACTTGTTATTTCGCACATGATTGAAATAAAAAATAAATTAAAAATTTTTTATGTCGTAATTTAAAATTCAAAATTGTTATTAAATAAATTTTGGACAAATTAAATAATTAGATATTATATATATATATTGAACTTTATTTTTTTTTATTGTTTTTAGAGAGATTTTATTAAAGTTATACAAAGATGCTCATCAAAATATTTATGTGGACATGTTATGATTGAGGAATAACTACAATTTTAAAGATGCAATATTAATGTAATTATTTGTATACAAAAGAGAAATTTCGGAGAGCATAATATTAATATTTTAATTATTATATGATTAATTTGTAATTATTGTTGAGTGAAGTAGTAAATACAACAGCGTTGTAATAATAGATTATTAGAATTGTATTAGCCGGCAGCATAACGTATAAAAATTTAAAACTCAGACATATAAACTATTATAAAGATTAAAGATTTATATGTTATCACAATGGGGATTGTCAACATTATCAAGTTACCTATCAGACTGGTACAACTCAAATGAAAATACATACTAATAAAAACGCTTTTATTACGGAGCAAAACCAGAACAGGCGCTCTGCTGCGCTCTAGCGGCTTAAATATAAAAACCAAATATTTGGTATTTAATCGAAAATCACTTTAAATAATTTTACTTCTGCGATGATATTTCCTAAGTAGTCCTTCACAAGTTTTACTTTTGTTATTTTATTTGGGGAACAATGATTTTCATAAATTCTGTAACCCACATTTAAGTCATCAATACACTTACTCCAACTTGCAAGTCTTTGTTTTGTTACTTCAAAACTTGCAATACCTTCTTTGTTTTTATTTTTGCAAACAAAACAATACTATAGACATTTTGTATTGATATTCAAACTTCAAAGATAAACATGCAATATTTGGTGTACTGGTGTTTCTTAGTGAGTCCTTATTAAATTATATTTCGAATTATTAATTATATAGAATATGGAGGGAATAGGGATGAGGAGATGAATGTCTATGACACTGTCTTAGAATAATAATATTGTTTATAAATAAATTACTAATTTATGTTTCTGGTAATAGATTTCATGATATAAAAATTATTATACTAATAGAACGCAGCACTGCACCCGTTCCGAATTGTTCCCGTAATAAAAGCGTGTGTTCCATCGATAATTGTCTAATCTTATATTCTAAGACCGTGGATATAATGAACAATGGGTTATGGGTCTTTTTATTCTTTTTTTAAGTTAGGTTAGGTTATAATCATTAACTATTGCTGTAGCCTTGCAGCCGTGCTTATACAAAGGTGGATCCACCTTTCCTTATAAATTATAATCACAATTTAAGATGCTTAACTGTGTTTATAATTATGTAACATAAGTAAGTATATATCATATTATATATTATAGATACCACGGCCTTAGAATATCATTTTTATATACCTATATCAAGACATTCATTGGTACAAATCGGTGTAAATTTCCCCTTGAAAATCAAACCGATGTCAATTTGAGAAATTTTTTGGAATAACCGGTGTTAAAATTCACGACACCGGCTTAATTTTACTGCACCATCACATGCATATGGTGCAAACAATTTACATCGGTTTTATCCCCTCTCATTTCCTCCTTGAAATAATAAACGAATAGATAAATGATAATAATAATAATTTAATTGATAACAATCAATACCTATTCAAATTAATTGTTATTAAGTACTAATTAGTGGTAATTGGGAAGTATAATATAGGGGTACAATAATAATTTAAATAATTAATATTTAATTTATATATTTTGTATAGTATTTTCATTGTTAATTTTAGACAATAGTGGGGATACACCAATTTCTATCATCGAATATTGACACTAGTGTTAAATAATCGGTATTAAATGTTAGTATACCGGTACAAAATGTATCTGTACACCGGTTAGTACCAACGAATTTTTAGATAGTCTGTAGATAGAAGAAATTTAAACAATATCTTAGTTATTATCTTAGGTATATCTTAGTCCATGGCTACCACGGTCTTATCAATCGTGATTACTATGATAACAAATATTAAGTCCTAACTATGGTCTTAGATTAGGTCCTAACCATAGAGTTCCTGTATGGTCCTAACCTAACATCCTGGTATAGCCAGTTTCTTCTTATTATACCGTGTTTACTGTTAATAATTATTATATTGACAACATTTATTTTGAGGTTAAATAATTGATAAAGTTGCTTTTTCTTTCCTATTACTTGTAGTTCGTTTTCGTTTCGTTTCGTATTTTAGAAATTTCATCCAAAATCATCCAAGTAAGTATCAACTTGAATATTTATTTGACATGTTATTTAACTATGTTTTATAATAGTATTTGTATTTTCTGTTAAATAAATTGGATTTTATACGAAAATATCAAAAGTTAATAATTTGTATTACTTATTGAAATGTGTTCCGTTCATTATTTTTAGGATGTTGATGCCAAAAAAGAATCGCAGGGCTATTTATGAATATTTATTCAAAGAAGGTGTTTTGGTCGCTGAAAAGGATTTTCACAAACCAGTACATCCTGATTTAGAAGGCATTCCTAATTTACAAGTTATCAAAGCTATGCAGGTACTTAGGCATTTTCCCTTATGTTTTAAAAATGTCATTATTGTTATGTTTATCATATTTTTTAGAGTCTAAAATCTAGAGATTATGTAAAAGAACAATTTGCATGGCGTCACTATTATTGGTATTTAACTAATGAAGGAATCCAGTATCTTAGGGAGTATCTTCATTTGCCAACTGAAGTAATTATGATATTTTTTGTTAACGATTTTATTTTTCATATTTTATCTTTATATACCGTTTTCAAAAATTAACCATTGCTCTAATTTTACAAATAAATATTAATTTTTAAAACTTCTGTAATATAAACAGGTATTTATTGTTAATACATTTTTAAATATTTTAATCATTTTTAACTTGATATTTTTCTACTGATTTCACCAAATTTTATTTAAGTTTTGTTTCACCATTTAATTTAATGTATATGGGTACCTAAATTTAAATTTATTTAATAGGTAAATTTTGATGGAGTTTTCTTAGTGATATTTAGTTAATATTATCTAAAGTTAAATATAATTTTAATTCAAACATGTTGAGAAAAAATGTTTTAGATTCAAAGCATAGTGAGGAATATATTGGTTTTACAATGATTATTTTTATTTATACTGTGATTAATTTTTCTACAACATATCTTACTCTGATATATTAAGTTGAGTGCCCTTTTGAAAAGAAAATTGTATTTAGTTCAGCAGTTCCCAACCTTTTTGAGACTATTACCCATTAATCAGGTTAGACATTTATAAATATCTATTCCTCAAAAAAAAAAATTGAGAAAAAAAAACAAAAACAAAATATACATTATATTCGTAGTTGATTTTAATTTATCAAACTAAGAAAACAAATGAGTTTATTTCACAACCAATGAGTAATGGTAATGTTAGTTAATGAGATAGTTGATATTGCTTATTTCTAACAATTTGTTTAATATTCGGTTCAGTTTCGGCCAATGCACATTTTATGTTGTGTTCTAAGTTCAATCGGTTTCTTTCTTTTATTTTTATTGTTACCATTGTTGATTACCCATTTTCACACTTGTACGTTGTGAAAAAAGGGATCAGTATTTTCAAGACTTTCCGATAATAATGGATACTCGCTACCAATTTTTCGCCAAATGTTGCTAGTTGTGTGATTTCAAAATCTATTTTCTGTGTGTTATCTTCACAAAGTCCTAAAAATTGCGCTCAACTGGCCCACCACGACGACTCTTGGTCAATGATGTGCTGCCGATCGATTTTGTTTTATCATATAAACACACGTGCAAACACACACACACATACACATACTTATTTGAAACAAAAGATTGCTGCTCGTCCGAAACAAAACGTGGAAAACCGAAAACAAATCCCACAATTATCAGCGTCATTAGGACAAAACTATTGACGATAATTATATTATTACAATTACTATTAAAATCGTACACGTAACTGATGCTGGGTTAATAATAATGATATTAAGTACATAAAATAAAAATAAAAAATAGTTTGGTTTTTACTTCTTTAAAAATCGTGTTTTACCCCTTGGGAGTAATTACTCCCCAATTGGGAACCGCTGATTTAGTTGATACTTTGAGAAAGTCATTTTTTGATTTTCTAAGCATTTATTATAATAACGTTTATTTTCAATTTTTTTTTTTAAATTCAGTTAAACATATTCATAGAGATTTAAAATTTGGTAAAAAAAAAACTTATATTTACCTTTTCTAAACGTGATCAAATTTTCAAAACATTTGAGCTATTGATGAACTTAAATTTTGCAATCTTATTCGATGGGTTATCTGTCAATGAAATCTTTTGACTGTACCAGAAATGTTGGAAAATTTGAAAATTTTCATTATAAAATGTACAAGGTTTTTAATATAATATTTTCTCTTTTAAAAGAGTATCAAATTTTGATGACAATCATATGTATATAATCATATATATATTACTTGTTTTTTTTAGCAATGGTTTATTGTTGCGTACAGGTATAAATTAAATTCCCCTTTATATCCTACCTTATTAATAAAGTGTCTATTTTTATTTTCTATTTTCTAAAAATCCATATCATATTTTATTTCGTAACTATGAATGGACTTATATATGTAATTTTATTTGATAAATACAATGGAATGAAAATAAATATAGATAATATATTTTTTATTTACATTATTAATATTATATTATAATGATTTCTTAGTTACAAATATATTTTACACATGTTACTTTATGATAAATACAAATTCCTTATCTATTGATATGGCGGTTTTGATTTGTGTGGATATTGTATGGCATATTAACCTAGAAAAATTCAGTTTTCAATTATTAATGATCTGGTAAAAAAATTATTGCAAAATATACTCTGTTAAAAATAAGAAACATAGTCGGCTTCCAAGTTGTGTGCATTGGCATAGTCTTCATTACGTGCAGGTCCCGGAAAGCGAAAATTAGTCTATCGTTGACAACTGACTATCACAAATAACATAAAATGCATTGTGTAGGTACTCGTACACTGACGCTGTCGTTAATGCGTGAAAAGTGTGTGATGACCATGGTGTTTATTTCGTCAGTCATCAGCTGAGTAACAGGTGGTTGACCAATCAAGAGTAATATTGGGCGTGACTTTGACGGTCTGCGAGGAAAACTTATCACCGCTGACTGAGTTTCTTATTTTAAACATAGTAGTTTTTTTTTAAATCTTTTTTGTAAGATTATTTCAAACATAGCATAAAAGACCTGAATTGTAAACAATTTTATAATTTTTTTCGGCCTTCTACATTGTGCTTATGAAGACAGTATTGCAGTCTTATATCTATTTAAGAGGGTTTATTACTTGAACTAGTGCGATCTAGAATTTTGTTCCAAAATGTACAACACATACTTGTTTCTAGTTGTCGCATATAATTTTTTCTTTATTTATTTAAATATATAATGTATTATTTTATACTTGCCCATTTGCATCATGCAATTTTTTGTTATTTAATATATATTTTAAAATATGCTGTGCAGAGTAATAATAAATTTCCTTGCTTTAGTTTAACTCATATACAATATTGTGTTACTACAGTTTTTTATAAGTTGAGCCCACTTTAACCCGAACCAATTTTCATTATTATTCAAATAAATGATTACATGGAATATAACAATTGTTTGTCACCATAGTTTTAGCCATATTAGTGATTTAAACTACACAAATTTGGGGTTCATGTCGTAAAATAAACCATTATGGGTTTTCAGCTAGTACTGTCACATTGACCCAATTAGATTACCTTAGTATGTTAAGATGATACAGTATACAATGCATTAATATGTTTAGATTTCTTTTAATTTTGCTTATCATATTTTGTGTTGCTGTTTTATTTGATATAATTTGTATATAGAATTCTACTGAATAGAATCCATGGGTAATTGTATAAATAACTCACAAATAACTGATATTGTATCATTTGTAAAGTCTGTATATTATTATATTAACTTTTTTTATATTTTGATGATTTATTGATTACAATATTACGATTAGTAAAACAACAATCTATACTAACTATATAAATTCCACAAATTATTATTTTTATTGTACACCTACTAAGCCAGAATGCCATATCTTCATTAATATATATATTAATATGCATTTTTCTTTCATGTACAGTATTTTGTCAAAACCAATATTGCTAATAGTCGTTTTATAGAATAATATTTCAGACATACGACATATTGACTTCAAACGTCTGAATTTTTCAATTTGTTTGATGTATATAACTCATTTTTCAATTTTTTTTTGGACTTGCGGTGTTTTTGCTTAGGAGGGGGCAGTATTGTTTTGGACTTAAATTAGTATTTCTTGTTAATTTAAATTTCTTAATATTTAAAAAGCTGTAATACTAATTTTGCTGACAAAATTTCCACTATATTTGCATTACACATCCTGTTAGTACCTGTCAACTTTTTTTATGAAATGTATTAGTTTACATAACTAATTATGTTTAAGGGTTAAAATCCTATCAGTATCTTATCTAGGACAAACCAAATTATTAATGTAATTAATTATTTGTATATAGTCTAAAAATAATAAATAATATAGAATCAGCATTCTGGTTACATTAAACTCAACTTTAAAATGAAGTCACTTTTAAATTTGAGATAAATCTGGTAAATATAATTTTAAATGCTCATCATATCTTACATTATAAAATAAAATGTTTAATAAAACATTTTGTTTATGTGATTAAATAATATTGTACTAAAAGTAAAAAGTTAAATTATTAAAATAATATGAACAATTATGTATATCTATTAATATGAAGTATTAATAATGTTCTAAATTATATATTTATTTAAATAATTAACTGATTTAGTTATGGAGACTGAAAACTATTTGTACTACACAAAATTATTAAATTGTGTTGAAACTTGGCATTTTGTGATAAAAATGTATTATTTAGGTATATTTGTTATTATGTATATTTTATGTATAAATTAACATTTGCTTTTAGATTGTCCCAGCTACATTGAAGAGACAACCCAGACAAGAAACTAGAGGACCCAGATCTGCACCAGGAGCAAGGCCTGAAGGTGGCCGATCTGGTGAAGATCGGGCTCAATACAGACGAGCTCCAGGTGCCCCTGGAACTGATAAGAAAGCTGAAGTGGGAGCTGGTACTGCTGAATTGGACTTTGTAAGTATAACATTAAATTTGCTTATTAAGCTTTAAAACAAAAAAAGTATGGTTTTGGTTTAAATGGCTGACAAAAAAACTCAAAATATTGTTAATTGCTAATTATATAACTTTTATTCTTCAAAATATGTGATTATTATTTTATAGTTGTACTATGTACAATATTTAAATATAACATTCAATTATTTTTTTCAAATATATTTTCTAAGGATTATAATAACTTTCTTATTAAATACTTGATTTTAACATATAGTATTACCTATAAATTACGGTCATTGCATGTTAGTATTAAAACACAAAAGTTACAATGGTAAGATTAAACACGTGTAACTATTAGGCCAATGTTTATACACACCATTATATTACATATTAATACTATATTATTACTAATATTGTTTTTATATTATTTGATTCAGAGAGGACCTGGAGCATTTGGTGGATTTGGACGTGGTAGAGCTCCACCTCAATAAATGTAATTATTTTTTTAATGGATAATTAAAAATAAAAAAAAAAGTAAAAAATACCTTAATTTGTTTTTTTAATTTATTTACCAATTGCTCTATTTTCAATTTATAAATTAAAAAAAAGGATGGACATACTTCGCATGTGGGTTGAGCCACTGTTGTAGATGAGAAGTTGAGAAGGTAGGATACAGATGGAAATAAATGTATATCTGCAAGCTACAGTAAACTATTTCTAACGAATATCGATTCTGAGCGAAATTCAGTTGATAGTGTCGCTTTGTCAACAATATATATGTATGTATGTATGTAATATGTATATGCCATATTATGGTAAAATGATTACAACAATTATTGATTATTTAAAAAATATTTTAAAATAATATAAACTTAATAATTACAAAAAATAAATAAAAATGGTTGTCAATGACAACCTTATTTTTAATCTTTTAATCTTTTTTAATAAACAAAGTTTACCTCATTATCCCAAATATTAATCAAAATTTAAAAAAAACGACCTCTTTAAAGTACCACCCAGAGAACATTTCCTTTCAGAAAAGGTGCTGTACTTAATAATCGAAGTAAGTTTTCTGGTATACAAAGTGTTCACATAAAAAAAAAAAAACATTGTAAATTCAATACATGCCTTGTTCCACTTAGAATCTAAAATATTAAAATCTGTTACAAATTAGGTTCTAACTTAACCTAACTTAGCACCTATTTTAGTGTATCATACATTATGGTGTCAAGCGAAGATAGTACATGGTCTAGCACAATAGATTAAATACAATATTTAATCTATCTAGTATGCTAGTTTCTAGAAATAGCACAATAATTAGTATCGTCTGAAATGGACTTAAGATGGGAAGATGCGTAGTTGTCATTAGACTTAGTATTTTAGAGAGATTTTTTTTGATTTTCGAAACGGTTTTCATAATAATTGGAAAAATAATATGTAAAATAAAAACGACATATTTACAATATATGATTTCATTATTTAAAAATATGGTGTATATTATCTACCAGAAATATTGCTCAAATCAAAAACACGACTAGTCACTTTTTTGTACTTGTATCTATTTGGTTGGTTAGTTTTTAGTAGTATTTTTTATTTTTCCTGTAGTTTCTTTCATAGCTAAGGCAAACTAAGAATAACTTTGAATGAATAGAAAGTTTAAAGATATACAAATTTTACAATTTTCAATTGTTTTTTGGTTATACTCCAGTTCAAAATAATTGTACAGAAATCTTAAACTATTTGCCTTTTATAGATGCGGTAAAATTTTTAAAATGTGTGAACTATTTACAGACATTTTAATTTTGCAAATTCTTTAAGTAATTATATGGTAGGTATTAAGGTAAAATTGTCTGACTAAACAGAAATACTTGAAAATTTGACAGTGGTTCATTATAATTCATACCTGATGGTAAAACAAAAAATTGAGTGTAATGTAGTATTAATTTTAGAGTGTAGCAAATGATCTATCGGTTTACTATGATTTATGTGTATATTTAGATTCTGATCGGAGCGAGGAATGTTTTTCAGTTTTTTTTGTTTTTTATGTGACTACTTTCTACCAGAAAGTTAACTCCGATTGTAATGTTAATCATTTTTTCTCAAAGGAAATGTTCTCTGGGTGGTACTTTAAAGAGGTTATTTATTGAAATTCTCAATTATATTCGAGATGATGAAAACTGTTAAAAAAGGTAAGTTTAAAAAGATTGAAAAAATAAAAGTAAGGTTATCATTGGCAACTGTTTTTACTTATTTTTCATAATTATTAAGTTTTTATTGTTTTCATCTTTTTCAAACAATCATTGTCATGGAAATTCACATTGTTTAAAAAGCAATAATACAAAGCGAGCTATATTAAAATAAAATAAATTTTGATTTCAATACATTGTTTAAACTATTAATCTATTCTATTTCTATACTTTAGCATCACTATCAAGTGAATTTTGCTCAGAATCGTTCTTTTGTTAGAAATAGTTTATCATTGCTTACAGATAAAGATAAAATTCCTTTCCTAACTTCTCACCTAAACACTGGCTGTACCAGTGTACCCATGTGAGAAGTATGTCAGTCTTTTTTTTTTGTGTGAATAACATTTCTACCAGAAAACTTGCTCCGAAGTATAGACTAGAGCACTTTTTCTGAAAGGTAATTTTTTTTCATTGGTGCATTGAGTGAGTAGGTTATTTTTTGATTTTCCAATTAGTTTTCGAAATAATTGCAAAAAAAACCGAAAGAAAAGGTATAGGTAAGACGGAAAATATTTACGGTGCAACGTGGCGTTTCCATTTTCATTGTTTTTATTATGTTAACACGATATTTTCTACCAGAAATATTGCTCTAATGTAAAAATAACAAGTAATCGATTTTGTTCCTTATATTTCGCCACTGGCAAAGAATTTCGTTTTTTGATAGCGAAAGTATTTTTCATAATAATTAATAAAAACCAAAAAAAATACGAAATATATATAAATATATTATATAAGTAATAAATAAGAATATTCCCAAAAATATTCTTATTATCAAAATATTTAAAAAGGATCATTGATTGTAATTAAATTCTTAGATAGCAGATACTAGATTCTATTATTATTTATAGATATATCGTGGTTTCGTGGGTGTATCAATATAAAAATAAATTTGCTCATGAGTTTACAAACAATTTATCACAGTAAATTACTGAATCGGTGACTAAAAATAAACTAAATTAAAATAAAAAGTCGAAAATATTTCTTTTATTTATTCCAATATAGCAAAAATATGCTAAAATAGTATTTAATATGTACCATAAGGCATAAGCTAAAATATTCCGAAATGTTCTCTAAAGTCAAAATATTTACTCATTTGCAAGAGAAATTTTTTCAATAAATTCTACAGGTTATGAAACGCATATATTCTTACTTCCCACCAAACAGTATATGTTTGTTAAAAATATGTTTTTGCATACAAATCCAGTCTCTAATTATAATATTAAAGAAAACGGTATATTCTGGAGAGCAAGACGTTGAGTTAAACTTATAAATTCTAATTATTATTCCGAATATAACGTTCAATACATCGTTTAGAAATAAAGACGAATTCATTGTTTTTAAATAATTATAATAGTTTAAAAAATTTAAACAAAGAAACGTTCCGTTTTTTATCTGGAATAATGTTTTCTTTTTTTTATGATATAGGTGCTTTTACTCTAAAACCAAAATTAAGAGGTATGCTAGAATATCCAAAAAATTAGTTGAGGTTCTCAGCTATCCCGCGTTAAATCAAGCATAATCAAAACATAGTAATAATAATAACAACAATAATATATATTAATATAAAATTTTTACTACTGACATGTATTTAGGATCATCTTGGACAAGTGCCCTTTTAGTTCTGAAAACAAACAAGTTAAACCATTTTTAGTCAAGTGACTAATAACTCATATTTACATTGTTATTCTTCAGCTATAGCTTTTAACTATATATAATATCTAATACCTACTAAATAAAATATAAATTAAAAAATAATAAATATAAAAAAGACGTCCTAGGATAATGGGGACGAGTGCAGCCATTGTTATAGGTAATTTAATGTATATCTGTTAGCAACGATTAACCATTTCTAATGAAAAAATGATTCTGAGTGGAGTTCAGTTGATAGTGTGGTTGCTTTGTCACAATATGTATATCATATATTATGGTAAAATAATCACATTAGCAATATACATTTTCTTTAAAAATATTTGTTCAATATTGTACCTATTTTCCCGTTTTTCTCGGATTCCCCATTTGTTTGGGAAAACTAATTAGAAAATCAAAAAATTACCTCCTTAAAGTACCTCCCCACACCGATTTCCTTTCAGAAAATATGTTACACTTAAAAATTGGAGCAAGATATCTGATAGAAAAGTTGTCTACAGAAAAAGAAAAAGAGGACGGACATACTTTGCGTGTGGGTGGAGCCACTGTTGTGAAGTTCGTAAGGTAGGATACAAACGGGAATTTAATGTGTATCTGTAAGCTACAGTAAACTATTTCTAATGAATATATCAATTCTGAGCGGAGTTCAGTTGATAGTGTTGCTTTGTCAATAATATATAAATATATATGTATGTATGAACGTAGTATAAATGGTATATGCCATATTATGATAAAATGATTTCAACAATATGCGTTTCCATAACAACAATGATTGTGTACAAAATATTTTAAAATATTAAAAACTTAATTATAACAAAAACTAAATAAAAACCGTTGCTAATGACAACCTTATTTTTAATCTTTTAATCTTTTTCAACCTAAAAACCGAGGTTTTCTTCATTATCTCGAATATTAATGAGAATTTAAAAAAATGACCTCTTTAAAGTACCACCCAAAGAATATTTCCTTTCAGAAAAGGTGCTATAATTGATAATCGAAGTATGCATTCTGTTAGAAAGTGTTGACATAAAAAAAAAAAAAAACATACCTTTGTAAAATCTTACAAATTTTTTTACAATCTTTGTAAAAACATAAGTTTCTACCCAGAATTTAAGAAAATGGACCAAAACTTAAAAGAAAAGCTGCCAAATTTATGATTTCATTATAGGAATATGCAGTTTTCGAGAGGAAAACATACGCATATATATTCGCCGCCGTCCGGGATTTAAAACTTCTCCCCCTCTCACCTTAGTCGACAATCAACCCCGAACGATCGGCCTATATTCGGTGGCCTCCACGTTTTACAATCTCCCCTTGTCCCACAGTCCATAAGGCTTATGCGCCTGAACTTAACAACAAAGGAATTGCGATGTTTCAGCATGTGCTCTGATTTTACTGGGTCACGCTCTACATAAATATAATGTAATATATTTTCGAGTGTTTGTAGGTAATCATTTTATATGTTTTGGTATCGATTAGTTATAATTTTATAAATAATGTTATAATCTATAAGGTATAAGGTACTCAATATCATCATTACACACGCGCTTAAAACTACAATGAAAATCAAAAAAAAAAAAATACCTTACCAATGTATCAGCTACTCTAGACAATATTATTTGATACCAGAAACCAGTGACATGGCGAACTTGAAATAATATATAGAAGCGAAAAATGTTTTAGAGATAAAGACTCGTCCCAATCTGAATCATATATTCATGGGGGTTAACCTGCTAAACCAGTGGAAAATTATCAGCAGTGTTAACTTATCACATAATTCGTGAAAATTAAAAATAATGAAATTGGTAACGTCATGGCACGCCACCGTAAATATTTTTTCGTTATGGATTCGTTTTCGTTCCGGGGATTTGGTAGTTGTATCCCTCCCAAGATCTTTTTTTTTTTTAAAAAAAAAAAGACTGGGAAACTACATTTATGTACTTATTTAATAACTATAAATATTATTATAATATTATATAGTCTATATTTTATAGAAATAATACAAAAAAAAAAAAACCGAATCTTCTATACTAGTTGTACATTAATATTTCATAAATGCAGTAAAACATCATTTATACCCTCTAAATGAGATTACATATGTAGTATCTACCTAAGGAATATTAGACAAATAAGCAGTAAATGATATATTCTAGAAAAAAAAGCAGTATACTATGTTGTGTAGTTTATTGATTATACGTTTAGTAAATTTATTTAGCGGCATAAATACTGCGTATGTATCTAGTAACCTTAGATTATCTGACCAACAGTATACAGTATATACATGTTTATAATTGAATGCCAATATTTAGAATTATTTTACAATTAATTTTACATTTTATAATTCCATAAAGTAAACATATTTCAATGAGTTTGTTCCTAACTTTGATTAGTTAGAATTAGTTAGTTTTTATATTTTAGAATTTATTTATTTTATTTTTAGAATCATAAGTAGGTACTATTAATATTTAAATAGTATGTAACACACAGACCAAGTTATGATCGATTAATCATATCAGACATTAGTTTATACTTTGTTTGCTGAACTATTTAGGTTTCTAATAATGAAACCTAATTTTAAAAAAAGCGATTTTTATTAATTAAATACGAGGTACATACGTGGTTAAACTATGGTGTTTATAATTTGTTTTTGTTTTAAAAAAAAAGAAAAAATATATGTATGGTTGAATTGGTTGATACTACTTTTTTAATTGTAGTTGTAATAACTTTTGACTATCACAAAATATGCAGTATCTACTTAATTTTTCTAAAAAGAGTATAAGTTATAAATATTTGATTTAGGAAAAATAAAATTATCCAGAAAGATTTTTGAGGTAAATAACTACAAATAATGATCAAATCATTATTGAATAATGTTGTTAACAAGCGAAAAGTTAAAAAAGAAGAAAACTCCATTTCCTAACATATGCATTTTTGTAGATACTGCCTTTCACTATGACAGGGCAGCATAGGTATCACTATTGCAGTATTGCACAAATATACTTATATATTGTATTATGGTAATAGTACGAAAATAAACCACCGAGCGGTCAAGTGTTATTTCGACTGTTATTAGCAAATCAACGACGGATCTGATTATTTTATCTATATTAATTAATAAAGACTATGACAATATTATACACATTATCATATGCATACATACGTTTATTGCACTAAAAGATGCTTATGATAAATACAATTTTTTGGAGGCAGGGGATACTAGGTAAAATATAAAAAAAACATTTCATCTCCCCCATAAACATCACCAAATAACGCCACTGTGTACCAACTATATCCAAAATGCAACAAATAAGGTCTCTTGTCATTTTCTATAGGAGCAAATAAGGCCGTAATTGAACCGATTTTATCGGGTCATTTTTTCGGAGCCCAGTCCTAAGCCTATTTTTAAGGAGCCCAGGACTACCAAAAAGCTTAACCATCTCAGTCTATTTTCTATTTTTTCTTATTGCAGCTCGCTCGCTTAATTTTCAAAAATTAATTGAATATTGGATCACAACTATAGTTTTGCTCATCACAGACTGTCAGCCCACCATTGACTCAGGCCTATAGTCGTGAAACCCGCGTACCCATGTCAAAGTTTGTTATAGTGTTATACTATCATCCGGATAACTTTGTATAAAATAATACCCATTTACTGCCCCGGTACCTTATAGTGATAATGTGAATAACAATAATAATAGTAATAGTTAACTATTACTATTTATTTTATTGTTATAAAACAATAACAATAATAATAATAATAATAATAATAATATTATTGTTGTTGTTGTCGTCGTAGTAAACGTCGGTGGCAAACGAAAATATCGATTTTTTTACCGTTTAAAAGACAATCGCGTGGGCATACGCGTGTATATACGTATAAGACATGCTATGCTGTGTACATCGCGACGTATTTAAACCCTTCGTCCCCTCCCCTTTTTATGTACGACCACCGCAGCTGCCAACACAAAAACCGTTCGGTATTATTTTTCCCGTTAAGTCCGCTGCGGTCTGTCTACGGAATCGCGGGCGGGCGATCGCTCGCGGTGTGCGCGCGCGCGCTCAAAACACACTCGGTCAAGGTCTCTGTCGTACGCTTCCCCTCCCCCCCTCCCCCACCCCATCCACAGACTGCCCGCCCACGAACGGCCCCCCAATAACAGGCGTCTTTCGCCGCAGCCGCCGCCGCAGCTGACACTAACCCTCGTGCGCTCGGCCCGGCCCTGCCTCGCCGCATCAATTTTCTCGCCTGCCCGGATCCGCTAAACTATAATCCTCCGATAAACGCCGTTCGCCTTGATGATGTACCTATACACACCACCTATTTACCCACCAGTTACGACATGCCGTCCGTGCAAATAATATAGTGTGCGTTAAGCGGCAAACTCATCATCTCTATATCGTCACAAACCCACTGTTATCGTATACGCCCGTCGTTTTAATCAGGAGCGTCATTCAACGTGGGGTTACGGCAGGGCGTTCACATATGCCTCTTAAGCACACACAATACGCATTATTATAATTCGATTTTGGTCAGACTCTAACGATAATAATATTGAGTGTGTTACAGTGCAGGGGTGGATTTATGGAGGAAGGTAACGTGACATTCACCTCCCTTTACTTTTCTTTAAACAGATTTGTTTTTCACACTTTATTTAAAACCACGGTGCCTAAATCGTATTTAAGACAATTTAGTATTATAGTCAGACGTATCTGAAGATAATACGTTTGAGATACCGTTTATATCACAGTTGTATATATTACTACTATATTAGTAATTGACGAAGTGATACCAACACTAGACAATTTTTAAACAATATTATCACCAACATAATATGCGTTTCATTTGTTTTTTTTTTCGTAATAGAAGGAACGGAAATTTGCGTTCACGTTTCATATAATTAGGAACTCTTTCCGTTTCTCGTTCCTATGTTTGAAAAGGAACGCGCTTCTAAGCTTTGTTCTTAAGAAAGAAATGCGTTCTTTCCCAACACTGCCACAAAGTACGACTTATATTAAACCTTCTATTAAATTTTCAAGCATTTCTGTTTGATCTAACAATTTTATCCACGAGTACCTATCGCATAAAAATTACGTAAAAAACTCGTAAAATTATTAAAATGTCAATAAGTAGCTCAAAAATGGCTAAAATATTTTGAAAATTTTATTTCACGTTTTTTTCTAATTATTATGAAAACTGCTTGGAAAATCTAAAAATCACCCAGATAAAATATCATTTTATAAAAAATACTATTTTTGAAAATCAGAATAAGATTTCTCGTAGAAAAGTTGTTTACAGAATAAAAAAAAAATTATAAAATCATTGTAAAAACAATGCATTTCTTGCTTCGCTCAAAATCTAAAAATAAAAAAAAGGCGAATATTAACAGAGATATAAGCATCGGGAAAATACGGTGGAACATTCTGTATATCCGTGGACAGACATGACGTCATACGGCATCGCTGAGGTACCACCTTTATGTAAGTAAGATTATGAATTTAAAATACAATATATTATTTTGTTATTTGGTGTGTTTTTCACCCCAGCCGACTGAACTCGGTTTTTATCTCGCAAGAATTTCATTATTAAGATGTGATTTTTTTGCTCAGAAAGTATTTATGTTGTCAGTTAATAAAAATGTTCAGAATATTTTATCCATTACCTTAAAGGATTCACAGATTTTCTGACCAGTCGTACTTTGTTTCATTGCTTTGAAATTTGTTTTAGAATCTTAACATTCCATCTAAAAAATTAAAAACTGACAATACATTTATTTTTGTTGATGTCAAGGTTACTTCGGTTACAAGGGAAAAAATACGACTATAACACTGTATTATAATCTTATAAGTTTATTGAGTTCCACTCAGAATAATTTTTGAATAGCCTATATCATATACCTTCCCATCTATACTTATGGTGCGAATATGTCCGGCTTTTTTAAAAATCTATTTAGAAGCAGATGTTTTATGCTGACACAACAATACGCTATGAGTTTTCTGTTTTTATTCCGGACTAAAAATGTATAAATATTATAATAGTAATTAAATGTTAAATTTTGCTTCGAATAAGTAAATCTGGCTATTACATAGAGAAAGGCTAGTTCAAAAATATACAAGAAATGTGTGTACCTCTTTTAGTTTGCCACCGTTTTGTACTTTATATATTAATCGACTTTCATAAAGTTCAATTTACGATGTACTGTACCCAAAATTTCATGGAAACTGTACTCGTTTAGTGTTTAAATTTTAAAATTAAAATCTCAACTTGACGCTTGAAAACTAAACGTTATCGGTAAATAATAACGAATTGACAAAATAATTTTCAGTTTGGTTATGCAAAGGTATTTGTATGGGCTATTTGAATTTTCTGTAGCATACCTACATATATTATTATTGTGAAAGCGAGTTCATTCAGCTTAGTAGAAAGGGAGAGAACGAAGTGTGAAGGCCCTTACTATTATTATTTAAACTTTTAAGTCTTTTATCCAATTATATAATATATGTTGAAAACACGTTGTTTTTAATCATCTGTTTACTTTTTTTGGTGTACATCACAGTTTAACGACTGTTCAATCAGAGGTTACGAATTTTGAACGAATAGTAATACAGTTTTAAATTGGTATTTTTACATTTAAACTGTAGTTATTATTCGAAGTCCTTTATTCAACTATCTTACAGTATTTAATTTCCCGATAAATTCTTATTTGTTAGAAAAAGTACCGAATCATTATATTTAGTATTTTTATTCGTCGAATACGCCTTTTTACTATTTTTCAATATCAACTCAACTCATGTAATTCGACAAATAAATGTGGTTGAAAAACCGAACCATATGTGTTTCTCCTGTTATTCGTAGTCTGAAAGCACGGACATTCCAAACTTCGAAAGTAATTAATATTATGATTTTAGTATTTGCATGAATATTATTAAGTATGAAAGTTTCTTTTCTTCATTAAATATAGTCCTATTAAAATTTTGTGCAACCACGGCTTTATAGCCGAGGCCAAAATAATTTTATCTTTATACAACCAAATAAAAACCAAACATACTTGGAATTAATGTCAAATGCCTATAATAAGATCATATATAACTCAAAAGTTGGCAAAATCGTAATTAATGACATTTTTACTATCCTAAACTTTTCCTTCCCCGGTTTTTCGCAATTATTACAAAAACTGATTGGAAAATCAGATTTAGAATTAGAAATAGATTTAGAATTCTATATTAAAAAAAACTTAAAATAATGGGGACGGGTTCAGATACTAGTGTAGGTGAGAAGTTAGGAACGTAGGATATAGACGGGAATTTAATGTATATCTGTAAGCAACGATAAACTTTTGCTTACGAAAAAACGATTCTGAGCGGAGTTCAATTGATAGTGATGTTTTGTTAACAATATATAGCCATTTTATAGTAAAATAATTAAAAAGGCTTTCTATATTTTCTTTAATAAAATTTGTTTAATGGTGTACCGAGTATAGTACCAGCAAAATTGTTGGTAGAAAAGTTGTTCACAGGAAAAAAAATCGTGAGATTTATTAAATTTCGTAAATATTTTCGTTTTTTTTTTTGGGGGGGGGGTTCATAGTTGATGAGACAAATCTTGAGAAAATTGAAAAATGACTTCCTTAAAGGATCTCCCCACGCCGATTTAATTTCAGAAAAAGTGCTACACGTAGAAATCCGAGCCAAGTTTCCTGGTAGAAAAGTTGAGTACAGATCAAATAAATAAATATCTTTGTAAAGTTATAAACTTCCTCCCTCCACTCAGAATCTCAAAAAATTTCTCTTATCGTTTTTAGATTGAATAAAGATTTCTGGTGTCTACAGGCAGAAAAAACGACACATAATAATGTATTGGACATCACTCACTGTCCTCCAAATAAAAAAAAATTCTAAACTATATATTATACATATAGGTATATAAATATTTGAGGGCAGAATTCGGGTTCGTATAGGGACACGTGTTTTCCCATAATGAAATGCACCCAAAACTGGCACAACTGGTGATTCATTGATCGGTACACTTGCGGTAGGTACGATACGTATTATTATATAGCCTATAATATACCTAATGTATTTTTGATAATATTGTAATTTGTAAATTTCTTCAAAAAATATATATTTTAATTGCATACATTTGCAGTGTTATATTCAAGGACATAACCTTTAAGGGCCTGGACGAAGTGGCGTACTATCTCGAAGTGACCCTTATTTTTAGCGTTCACTAAAAAAGAAAGTAAAAATATGAAATTCACGCGTTACGCGATAGATGTGTAAACACATTTAAGACCACACCACATATTAATATAATTCACCGCATAGTCGAAAGGTTGTATGTATAATTATAATAATAATAATAATAATATGTATACCTATATACTTCGTTTACATTGTGTTTATAATTTATATTCTATACTACCTAATATTAGCGATAAACGGTTGAAATTTATTCGCACATTTTCGGCACATTCATCTATAGGTATACACAGTGATTCATTTAAGAACAGAAGTTATTACAAAAGTATTAACTTTTGAAAAAAAACATTTCGTTTTTGAAAATTTTAGAAACACAAGAATCTTTAAAATGTTACGTCAAACGTCAACATAACGTTTAGGTAGGCGAGAGTAATAAAACATCACATCCCTGTGCCGTTACACAAATGACGCTTCACTACCTACTCTACCCCCACCCAAACTTAAAAGTGGAATAGCACGTCAACAGGTTGACGGAAATTACATACTTTAATAGGTTAATCAATTAATTGGCGGCATACATTTTTTTTTTTTTATTTGAAACGCGCAACATTGGTTAATTGTTATCACTGAAACCTAAAGATTGTTATTGTTCTGTGGTTGTGATAAACGCAGTCCATTCATCGTAACTAGTTTATGGGTCCAATTTTTATATCACCAAATGCAAAACGAATTGATAAAATAACTAAAATATTATGATCGATGAATTTAAAGTTTTTTTGAAGTTTAAAAAAAATTCAAAAGGTTCAAACATCTAACGAATAAATGACTTTCAATTGTGATATGTTATTATATTATTTGGGGGCTTATCCTCTCCTCTCTAGCTCCCACTCACTTGCTCCTGTGGAACGATATGATACGAATTCATAAAAATAAAAACAAATCAAGAAGAGTTCATATAATGTTCACTTTGGTGAATAATACGTCTGGTATAGGTAGGTGAGTTTATTGCTCACAGTCTTGACTAATAATAATATAACACGAATGATAACGTGATAACCTTCAAATGGGTCGCTTACGCATATACAAATATATAATAATAATATCATATATTATACGGGTACGATGTACACTTCAGCGAGTGGTTTACTCCGTGTTTAGGTCCGACACATATTAGGTATAGTTATGCCCGAGTAAATTACGTTAAATATTGTTGATTTAGTGATGTTCGATGATGAAAAAGGGGCAATTGTCACAGTGAATTCTCAAAGTATCTTGTTTCAAAATAACTCGTAGTATTCCCGTTTTAAAGCAGTTGAACTAGTAACACGTAAATCCATCAGAATCTTGACTTGATATACGAGTATTACCTAAAGTCCATTATTTTGTATTTTCCATCAATCAAATAATGCATTTAAAATGTTAAACACACGACACATTTTGTTGCATTTTTAAACACCTTTAAGAGGATATTTATATTTCACGATTTAAATGGGGGATATATTTTTGAACCAATAGAGTTCGTTCACTTCCCAATAAATTGATAGCACTATAATATACTTTTGGCTTGATTTTCTTTATACATGTGTGCCTTATATACATTTTAAAAATCGCTCCCCCAAATAATTGAGATGAAGACAAAGGAGAAGAAGATAAATCGTGTGGTTAGTTTAGGTTACGTTATTATACACGGATGTTAGATGGGGAGTTTTTATATTATTTTATAATTTGACGAACTACAAGTTGCAGCTATAGACGGTGGTTTTATAATAGCGTTCTACATAATATATTATGTCAAAAGAGCGAAGGTTAATGGAGAGTTGAAAGCAAAAGTGCAAACGCAAAACGATAAATACAAAATAAGCTAATTTAAATACGTACGAGAAAACCAAATAAAGAGCGAAAATATTATATACATACGTATTACGTTATTATCAAAAATATTATTTAAATCAGTACGACGTACTCTAAAATGTTTTTTTACAATTTTTCATCTTGAGTGTAGTGAAGAAAAGGTTGTATTAGTTTTTCACGAAAAAACACTTTTTTTCTTAGTAAAAATATTCCGATATTTTTACGGCAGAGCCTAAAAGATGTAGATTTTTCATTTGAGGGTAGATATGCATAATATTTTAATTGAAGTATGATTCAAGATTTCAAACCATTTGTTTAAAAATTTAAAAAAACTGACTACTATAATTACGATACATCTGCACTATATTATAGTACCTATATTTGTATAACAATACCAGTTTGCCTAGCTCCGTTTTGAATATTTTTTGTTTACAATGATTTTAACTAAACGTTTACAACAGTGGCCTAATATATATATATATATAGTGCAAAAAGTGTCCGTTTTTTTATAATAAAATAATATTATTAAATTAATCGAATTACATAAATTTGTAATAGTTATAAATTTATAATCTACATTAATTATTTTATGATAGGGGTCGGTCTATGGAATTCAATTAGTTTTGCTTGATTGTTCGTGATTACAGAGTAGATTTAATTATTAGTCATTTTAATCCCGAACAATATACTTAACCATAAAACGATTCACATCGATATTATAATTTTATAATGTATCAGTGATTAAACAAAATATAGTATATAATTCTTTTTTTCTTGTTACAGAATAATTGAAGAAATATCGTTAAAATTATCTTTAAGAATATTTAAACGATTATAATAGTAATTTATTGATTTTATATATTATTAAATATTATAATATATGCATGGCTATATATAAAAAAAAAAATTGATACACTGCTGATGGGTGTACCACTGCATTAGAAGGGAAGTTAGAAGGGAGGTTATATAATGTAATTCAATTTATATCTATATTACGCTACGATAAACCATTGCTAACGAAAAATGATTCTAAGCGGAGTATTATTCAGTCATAATTTTTCTTTGTCGGTGTAACCTAGAAATCAATAAAAATTGTACATTAAATTTCCAGTTTTTCCCATTTATTATGAAAACTAGAAGACAAATCGGAAAATGATCAACTATATCATAATGCTATAAGAAAGTTCCTATAAAGTTTTCGAATGGAGCGAGATTTCTATTAGAAAAATGGTTTACAAAAGAAAAAAAACAAATCGGTGAGTAAAACCAACATCTAACATTTCTATAACTTTGTTCAGAATCTAAAAAACAAATATATATAATATTTGTGAAAGTATTTGCATACTAAAATAATAATTTTAACTGTAATCGATAATTTATAGATCTCTCTTGTCTAACAAAATTTAATTCTGTGTTCACTTATCGGATGAGAGATATCGTGTTCTTTATTGGTTCCTTATTGATCTACTGAAGAATTTTAAAAAACAGTGAATAATGATTAGTGATTACTGGCTTACTTTAAATGACGTTCTCTTTCTCTCGATGCCCTGTATTGCTAATAACATATAATATTATTATGTTTTAATGCGTTATCGTATAGAATGTCAATTTTAAGTATAGTTATTATTTTTTTATTTTAATTATTTCAATAAAAAATTCGATTATTGTAATTTCAGTACTGTAAAAGTAATATGTTTTAATTTAATTCCGAAGAATGTAGCAATATATTATATTATACGACAAATCATAATATTACAACCTAGGTATTATACCTAGCTATAAACTAAAAAAAAAACATACCAAGAGTGGCTATAAGAGAGCTTACGCGTTGTACAAAAGTAGATTTAAATGCAACAAGAGCAAAGAAAAAAAGACGTCTTAGGATAATGGGGACGGGTGCAGTCACTGTTATAGATAATTTAATATATAGCTGCAAGTAACGATAAACCATTGCTTACGAAAAAACGATTCTGAGCGTAGTTCAATTAATAGTGATGCTTTGTCAACAAAATACATGTAATTTTATAGTAAAACATTTAAATAGGTTTCATATATTTTCTTTAACAATGTTTGTTAAATGTTGTACGGCTTTTCCCAGTTTTCTTACGTTTTTCTCGGTTTTCTCATGTTTATCCCGGGTTTTTATGTTTACCTGGAAAATTCTTGGGGAAATCAAAAAATGACCTTTTTAAAGTACCTCTCTAGTGGAATTTTCTTTTAGAAACATTGCTATCATTGTAAGTTGGAATAAAATTACTGGTTGAAAAGTTGTGCCCAAGAAAAAAAATCGTTATATTTTAGTAATATATTTTGTTTATTTCCTGTTTTTTTTTTCGGTTTTTCAAATTTGATCAGAAAACTCTTGAGAAAATCGAAAAATAATCTACCTATAGCACCTCCCCACATAGATTTCCTTTTAGAAAAAGTACTGCACTTAGAAATCTGAGTAAGTCTTTTGGTAAAAAAGTTGCTCACAGATAAAAAAAAATATATATCTTTATAAAACCATAAGCTTCTTTCCTCTACTCAGAATCTAAAATATAGACTGTTTAAAATACCATTTTATCTGATTATAAGACTTAAGTTTTTCATAGATAATTTATGTACCAATATAAAATAAAATAGGTTTATTTACTTTCCACAATATTATCATACGCACCCAATATGTAATATTATTATGACATGTATTGACGCACCTATCTATTGCACATATTACTCGTCTTTGGAATAACTTACATCATTTTATGATTCATTTGTTTTAAATCATAAAAGTAAAATTACAGTATAGTGTATGAACTCTGAAGAAATATAATATTGGATAGTGCAGCAGCAGCAGATATATTATAGGTAAATTTTCATTGGAGTAATTATGAGGGTGTTTAGTCTCTCTCTTGGCCTTTTTTTTTTGTGGTATTTATAGAACTTTGAAATAAAAAGCATATGTTTTGACGAAGATTAAAT